GTGGAAATAAGTACACGTCCTCTACAGAGAACACACTTCTGCACATTTAAATGCACAATTACTGATTGTTCTGTATTTAACATACTGAAAGAGAAACTGTGAAAAGTGGCCTGTTCAAAAGTTATGGTAGATTTTATTTCATGTTTTTTCCAATATGTTAAACTCTGCATATAAATAGTAATTGTGCATTAAAAATAGCAAAGAAATGTTATTTTGATTTACTTGGTTTGTTCTTTGTAGAGGATGTGTTAACTTACTTTCACAAATCAACAAAACATGTCATTTCATCTGGGGTGTTCAAACTTTTGCACACGACTGCATGTATGCAGTGGGGAACTCACCTCCTGCTTTGTAACTTTAGTTGAGTCTTTCCCCTCTGCTCCCTCAGGTGACTGAATGAAGAAACACACGCACACATTTATGTTAAGGAGCACTTTGTCAACATATTATTATATGTAAGTATTGACTTTTTATTCCATATGCAGTATGCAATGAAATTCACATTTAAAATGATAAATCTGTCGTTTCCTGTTGTTCACTACAGTACGATTAAGATGTAATTATAGTGTTATTTTCTAAAGAACTGATCTATTCTGTGCTCAGAGATCATTCGTTTTATCTTTTCAGTCTACATAAAGGTTATCTGAAGTGATGAGATATAATAAGATATCTTAAATATTATAAGATAACCTTGCCAGCTATGAGATTTCCTTTTTCCTTGGCAAATCTACCTCACTCTAACATCTGGACTAACATTACAAATATATGTATTGACTTTTAACCATATATCTATGTATGTATATAAATGTTTTCTATGTAATTTTAGTGTTTTAATGTTTATATTTTGTAATAATATTTTAGTCCAACAGGGCTACAGGACTTATGAAGCTGTAACCTGTGTGTAGATTAGTATGATATACAGCAATTTTTTTTTTTCAAAAATTCATTTTTAATAAATAAAATGTTTCTCCACAGTTTTTGTTCAGTAGAGGTTCCAAATAGGTCCTTATTCACATAATTCATAAGTCTGATGATAAATGTCATTCACAACAGCCTGCCTGTCAGATGGTACCTAAATATTAATATTGACTCTTTTAGTCAAAGGTCAGGCATCTAAAACGTGTCCGTTTTGCATCTGAATGGAAAAGCCACTGTCGTGTTAAGTTATAGTTATAAAACTGTCAATATGAGGTTTTTTATTGTATTTAATAAGAAATCCATTCTTTGTGGAAAACAAACTCAAATTCCAACTCTGACAACTAACTGTTGAATATGCATGTTTGGGGCCCTGTTTGGCTATAGAGAAAATGCCTCTTATCTTTCTTCACTCACTCTTATAAGAACTCAAAACATTTTATCAGTAAAAAATATAAAACAAAATATTATAATTTCAAAGCAGTACTGAGAAATACATGTTCCGAACAGTATACTGAAATTTAAAAACTGCACCACTTTGTCTGTCTTTGTCTTTTCCAGAGGTTTCTTATCTGCTGTCTTTCATGGAAAGAACTGAAACAGTTACTTACAGTTAATGCTTAAAGTGTCAGTAAGGATTTTGCACATAATTGTGCATTTGTGACACATTATTTAAGTTTTTGGGGTAAAAAATGGAGACTATCTAAGCTATCTAAGTTTTTATTTGTGCCAGTTTGTGTTTCTGTTTTCTGTTTAGTGTCTTATAAGATCACTATTTTATACAAGTTAATTCTACTAAACCTGCGCTGTAGATAATTAGAACTCACACATAAAATATGAAAAAAACTTGAATCTTGACCTTGGAAACAAAAATCATGTGAAAATTATATTATTATACCTAGGGCCAGGTAAGAGGGTGAGATCTGATCGTTATTGTTATAAATTCAGTCACAAGTAGTCACTTTTCTGAGTAGCTGTGGGCAATATGACGATATTTTATCGCTATCATGATAAACTGTCACAATATGCTTTTCTGACGAACTACATATTTCATTGCAAACTGAGCATAATAACTCTTTAATTGGATTTAGTACACCAGTTTGTAAAACACTGAAAAAATGTACTTGTACGTTTATTTTTATTATAGTAGTTATGTATATGGGTTCTATTCTGTCTGTTTCAACTTATTAAATCTCAGAAAAAAATTCTGTGATATCACGAAAATGTCTTTAAGTATTGAGATATAATTGTTTTGCCATATCTACCTCACCTCTATTTCTACTTATAAAAGATGGTTCTTCAAAGGATTTTTTTTAGTAAAGGGAATGGTTCTATTTAGAGCCATAAGTTCTATAAAGAACCATTTTATGCTTAGATAGTTCTTTGCATGGTAAAATGATTCTTCAGATTTACGGAGAAAGTTTTGAAAATGGTTCTATGAAGCACTAAACATGGTTCTGCTATTGTTACGATGTCAAGCTTGTAACAATAGAAGAACCCTTTTAGGTGCTATATAGAACCATTTTCAAGAAGGTTCTATATAGAACCATATCTAACACATTCTCCAACAATCTGAAGAACCATTTCACTGTGCTAAGACCCATTTAAGCAAAAATGGTTCTTTATACGATGGATTGCTTTTACAAAAGAATCCTTGAAGAACCACCTTTTTTAAGTGTGTAGATATAGTGAAGTGCACAAAAGTGAAGATAACAAAAATAATCGTAGATTAGTATTTAAGATTTGGTAGATTTCTTGTTATTTTTATCAAACCTCAGAATAATAAATAAAGAAATATCATGTGTTGTATATTGTGAAATGTTCCCATGTATTGTCCTATTATGTTTTTGCTATATCGCCCACCTCTAGGTCCACCCCCTCAGTGAAACACAGCTACCTGTGTGCTTGAAGCCCACCTCTAACACTGGAAGGTTTTAGCCCCCTCTACCCGATTCTATCTTGTGTCCACAAACCCAGAGTGCTGTGGAATTATTCTCGTGTGCATGTGAGCTGCACTTTCAGGGAAGAGCCCTGACCTACAATGCAAATGTGTTGGTGGGGGAGAACTTGGGCCTATTTTTCCCGGAGTTACAGCCTCACACTCGCTCTCTGTTCGCTGTAACATTGTTCCAGCTTAATCCACACTCCGCAGTTTAATACGCAGGAACCAGCCAAGGGTTCTCGCTGGTTCAGCCGTCTGTATGGTGCGAGGTTGAGCTGGAGTGGCACTCTCTCCGTCGTGCCAGTTGTCTGTGTGGCGCGTCCCCGCGCTTTTCGCGTTCCCGAGACGGTTCAGTGTGATTGACGAGCCGGCTGGTTACATACGGGTCTGCACCGCAATGGGGGGGGGAGGAGGCGAAGGGTGTCGTTCCGAATAGGGCTATAAATAAATAATACACGCCTCTGTCTATCGACGAAGGTGAGGTGATCGAAGATGAGCGTTCCAGCATGAACGACTGCATTTCGCTAAGTCGTAATGCGCGAGAGCGGAGCGTTTGGTTTGATCCGACCGGATCCCTGAAGCATCACCGCCAAGTGACATTCAGCGCAAGTGCACACGAAGTGGCGACTATCCGGCTAATAAAACAAGCAACTATCATGGAGGAAACCAGCAACTGTCGACGACGACTGAGTAAGACGGGAAAAACCGAACGTTAGCGGGGCTTTTGTGTGTTATTTAGCCTTACTTAGGGACGGCGAACGATTTCACGACGCGAAGCACCCCGGGCTTTTTTCCCCAAACTTAATCTTTGCTTACCTGCTCGACATTTTGGAGACATGGTCACCGGAGAAAACCGAGCCCGCTATTCCCCTGAAATAGAGGAGCCGACGAGAAAAAACCGAATACAAATAAAATTGTCTTACCTTCCTCTTGGGCATTTTGCCTATTTTGTTTTCACTTGGTTTAGTTCAGCGAAACAGGTCTGTATTGACCCGAGAGGTGAGGGAGTGAGTTTGTAACTACCACGGAATACTGGATCAATATCTAAAACACCTCTGGTAATAACATGTTAATAGTATGCAGAGCCGAGACCCCGCCCTTTTCTTCCACCATTGGCCAGTCCCCTTAGCACTTATCGGACCGCCTCGCGGCGATTGGTTTGTCTCCCTGATATGTAAATTTGTCAAACGCAGACATTGGCTTACATCTTGGAAGAGACGTCGCTGTGATTGGTTACGCGCTTTTTTCTATGCAAATCAGAGCTCGGCACACCGGATAGGTTTAAAGGTCTCCGCGAGGCGTTTGATTGAAGGACGACGAGCCAATCAACGCGTGACACCGCGTGCTCGGATAGCTGGGAAACGTATTCCTAAATAATAGCAGTTCTTTTGACAGTAAACAAAAAGAAACTACGTGGGGAAAAGTGTTTTAATACTCTCGTTGTTAGTAGCTTCATTCATATCCTCTCCTTTAAGTTGCTAAACTTACATAAGCAACATTTGGCCATCAAGCATGAAATAAGACGCTTATAACGAAGCCCCGCCGTTCACCTTCATCCGCTGTTGGTTTCTCTCAGCAGGAAGGGTCACAATGAATTCAGCCGTCATCGACGGCTTTATGAACTACAATCGCCCAAAAGGGCTCTGAAAGCAGCCTTTACGTTGAAACCAAGGCGAATGGTGATATCAACTGCTTAAGTGGCCTCACTGAATGACATGACCCAATGTAATTCACATGTAACAAACGTCTGATATAAAAGAGTGGTGCTCTTCCACAATGACCTCACAATGGACGACATTCTACGGTGACCTCACAATGGAAGATTTTCTATAGTGATCTTACAATGGAAGACCTTCTATTGTGACCTCACAATGGTCAACATTCTATAATGCCTAACATCATAGAACATGCATGCACCTCTAGAAGCCTGCTGCAGCCCAGTGGTGAACAATCAGAGGCTTCCTGTGCTTGGGTGAATGTGTTTGTGTGCCTCTTCCCAAAGCTAATAGCAGTGTATGAATCTGATGACGTAGATCAGTCCAGTGTAGTGTAAAGAAAGGTTTTGGGTAAAAGCTTTAGGCATTCCAGAACTAGAGTCCTTCTGGTCCATCCTATTTTGTGAATTGTAATGGAAAGAATACAAGCCACTATTAAATTCTTTACTTCAAAACAAACCATAAGTATACAGATATACTTTACTACACATATACAAAATGATTCAATAATTAAAAACAAAACCCAAAAAATTAAAATGTCACAAAAAGACACTGAACACTGATACATCAAGGGTCTTACTAGGATAAATTATCTAAGCAAATCTGCAAATATGAAACCCACATGAGACATAGTGTTTTCAAAAGGCTTGTGGTTGTTTACATTCTGGACATAAATATGAATTTTTTAACATGACCATTGTGCATTAAGGAATCGGTAAATGCAACTATTTCTTTTAAATGTTAATAGCCATAGAGATGTTTTGAAATGTATATTATGTTCCAGAGTTTCGAATGGAGTGGTCCTGCATGAATTTCAGTATTTAGCTCATGGTGACTATAGTCAGTACAGAATAAATACAATTTTCTTTCCAGGTCAGTATTTCCCCTGAGATATTTTTAAATACATGTCACACTACCATATTTCTGTTTTGTTTTTAATACACATGGATGTTGCAATACATACTATTTATATACAACATATACAAAATTCTATAAATTATATCACACCTCTCTTTCTGTAAAACTAAACATTTCACAAGTGCTCAAGGACGCACGCAAGGATTTAGCAAAGGTAAAGTCAACAGAGCCCAAACTTTAGAACCTCCCCACATCCGCACATTTGGGGTTTTACAGAGCAATCAAAGTAGAAGGTAAAGTACTTTCATTTCTTTATACAATATATTATCGATTATCAGAAGCAAACTGGTCATGAATAATAAAAAGACATGACAAATATACTACTTCAACATAGATCTAAGATGTTTCCTCCAAATCATGATCTTACCATTGCTTTTTTGACTCTCAATGAACATCTAGCCAGTTTCAATGGAGAAGTGCACATTCTTTCAGAATATTTTGGCTACTGGAGAAGTCTAATGGTTTCTCTCCTCTAACATATTCAGAGTTTCATGAGTGCTACTTAACAAAGGTCTAGTTAGATGCCCAAAAATATAATTTAGAACACTTGATGTTAATGAACAGTTGATGATCTTAACACTGCAGTGTTGTTGGCAACCTGGGCCCTTATTGACATCTGTTGTGATTTGAAGATAACGAGACTAAGCTCTAGACTAAGTGAGCCAGGCCACACAGTGGCCACTTAAAATGTAGGGCTCAGTTATAGATGCACCAACAGTGCTTCTTAGTGGGGAATTACCCTGATTTCTCACAATTTTTGCATTAAGTGTTTAATCTCTCTAAAAGATACATCACAAGAAGTTACTACACTAAATGTTTACAAATACGCTTGCCTGCTTTTGGCCTAAACAATTTTTAAAAATCTATTTATGGTAGAGAAGTACATATAGGAAAGAAAAATAAATAGAATGATATAAAGCATGATAAAACCATTATCAACATTACATATAAGAACTCAGAAGTCATCTAGGCTCACTGGTTATTTTAGATAGTAAATGAAATGGCTATATTTAAGTGGTATACTTCAAGACCCCTGGTTTCTGTCACCAACACTGTGAACAAACCATTAAGCTTCTCTACAGTGAATCTTTTCACATCAAACCATTCTGAATGACAATCTCAGCAACAGAATTATGCAAAAATTTTGAAATATTAGCCTAGTATAATCTCACTCAGAGCAGAAGGGAAATTCTTGGAGAGGCCAAGAGCAGCTCACAAAAATAATCACACCATGTTAGTTTCTCAGTGTTTGCTTAATACAAAATTTGGGCCTAAAAAGGGTACAAAAATATAATGCATTCAACACTGTATAGTATAATGGTGTGTAGTGAGCTTTCTCTTTAAAATTTTATAATGTAGGTCATGTTCTGTTAGAGCACATTACACAATAGAAAGTTTCCTTCAATTACTCTATTAAAAGACTAACAGCAACAGCTCTAAAGTATGATATCCACTGAGCTTGGTTTTATCTCAAAATTCTTCATAAAGATGGAAACTTCATCTACTTAATTTTGAGAACATTTTTATCTCTCTGTGTTCCAGAAAATGAACTCTTCTATTTGCGATGTTGTGAAAAACATCTGTTTCATAGAGTGACCTCCTCAATATCATCATCGAATGATGTAATGGCCCTAACAGCAGGGCGACTCTCAGAAACCTGGAGAACACTCTTGCTGGAAGAGAGGGTGCTGCCATTGAGCCTGGTTGGCGTCTCTGCGTCCCTCCGGCGTCCACTCAGGACTCCGGATGTAGGTTTGGGTGTGCTGGGGGAGCTCAGTAGCTCCATCTTGCGGGAAGGGTCAGGGGGAGGAGAGGAGGCTGTTGAGCCAAACAACTGCTGCATCAGGTTGGACTTCCTCTCCCTCACTAGTCCGTTGAGGTCCAGCCCTGCATCTTCTTCTCCTGGCAGCTGGCCATAGGTCTGGCTCTGGTTGCGATGACCGTGGCCTGCTCTTGGGGCAGGTTTACCAAATGAGGGTTCGTAACTGCCAAAAGCAAAATCAAGATCTTGATTGGTTCTCTGTACTCTGAGAGCTCCACCCCTTTTCCCGGCTCCAGGTGTGCTCAGACCCTCCTCAGGCTGCGTGTAGCTAAAGATGGAGGCATTCTGGTTTTGTGGCTCGGACTGCCGCGGAGGAGAGCGAACGCTTCCTGTCTCATCTGAGAAGAAGTCTGAGTCCTGTCCCTGAGCCTGCATGTCGATCTCACGCATTTTAGCCAAGAGCTGCTCTTTACGTCGGCGCTCTTCCTCTGCACGCTCCTGATTGGCCTGAATCTCCTGTTCTCTCATCCACTGCTCTTCCTCTACCTGTTCCCGTGGATTCCTTTTCTCTTCCTCGCTCTGATACTGGCTCCTCCTCTTGCTGTTCCCCTCTCCTCTGTCCCACCCTGTTGCAGAGATGAAAAAAACAGGATTCAGCAAAACCTGCATACTCAGGATTCGGCCAAAGATATCTGACTACACACACAGACATGAAAAGGAGTAACAAAGCTCTTTTTTTCTATACCACTGTATCAGTAACTGAGCAATACACTTTACGGCCAAACCTGGCCATCACATCTATATGAGCTTGATGGACATCCCATTCCAAAACCATGGGTATTAATTTGGAGTTGTCAGCCCTTTATGGCTATAACAGTCTCTGCTCTTCTGGGAAGGCTTTGGTGTGTCTGTGGGCCCATTCAGTCAAAAGAGCATTTGTGAGGTCAGCAACTGATGAGAGGAGAAGGCTTGGCTCGCAATCAACATTCCAATTCATCCTAAAGGTGTTCAGTGGAGTTAAAGTAGGGCCCTGTGTAGGCCACTGGAGGTCAACCACACCAGACTTGTGAAGCCATGTCTTTATGGACCTCTTTTTGTGCACAGGAACACAGTCATGCTGGCACTAGAAATGGCATTCCTTCCACAATCTGTTGTCTGAAGCATATAATGAGGCATATAGTTGTCTAAAATGTCTTTGTATGCTGTAGCACTAACATAACCCTTTACTGGACCTAAGGGGCCAAGTTCAAACCCTGAAAACAACCCGAGACCATTATCCCTCCTCCATCAAACTTTAACGCTGGCAATATGCTGAAGATCTGCCCATCAGACTGCCAGATTCGCCCATCAGACTGCCAGAGAGTGAAGTGTGATTCATCACTCCAGAGAACGTTTCCACTGCCCCAGCGTCCAGCGGAGGTGCACTTTACACTACTCCAGCTGACACTTGGTATAGTGATCTTCATCATGTTTACAGCTGCTTGGCCATGGAAACCCATTTAATGAAGCTCCCGCGCACAGTTCGTGTGGTGATGTTGCTTCCAGAGGCCTTTTGTAACTCTGTAGTGAGTTACACAACAGAGCATATGCAATTTTTTCTGTGCTACATGCTGCAACACTCAGCAGCACTGCTCTGTGAGTTTGCATGGTCTACCACTTCATGGCTGAGCTGTTGTTGCTCCTAGATGCCTCCATTTCACAACAATGGCACTTACAGTTGACTGGTACAGATCTAACAAGACATAGATTTCAAGAACTGACTTACGACAGTGACACACCAGTACGACGTAATATTCTGCCAATGTTTGTCTATGGTGATTGTATGGCAATGTGCTTGATTTTATACAGCAGTTAGTAATTAGCAATGGTTGTGGCTGAAACACGTGAACTCAATAAGTATGAGGGGTGTCCATGTAGTGTAGCTCTGTTAACGCTCAGGTGACCCGTATCACTACAGTCGGACATAGAGGAAGGGAGCAGACATTAGAAACCACTGCCATTCAGAATTTTCAAATATTTACAAGTATTCAGACACTTTTGTTTTTATTATTTAAAGCTCCACTATGTCAGATTTCTTTTGTTAAAACTGAAAGCAGCACAATTATTGAGTCCGAAGAAAAAAGAACACGCTACAATATGGCTGCAAGTCGCCCTCTAAAGCCTGTAATTGTAATTTAAAAGTCAGAGACATTGGGTTGAGTCCTGCTGGAGTTTTTTGGACCACTTTATTAATGTTACATGTAGTCGAAAAGAAGGTCTGGCTCGAGGTTTAGGTCTCAAATGCAAAAATGAACATTATACTGATGGAGATGTGATGGCAATAGTAGATAATTCACTCACAGTCTCTGAAGACACGTCCTGAACCATGTTTTGAGTTCTCTTTGAATTCTCTTTCAACGCACTCACAATCATCAGATTTATCTGCTTAGTGAAGGATGTGTTAAGTACAGCAGACGGTGCGAAATGTTCTTCCACATGTTGCACGCAATTACACATTTTTGCTGGAGAGTTCAAATCCCCACATGTTAAATGGTGCAGCTTTGATATACTTCCAGTGTATATCTACATCAAATTTACGCATAGAATAAATATCTTTTGACTTCATATTTATAAATACGATCAATCAAAAAGTATGTATTTATAAGCATAAATTTAAATATAAAAACTTTAAATAAAAGGGGAAAAAGTATCCAGACACCACAAATGAATAACGTTAGTATTTTGTTGAAAAGCCGTTATGCGATTACAGCTTTGAGATGTCTACAGTAAGAGTAATTAGCTTTTTGTAGCGTTGTTGTTCTATTTTGCCCATTTCTATTGGCAAACTGTCTTCAATTATCCAAGGTTATGAGGGTCCCTCTGTTGGACTTCAAAATCCTCCATACATTTTTAAGTGGGATTCAAGTTAAGAGATTTACTAGCCCATGCAAAAACCTTCAACTTCTTTTTTTAGAATCCGGTCTTGAGTTATCTTGGCTATATGTTTGGGGTCGCCCTTTTACTGAAACGTCATCTTTTCCCTAGATTCAGTGGAATCTTCCCAACCAATACAACATCTGTTATAAAGACACCAGAGAATATAGTGACACATGAGGATGTCTTTTTGCAGAATTAAAGTTCCAGGGAACACAGAGTAAAATATTAAAAATGTATGTATGATACTAAGTACCTGATACCTTGAGTGTTATATTGAACATCCAGCAAAGCCTGAATGAAAAATATAAGATATAAAAATGATAAAACACGGCTTAAAAACTGCTGATTAGACCTATTTGAGAACTGTGTGGGTGTGCCTGATGAGCAGCTTGATTGACAGCTCTGTGTGCAACACTTCTAGCCTGCTCCGCCACTCATACAGAACTAAAATCATTATCCAGCTTTTCTGTGACGGTAACTAGACGAAAAAAGTCACAGACGAACAGATGTGCATATGGGCGGACAGACGAATGAACAAACAGACAAACGAAGCAACTCATTAAAGAAGGAATGCTTGAATGAACAATGGACAAATGTTTGTGTATGGATAAACGAATGAACAAGCGACAGGCAGATACAGACAGGCAGTCTAGCTTGCTAGCTTTTGATTAAGCTGGGTTAGCTTTAGCTCATTAAGTTTCTCTGACTTCAAAACTTTTTGTGTGGGTGGGGCAAGAGACGTCAGCCTTGTGATTGGTCAGGGGATACTTACAAAAGCATTATCCAAGATTAGCACTTCCTAGTTTACATCAAGAGGAGAGTAATATGATGAAGTATATTGGTCATTTATTGGCCATTGGAACATTATTCAAAGGGTATACTTAGTTTACTGTTCACCTGCAAGAATAAGATTAACCTGATTACAAAGAAAATACAGATTTAGGTTCCCTGGGTATTTCATATCTAGAACTTAATTGATTTTTTGTAATCTTTGCATATACATTTATATGATAGTGTCTAAATACTTTTTCTCTATCAGTTTCATTTTTTTAAACTTTATTTTTGCTTGTACTTTTATGTTCATATCTATAAGTACAAACGCAAAAGACATCATGAGTGTAAATTTGAAGTGGATATGTGCACTGAGAAGTATATTAAATAACAAAAACTGAAGTGTCTGAATATTTGTTTTGCCTTACTATAGACACAAATTTGAATAAGTTATCTTTTAGATAGGCTTGTGATGGTAACAGAATACTCTTATCTGGGTAACATAGCCACAGTAAACTGTTAAACCAGGACATCATATAAATAAATCAATAAACCTTTTTAAAACCTGCTATAAATGAGTTTTACCATCAATGGGGGCTGTTACTGCAGTAGCTCAGCCACAGGCCTACTTTTAGATGTCTTTGAGCATTGTTGATTTTAAAATTGATGGTTGTTTGTATGGAGGCTATTCAGATGCAATTCAATGACATGATGGACTATGCGGAAAGCTGTCTGTTTTGCTCAAAACGTACATGAATGGATCCAAATCTAATCACATGAAATGACTGTTTAAAATGTGCTCAGTGACTTACCATCTCTTTGCCTTGTTCCCTTCTCTTCATCTGAATTGAATTCCTGATCTGCTCTCTGCTTCTCTGCCATATATCTTTCTTTCTCTTTCTCCCTCTCCTGTTCAAAGGCACGCTCCGTCTCTCTTGCACGCGCTCTTTCTCTCTCTCGCTCTCTCTCCATCTCCTGAATTCTCCATTCTTCTGCCTCCTTCTGTCTTTGTTCACTGCTTTGCAGCTCCTTCTGGAATGTTTGAAGAAAAAAGGCAAGAAGAGAGTGAAAGGAAGGGAGAAGAAAAATAATGTAAACTATTTTACATTATAAAATGTAAAAGAAAGTTAGCAAAAACGTTATTTAAGAGTTCTGCAATTATTCCGCTGAATGTCACTATATGACCAAGTACATGCACACAACCAGAATAATTACAGAAATCTCCCACTGCTTTCAGCAGAATTGGTGCATGTGCCTCTTGAATCATGCTTTCATTCCAGGTTCTGACTGCTTCTATAATGTAAGGAACTAAGTATGGGGTGCCGTTACTGCTACTGGAGCAATTTATTGACCATCAGAAGTTACAGTTATTGCTGGTGATAACTAAGGCATGGTTTCATTCAAAATGAATTACGGGTCATTATTGTTCAAGTGCAGATTCTAAACTTTCAACCCATACCACATTTGTGTTTGTACGTAGAGGAGGGGATATTTTATTATGATTTGAATTTGACTGTGGTGCATGTCTTCTTTTGTGCAAAGAAAACTTTTATATTTTCCCCATGCTTTTGTAATTTCATTACATCTGAATAGTAAAGAAAAACATAAATAAATATTCTACATTTCTAATCAAAGGTTTATCAAATTACAAAACACAATATCTCGTAAAAAGATATGATTCATTGCAATAGCCGAGAAATTGCATGTGTAGTTTATCCAAATGTGCTAAAGGCTTTTATAAAGCAGTGAGTAAAGAGACCATCCTCACCCTGGGATTATCCCTAATCCAGAGCTATCTTTAACCCAGAGCTATGTTTCATGCAGCAGGATTAATGCATTAACTAGGCTACTGGTCAAGCACTGAATTAACTAGGTTACACGTTAATTTCCACCAAATAAGCTCAGCTTATGTCAGAGTAATGCTGTACGGTGCATTGTAAATTAAAGTTGTGTACTACTTTGCTTTGAAAAAGAAAAAAGCACAACCTAGAATTAATGAAGGGTAAAAGCCTCTGTGTTTTGACTGTTGTGTTTTAGGATGTGGCATGCTGGGATGCAGAAGGGCATGCACTTGGGTCCAACCTTTTTTCTTCTCTGATTCTGATTCAGAGCAGGCCGTCTGACCTGTGAATCAATGGTAAGTAAAATAATCAACAGTTTACAGTCAATGCATCATCTTAAAATGACATGGTAAGATTGGTTCCATCCTGAGTTTAGTTCTGATTCACTTGCAAAAAATGGATGAAGTGAAATATAAGAAAATGAACTGACATGAAGTAAAAAAATAAATCTGAAGAAGAAAACAAAAGTATTTCATTGATTGGGAGCGCTCATAGTATGCATAAAGGAAAACTCTCTGTCTGATATGGCAAGGTTTGTTGGCAGTAGGCAATGATACCGACCAAATTACTTCAGTACCGTAGAGAGTGGGTGCCCATGCCTGGTCCTGGAGATCTACTCTAATAATCAAATGCTCCTGAAGACCTTCATTACCTGCATCAGGTGTGACAGATTTGGTTCGGAGCTTAACATAACAGGGAAGTAGATCTCCAGGACCAGAACTAGGCACCTCTGCCATACCCTATTAAAAAATTCCTTGTCATTCATTACTGAAGTAGGCAATCTCATCAACAACCGTGAGCCAATAAGCATGCATGTTCCAAAAATCTAGACCGCTGAGTGCCTGTATATATTTTAGCACCTCACACACATTCGCTTTTAGTGTGTTTAAAAGAAGGTATTGAAAAGTAGGTTGAAAAAAAGGTATCGTTTGGGAATCAGTATCAAAGTCAAGATATCTTATTGGTATCGGTACAAACAACTTGAACAATATCTAGCCCCAGCTGGCAGTATTCAAATCTAACCTACAGATTTCCTGAGGCTTTCCAAAAGGTACAGAACCCTGGAGAAAGTAGGAAAATGGCAAAAGTAAAAGCAGACAAGGTTTGATTATATTTTCTCAGATTTCAAAAGATATAGCTTAAGAATAGCTATAAGAAAGGGTGAAGGGTAGTGTGCCTGAAAATGCACACTACCCTGTTGTCGGAAGAAAACCTCTTATCTCCATTTTTGACGTTTTTCAGTTTTTGACATAGTTTGAAAATACCTGCTACCCTTTACATTGTATGTAAATTTTATGAGGAATGCACTAAAAGAAATGGCTGAAAATGACTTGGAAAAAAGTCTGGTTCCATTAACTTTCTTCTATAAAGTTTGCCATTTTGGAAATACGAGGCTTTCTTCCAACAACAGCGATATTTTTCTCCTTACAAAACAAAATACTGTGTGTCTATATAGACCTTTGTAGACATCATGAATAATTTTTGGCTCTTCTTTTGTTTCAAGTTGGGCTCCTAGCATCTAGAGTTTAACACATCCTCACTGTCACATCAAACCCTCATAACCACCTATTGTTTGTTGTTTATTTATTTACAGCTGCTGTTTTGTGTGAAAATTAATGAGGAAAGGACCAATAGAAATGGTGCACAATTACTTGGAATAAAATCTCACTACATTAACATATATAAAAGAGAATCATATAAAGTGACAATTTCAGAAATATGAGGTTTTGCTGTGACAGTTATGATATATTCTTTTTTCTTTGTTCATACTTGATTTTAACATCTGTCTCGAGTGATCTGATCACAAGTGGACAGGGGGATGTACAGCTGTTTGCATCGAGCATGTCCATGTATCTGGAATGAGTCTCCTAGTTCATGTAAATGTGCAGGCTGTTACAACATTTAGATTACAAATGCAACAAATAGGAGAGTAGATGAAAAAGAAAGCTCCTCCTTTTGTCCCTGCTGTGATGATGTAGTAGATTGTCCTTCACTACTGTTGGGGACACATTTGATTTACTTTACACTACAAATGTTATGTGGTTCTATGCAAGTCGTATGCTCAGGCCAGGTATAAATGAGACATAGTGATAAAGTTAATGTGCCTTTCAAAGCACTATAAAGTGCTATAATGTACCTGGCATGTTCATAAATTTTACCTCAGTGTATCCTGAAGCAAGGTCTGGCCATGGCAAATTTTTTACTGATTTAGATGTAAGCTGAGTAGCTTAAGAGCTGAAGTGTTGTTTCACTCATGTTCATCAAAAACCAGCATGTGTCACACAGCTGGAACTCCAAGCTAGATCCCAGCACTAGAACTCCCCTCTGCACCTGCAAGGCAACTGTGGTTTCTGCTAAAGTGAAAGAAACTTGCCTTTAGAGAGAGGTAGTCATCAGCTTGGTCATCAGGGGGAAGCTCACTTCCATCTGTGATAGCAGGAGGAGGAGAGGGGAAGTCCAATGATGCTGTCCGTTCCTCAGTCTGCACAGCTTTACTACTGTTCCTAATGGGACCTGAGAAACACAAAATCACAAACACAAAAACTTCATTAACAAAGTCTGGATTAGATAAAACCTGTTCCTCCAAAACAAAAAGAAAGAGTAAATATTAGATTACGGAGGAATTTTCAACCAATTACAAACACTTCAGTCTCAGAGCTATTGACGTGTGCTGCCTTAACCCCTTAAACTTATATATTATTTTCATAGCAGTTACTGTGCAATGTATAATAGTTACAAAATTACAAAACTATATATATATATATATATATATATATATATATATATATATATATATATATATATATTTAAAACTATACATATTTATATTTTATATATATAATGCATTTTAAGGAGTTCACAATACTCTACCTTTTCTCTTGGTGGAGTTTTCAGATTCTTTCTTTGAAGTCGTTCTTAGGATTCTGTTAGCGTAAATGTTCCTAGCATCCAGCTCCCTCTCTTTCTCCTAAAAGGCACAGATATATACCAAACACAAACAGTAAGAGAGAATAGATAATAGTCATGTTTCAACCATCAGAATGCAGAACTAGTTAACATGAGTAGAATATTAATACAAATTCATAAAAAAATAAAAATTTACTCTAAAGTAAAAGGACAATCGTCACAGCATAAATCAACTGGATTTATCATACAAAATGCATCAGTAGGGCTGGTTATCAAAATTCAATTCCTTTATTAACAATACCCAGCCTTATGCATCAATACCTTTGGTTCTGAACTATTGGTTCTAAGTGTGGCTGATGTGGCATATCAATGAGTAATACTCCTAAATACATAGTTTTATGTAGTGCTTGTACATTTGCCCATGAACAGCTATTATGTTTATGTTCAGCTACCTTTAATTTGGCACTGAGTCTCTCCACTTCCTCTCGTAGTGCTTGGGCTTCCTGTAGGGCTTCGTGGGTTTTCCTACGCTCACTAGCCAGCTGCCTCTGAAAGCTCCCATTACTCAGCTCCATGTTTTTCTCCAACTCCTGAGAATACAGGATAAAGTTAAAATGATTATTATCTCTATAGATCTTATATGCAGGAGCACTTGAACATGCTAACAAGCTACTAACATATTAAACCAATAGCTATATACAAGCAGAGAGAAGAACAAAAAAGGAGAGAACAAGCCAGTAGGTTAATTGTGAAATAGAGTGATGATTGCCATGGTCTCTTGATGCTGTTATGCTGAAAATTGGTATAAATGTGTTACCTGAAATGAGTAAGGTGGAAGGGAGGAGGTGAGTACATACTCTACATACTACTGTTCCAAAGATCAGATCACTTGTCATAGTATTAGTTTTGTTATTTTATTCTATAGAAACCTATACAGTATAGATTATATACTGTAAAGGGTACATCAAATGTATTTTTAGAAGTTTCTAGGAACAACAAGAAATTAAATACTGCAACTATCTTTTTTTTCATAGTAATTGTTTGTGAAGATATCTGCCAGCAGATTTAATAACAACTTATTAAAAAATTCTGGATATTCATTTTATTATTTTATGGATATTTATTTATTAACTTTTTATTTATTAAGTTATTCTCAGATTTCCTAGTAATTTTAGAATCGTCTGCAGCTCTGTTTATCATTCTCATTTATCATTCTTACAGCTTCCTACACATTTTTGATAAGGTTGCATTATGTTAAAAGTAGGGCTGGGCGATAAAACGATAACGATAATTATCGCGATATAACTTTTCCTCGATAGAGCGATACGACATTTTCGATAAATGTTCGATATAATACACCATTCTCACACTTCCACGTTCAGCGAAAGCCTTGGTGGCGTTTTCTACTGCAAGGAAAGCGACACTACTGTGCTGTCGCCAGGAGAGGGCGCACTTCCGAGTTTTTCTACATGATTAGAGAGGGAGGGGGTCACGAGTAAGATGAGTCTTTAGCAACCGCTGAAACGCGGAGTTATACTTTCCCTGTTTGAATGGAGCGACAGGCGATCTGTTCTCCTGTGACCGAGTGTGAGTGACGAGGTCAGTGGTGTAACTGTCCTACAGTGAACTCACCTCTTTCCTAACATCCTAACCAGCTTTAGCAGCGTTAAATCACAATCCTCACAACTAAAGCACTGTTACAGCGCTCGGACAGTCATATTTAAATATTAGTGCATTCCCAAGCAACAAAAGTGAAAGAAAGAAGTGGGTTCATGCAGTTACAGCCCTGATTTAAACAAAAGTAAACTGAGGAAGCTGTGAGGCATTGGAAAGCGGGAGAAAGCGCTAAGCTATCTTTCCAGGCTAGCTGTTTTTAGCAGCTGGCTAACTTAAAGCAGCGCTTCGTCACTCGCACAACACGGCGAATTGATGAAACTGTAGATCAAACAAGACACAGAAGCACCGCTTTCAGTTTACACGTACCTAAAAGGAGGACTCTGTTTGTCTGGTGTTGATATTTTGCGGTTCACCCCTTAAACTACTACAATTGAATATCCAGTCGTCGCTAGCTGGTATCTGAATACTGTGATGTCATTTGTAACGGGGTAGCCGAGCGCTCGTCACCAGCTAAAAATAATCTGTTTTCTTTCTTAAATTATGACTATTACAAAATAGCCATGCTTTTCCAGCTGGTAGAAACAGCTCACCAGACACTCTCTCCCACTCTCCCATGACAGATCTGTGAAATGTTCCACTGTTTGGTGAGTGTTTGTTGTGTTCCGACCATAAAGGATAGTTTAAAACAGCAATTAACCACCCAGGAGCAAAAATCAGCCTTCAAACTTGAAAGAAATAATGATTTGGCATTTATCGCGATATGTATCGATATCGAACGATATCAATTTTGTTTATCGTGATAACATTTTTGGCCATATCGCCCAGCTCTAGTTATAAGCATTTTATACATGTATTTAGGCCTATAATTGAGCTTTTTTTATGAAATTACCTAATCAAGTTGATCGGAAATTATCATCCACAGTTGGGTATGTCGCAACAAACAGAATGTGAAGTGGATGTGTTTTTATCTGTTGGGTGGAGGCAAATACATGTAAATAAAAGATACCAGAAAGTGCACTTTTATAAAACCAACAGAATTTCTGACTCTGTAATATAAAATTTTTACAGTACAGTGATGGGTAATGTTTGTTTAAGCTGCGTCTGTTGTCAGTAGGGAGTTATTAAGTGTCAGTAGCTAGAAAGCAAGATAGTTAATCAGCCCAGTGCTTCCCACAGGGAAGTATACAGTCTGAAATATACAGTCATATTTGTTTGAATCGTTTTGACCTGGTCAAAGAAGACTTTTTGTTGATTTTCTAAGCTAAAAGTAAATTAACACATGGCATGTTTTTCCAACTTTTGTGTACAGTTTCTATTTATTTGCTGAGTTTATGTATGGATATTCCAACTCATCTCAGTGTTCTTTTTACTTATTTGGACAATCTAATAACAAAAAACATTATAATAAATGTAATAAATTTGAGTGGTTGTCAATTTACCCTTTGCTGGGGGAAAGGAACACTACAGACAATTTGTACCTTAATAACTGCATGCATAAATCACTGAAAACAGTCGTGTGTATTTATGTGAATGTGTGCATGTACTTTGACTCTGCGCTCGCTCTCCTGTGCTTTGGCCTGAGCGTGGGTCAGTTTGCGAGACAGCTCCTCTCTTTCCCCGAGATTCTGGTCGTCTGCAAGTTGCTGCAGCTTTTGCAGTTGGCTGCGGCAGCGCTGGAGCTGTGCATCTGCCTCTCTGTAGCTGCGCTCTGCTGTGCGCTCTCTCTCCTGACTGCGCCGCAGCCTTTCACGTAGTGCATGAGTCTCATTGTTGTGCCGGGAAATGAGCTGAGATATTTCACTCTCTGTGTCACTATAACGCTGCAGCGCTTTCTCATGCCGCAGCTGCAGCTGCCGGAGCAGGCGGTTCTCACGCTGCAGCTCATCGGCGTGCACCCTCAGTTCGGAGAGTGCGTTTTTTAACTCACTGATTTTCAGCAGGCGTGCGGACAGCAGCCGCTTGGTTACCAGGTCCAGATCCTTTGGAGGGGCGTCTTTATTGATACTCTGAGAGCGAAAACCACTGGAGCGCTGATGTGGGTGATAGGCCTGAGCACCTGGACGACGAGGCACACCCTTGCGCACACCTAAAGAGAAGAGCAGACATGCATGTAAACATATATACACAAGCTTCTCACTACGTTTAAGGATGTTAACAGGGAGTTCGCCCCCTCATCCTTTTACTGAGTAACAGCCTCTACTCATGTGGGGCGCCTTTACACTAGGTGCTAAAACATTGCTCTGAGGATTTGCATGAGATGTTTGCATTCAGCCACAAAAGCATTAGTGATTAAATCTAGATGACAAATGCCACTTTGACTCATTTTAATCTTACTGGATGGAGCTCCATCGATCCTTAGCTCAATGCTATATTAACTGTAGCTGAAGCTTGGCACTGGGCATGGTGACTTTAAGCTCATGTGCAGCTGCTCCAGAGTATTTCATTCTATTGGCAATGGTTTTCTATGGAGATTATACAAGCTGTGTATCGACAAAATCCTTTGTCAGCAATTGGTGCACCATAAAGTAGCCGACTTCTAATTAGAGGGGGTGTCTGAATACTTTTGGACATACCTCTGGCCATAACCTGCAGAAGAAGGGAAAAATATTCTTAATCTAACATTATTTAACATGATTTGAAAGGTTTGTGATTGATCTGTTCCTCATTAAATGTTCTCATAACTCAAAGGGCAGCTGTAATTTTCAAACAAATCCAAAGGTTTTTCATTTGACAGCAACAAAATTTACATGTGCATTAGTCCTGAACTTGATTAGGCACTGAAAACAAAAAAGCAATATGGGGAATTCCAACCAGGAAATAATTTCATGGTTTCATTTTAGGCCTCCCTTGTGTCATCTGCTGGCCATTACAGGCATTGCATTGCCATGATCTGCAAACTAGATAGAATCCTTCATGGCCTTTCCATTTTATCACAATGTGTTTACATTACATGCAGCTGTAAGGTGAGGAGTATTTTTTAAATTCATTACAGTATTTAGTCAGGATGTAACAATACATTAAGCCCATGATTCGATTCATAATATTAGGTTCGCTATTTTGCAGCAGCACATCTTACTAATGACACTAGAGCAGGAGGACTGGGTGTGCGAACATAAATGTGTTGCTGTTGACTGGTGCTAGTAGTCAGCAACCATTGGTGTTCAAACAACGCAATTGCATCAGAGAGCATAATTAATAGAACATCTGTTCTCCATGATGCATTGCCACATCTCCATAATGTACATTATAATAGTGCAGTGTTAACCCTTAGGACGTGACTGAAATGGATCCCGACTCCCTCATTAGTAGGGTGCTATAAGGGGGGGGACTATTTAGTTTACTATGCATGAATCAATAAATTAATTTTTACTTATACTGATACTTTCTTATCATCTGTCACTAATCCCCAGTCACATAAATAAAGTAACATAAGGCGCTTGGCTCCTTTTTCGTGGCTGTTGAAAAGGGCATGCAGGGATGAGGAACACATACTTTGGTTCATGACTGCGGTAACTTACAGTTACCAGTGAGTTTTTTTTCTGTATGATGCATCATTAAGATCTTAAGGTCTGTTTTCAGCGCCACCGCAGCCACCATTAACTTTAGCTCCTCTGTCCACTGCTTAGTAACAACAGAGCACTGTGGTATACATTCAGTGTAGTAACCTACAGCATTCACTAGAAATTATCAGCGGATTGTGGGGTTTTATAATGCCCTCAAAATCACTCTGGAATTTCATTTTATGATTTGGGCCCTAAGAGAAATATGATCAACGTATTCAGAGGTGCCTTGCAAAACAAAAGAAAACATTGTGTTGGTTTTGTTACACAAGAAAACATGGTGAGTTTTGTCTAGCATACACTGATCAGGCATAACATTTTGACCACCTCCTTGTTTCTACACTCACTGTCCATTTTATCAGCTCCACTTACTATATAGGTGCACTTTGTAGTTCTAGAATTACAGACTGTAGTCCATCTGTTTCTCTGCATACTTTGTTAGCCCCCTTTTACCCGGTTCTTCTCCAGCAGCACTGCTGTGTCTCATCCACTCGTACCAGCACAACACACACTAACACACCACCACCACGTCAGTGTCACTGCAGTGCTGAGAATGATCCACCACCCAAATAGTACCTGCTCTGTGAGGGTCCGTGGGGGTCCTGACCACTGAAGAACAGGGTTAACATGGTGGCAGCACCTAACCTGTTGTTAGAGCCAGTAAACGGTGCAAAAGCTTTTCCCTTGCTTTAATGATGAACAGCCCAGAGCTGTTCAGAGCAAATGATCTTTTTCATGAAGGCTTGTTCTGCTGGGTAGTTTGTTTGTTGTTCTTGACACATGGGGTTCACTCATGTGACGCTGTTGTTTAGGATGTGCGCATTCACGTTGTTTACGGATACAGGTTCACAGGAATGACAGATTTGTGTCACACACTTAAACGAATGTGTACAATCAAGTTAGAAAGATAGGATCTTAGCAAAAAATCTAACTTGAGCAATGAACGTAGCCTAAGACTCTGATTATAGTTCAGTCGGCTAAAGGTGCTTTGCCAGATAATGAAGTATGTTTATGTAAGCCATGTTTGTATAAGTTTGTAAAAGAGCGTAAATCACTGACCTCACAATACTTTGTGAGACAATTCAATTCATTATGAAATCTTAAATTTCATCATGATTTGATTTGATAATTGTGGTATGATTCTGCACTATTTAAAAAATTTACACTAAATTAAAAATCAGTTACACAGTATTGGTCCACAATAGAAACAACAACAAGCTTTTTTTGGGATTTTTACATTTGACGAGTCTTTACTTTGGCCAAAAAACGACGCATACTTATGGATTATTCTAAAAAATTATAATCAATTCTAACATTCCAAAAACTGATGCAGTTGAGACACTACTTTCAGACTGATTCTTGTATTTTTACATTCCTGGCGTGTATCTTTATATACCTGTTCGGTGCAAGGGGCTGCTGGAGACTCTTCGAGCCCTCCCTGCTCTGTGTGCTGACGGTGAGGGAGACTGTGGTGAGAAGGACCTCTCAGACAGCGAAACGTTCTCATAATCATCTGAGTAGAAGGAGGCACTGCTGTGTTCTCCCTCACTGATCCGGTCCTGATCTGGGTCCCGCTTTGGCTCTCGTGTTCTGGTCCGGGCTCGATCCAATGATGAGCTCTCGACATCCTCACGAAACTTCCTGTTCTGCTTTCCTGACTGGAAGGAGGATTCTGAATCCTTCCTGTCTCTGTGTTGAGACAGTGGGCTCTGTTCTGACTCCCTCATCCGGTTATCCTCGAACGAGTCCAGAGTATTTTGGGAATCCATGTCAAACTCTGTTTTACTCTCCAACCTACAGCAGAAACACAAGTTTAGATCATAATAAGACAACTACATCCACTTGTGTTAGCATTACAAAGAAATGTAATATTTATTTCTATATGATCATAAATGCAGTAAAATTAATTAGATAACAGGTATTTTAACAAAGGATACCTAACATTCTGCTCTTCAGGAGAACAATAAATACGTCATGCAATACTGGTTAGAAATATTGGACATATGCAAACATCTGCCTGATGGCAATTATTTTTAAAGGAATTATCTACCAATACCGATATGATTCTGATATCATGGATAAACAAGGAAGCATATAAATTAACTAACAAAAAACTATGTGGCAAAAGTTATATAAAAAATGCAAGCAAACAAAACCATAGAGAATGCTGCCTCGAGCATATTTGCACAGCAGAGTGAGAAAAGTACAGTAGGTTCATTTCAATTATGAAGTCACTTGGCTTAAATGCACCCACTGTAAGAAACTGTCTCTCATCACCTTGACAACAGATAAAATACCCCAGATGGCCACAATGCAGTCAAGAGACGTGTGTATATGCACGTGTCCACATCTGGCTTACCCAAGAGCTTTGAGAGAATCGTGACCTGACCCACACAATAAACATGAGCTCTAGGAGAGGATTCACAAAGATTTGTATCCAAATACAAACAGCCAGCATTATAACAGCAGCAAAAACAACAACAGCAATAGCATATTATAATAAATATATTATTTTTGCTTCTTATGATTATGATGATGATGATGATGACAATGATAATGATGATAATGATTATTTACACAATTCACAGTTCACAATTATTATTACAACACTACTACAAGGGGTGGGTGTTATAGCAAAAACGTAACATAATACTTAAAGTATTTTTTCACAATACACAAAAAGTATCAAAATATTTGATTTTTCTGAAGTTTAATAATTTGGAACAGAAAAACGTTACCTGTATTTCCTCATTGAAGAAAAAATAATAAAGTAAAAAAAAACACATTATGACACATTGCGTATTGTAAAAGCATCTTGAAAGTACTGTGATATGACACTATTGCCATATCACTCACTTCTATTGTGACTTCTGTTGTGATCTATTGTGATGTGAGTTATCACAGTAACAATACTGTCGAATTGCCATATATAACTATAAAACTATAGCTACTACACTGTAAAACAGATAGTAAAAATACAGTAAATTAGTAGCTATTAGACTCCAACGTCACCTGAAGCACAAGATTACTGTGTTGTAGTTGTATTCTCCTGTACACTCACAGTAAAAACTGAAATTAACAGTAATCTCTTGTGTTTCTTCATAACAACTGTAAAACTAATGCAACTCAGCAGCCAGAAATTTTCATATAAAAAAAATAATTTTACTAGACCTATAAATAACATTTATAAACAAATGTGCTCACCATGTTTTGCATGGTGTATTCACAGAATATCTCAAATATGCATTTTAAAATGCAAATACACAATTTGCAGACATTTTAACTTCAAACATGACCAAAAACCTACATTTGGTAATACCAATTAGCAATAACATTTCCATCAATTAGCAATAACATTGCCATCAAGCAATAACATCAGTGTATCAGCTTTTAAACAATCAAAAAAAAAAAGTTCTGGCATAGAACTTCAAAAGTCTTTAAACACTAAAACCTTAATCATAAGAATAAAAACACTTAAAATATATTTTTAAATGTTTATGCCTTTTAACTCTCAGTTGCGGTCATATCCCGTAATGATGTGCAGAACATCTCAGTGTCAACCTCACAATAATTTGCTGTGTTAATACAAAAAATATCTTAAGATGAGTTGATTTCTAGGGGTGTAACGATTTTCCAAATCCACAGCTCGGTTCAGACTGCGTTTTTTGAGGGGGTTGGGGGTGAGGAAGAAAAAACAGGGAAAATTTTTTTGAGCTAACTTTGAATAGAATAATAATCAGGTGATTTACATTTGTCACTGTGTTACTTGTGAAATGAAAAATTAGTTTTGTTACATTTGTAATATAATAAGAGCTCAACAGCCTGCCCCATCAGCAATGGCAGAATGTTGGGGATGGGGAGGAGGGGTATCATGGTTCTGGAAGTCATGAGACCATGGACATTTGTAACATGGTTTTGATCTAGGTTTCAGAATCGTTACTCCCCTATTGATTTCACAATAAAATGATGAATATGGTATTGCTATTACTACAAACAACAATGCACCTTGGCTTTAGCTCACAGGCTTGTCTCCATAGAGAAGCATTCTCTAAACACAATGCACTTCAGCTATTCAGATATGCTAATACATTCTGTTACTGTGAGCTTGTTCCCTGACTTTCATGTTCATTAGCTGTCATACAGAATGACTCTGAATCTCTGTACCTGACAACAAAAATGTTTAGGATCATGTCAGCCTCAAGACTGTCGTCTTAGTAAAAGTGATTAGGCCTAAATATTAACATTAAACACAACAGTACACAAGAGACGCAGAACAGCTGGACTCTGAAACGCAACGCAGACAAGTTCCTCACCACAGATTACACTAACACTGTGCTCTCCAGCCAATTTCTGACTCACCGAACCCAACGAGTCCAGAACATTCCATACCGTATCTGCAATTGTGATGCTGTAGCTCAGCAAAACCAGAGAGAGCAGTAAAAAGCTGAGACTGGTCATGGCATCTTACCACAGTGACTGAAGAGATACTGAGCTTATTATTAAGGGCATAACACCTTCGATACACTCTGCCTCTTCCGAGGGTCTTTTGTTTACAGGTTTTTGTGGAAACTACAAAATATGAAAAACTAAATCAATAACTTAGTTACAGTTAATGCTTCGTCTCAGACTCAGCATGGATTTTACACTAATTTAATTCTGCTTTTGTGATGTTGATATTTCAGTGTTGTGGGGTTGAAAACAGAACCATGCTATATAAGTTTTTATTAGGAGGTAGTTCAGGTTTTTGCAGTATTTATACCTCAACTGCAGTTTTATAAGACTTCTCAGACACACTACTGTAGAATGTTTTGTTTGGAAATCAAATCTATAGCTTTGTGAGCTTTACAAATTTGTGTAGCATGCGAATAGAGCTCTGCTGGATCATGACACATAGAATATGAAATTCGAACTGACTCTAGACCTCCGAATAGAAAAAATCAGAGTGAACCTGACAATATGTGTTTTGTAACACCCCTACTTATGAAAAAACTCCTAGTCCAATCCAACAGAGGCTCATGCACTTCTTAATTTGGGGTTTGCTTACTATAATAAGCCTTGTTTGACTCACCTGTTATTTATTAAGACCTTTATGACTAGAATCAGATGTGGCAGAGCATGGTATAAAAAACAGGTAGCTAAGGCAGGGAGACTGGGTCTGAGAGACAATGATGTAGATAAATATGCTGGCATAAAGTGGTTTTAGAGGGGGGAGGAAAGAACTGCCATCACACAAACGAGTACACGACCTTCTGTTCATGACAGACCAAACACACTGCCATTAAGAAGCGGCCTGCTGGCTAAAAAGCAATCACAAAGAAAGCTGTCAGCCAGCCAGTGAATACCCTGACGTTTGAAAACTGTCATTCTTGACTGTGTTAGATGTTATGCAGGCATTTCTAAACGTATACAACATAAAAAAAACATCGAGTTATGTCAGAAACATAGAAGCAAAAGCAGTTAACGTTATATTCCAACTTACAACAAAATGCTAGCTAGGTTAACTTCAGTGAGCTACAGGTGTCAAAAACAAAAGATGCACCATTCCTCACCGCTTTAATTTAACAGTCTTTATATGAAATGGACTACGCAAACTGTATTAAATTACATGAGAAGGAATTATATGAGACAAAAGGCGAGTCCTAATGTCTTCTTGATATGAATTTGCCACAAAAAGAGAAGGTAAAAGCTAATCTTGCTAACAAGCTAGACTGCTTGTTTATCACTAGCTAACAGTCTCTATACCTGCCTGCATGATGCTAACAACAACCAAATTATAGCCAGCAGGTTTTTGGCAACATGCATATTGTGAGAGAAATAACATTATTTTCCACATTTACCCGTTTCTTCTTAGGTATCCATGTGTCTTCCCTTGGCGTGGATTATCAACAGAGTCGCCGGTTCGGCTAAGTAGCTAGTTAGCTAACTTAGCCAGCTAGGATTATTTCAAACGTGGCTTGCTAAAGCATTATAACCAGTTAGAAAAAGTGCAGCGCTTAACAGCGTTTTTCCCTCACAGTGAAAAAAAGGAGAAAGAAAACGACGACGGGCATCTGTCTACTAACTAAACGACTTTAACTGAAGACAAATCCAGGCGACAGCAGGGTCTTTATTCAGTGAGAAAAAGCGTCGACAAAAGCCATCAAGCTTCGAAACAGCGGCTGTAACTGTAACAGCGACGCCTCGCCATGGCAACGTCTGCTGCGCGCGCTGTATTATTGACGCACGCACCGTAGCAACCACCGAAAAAGCTAGAACAGCAAATAACTAACTTACCTATCGTTTGAATGATAAACAAATCATTATTTTTGTTAATAATAACAACAATACAACAACAACTACTACTATTACTACTACTACTAATAATAATTATTATTATTATTTATTGATCATATATAAATAGTATAATATGATTTTTATATATAGTATAATATGAATTATATATATATACATGTATTATATTGTTATTACTATCTTATTCAAAGGTTTGCCACAGGTTACCATAGCGTTTGTATTTTGAGTTCCACATGGTGGCTCCACATGGTGGCTCCACATGATGCTTTCAGTCCCTAATGCTGTTCTTTGAGTCCGCCACACTTAACAGTTCAATGTTTTCAAGTTGAAACACTCCTGAATCAGCTCAACCTCCTATTATCAAGTAGTTGTCTAACTCAAGTAGTTAGAAAAGTTGACTAAAGTCAGGGTCAGTTTAGGATCTTGTGGTGTGCCTGGGCATTAGAGCTATAGAGCCCTGTCCACAAACTCATTCTTCACAAAAAAATTCCAGCCTCAACCAGAGGTAACTCCTCAGCTAAGACCTTGTCAAGATCGGTCAGGTACCACTATAAAATAAGATACCAAAATGATCCTGTTTATATTTTACCTATAGATGCAACTGTCCACCATATCTACGCAATGACAATGCTTTTTGGATATGGATGGCTAGATTATCAGACTGATTGTTGTGGTTTCAAGATTTAAGTGAACTTTTTTCTATTAAGTGAACTATTTAAGTGACTGTTTCAAAAAGTGTTATGTCATTTTAAACCATACACTTTTTTAGAGCATTCATTTAGTGGAAAGTCACCCCAGTCACTCATATGGTATATCTGGCCATGACTAAAGTTAGATCTTTACTCTACGGTTAACACTTTTGGCACATATCTAATCTCATACTCTCTCTGTGTATGTGAAAAGAAATCTGAATCTAAATCTGAAAAAGGTCCACTCATTTGCAAACTACACTTCCCAGCATGCATCTGTGGTTCGCTTCAGCGCACGGGATAAGCGCTGTGAGTTCCTTGTGAGCCTGTTGGGGGAGTGAAGGGCACGCGGGCTGCGGAGTGAGCGCCGTTATTATGGAATAAATACTGGGGGCGCCCCGTTCACGCAGCATTAAAGCACGACCGCGGCTCCACAGCGAGCGCACGAGAGGCCGAGAGAGGGAGAGAGAAAGGGAACTACAGGAGAGAGAGAGAGAGTGAGTGAGAGATAAAGAGAAAGAGAGGGAGAGAAGCGGGATTAGGATGGTGATCAGGGTTTACATCGCCTCTTCGTCCGGCTCTCTCGCGGTGAGTTTATGTTTTTTTATGGCACGTTTTGGACTGACACTCATTCAAATCAGCAGACTGATAGTGTTTGATCAGACTGTCTGTGCTGCACTCTGATAACAGACACACATATAGATCTGTGTGTTATCAGTCAGCTGCGTTAGTAGATACTGACATCATAGTCTGTCAGGTCTTTAATGAAATATAGTTTTTGCCTTGAAGGGGCTAAGTGTCTCTGTGTGTGTGTGTGTGTGTGTGTGGTTTTAGCTCTTTAAGGGGAGCAAAATAGTGGAAATAATGACGTAGTAAGGACATTATTGGTGGAAATGATTAAAAATACATTCTTTTTCTCTTATTCATTATTATGATTATTATGATGATGATGATTGTGATTATTATTATTATTATTATTATTATTATTATCATCATCATCATTGCTTCTACTATCATTGTTGTTTAACAAAAAAATGCAGCTTAATGAAGAAAGGTTTAGCTCTTTATTATGACCAAAAATAATAGATATGAATATTCTGTCATTGTGGGGATGTTATTGGTGGGTCCCTTGAAGAACACAATGAAATTTTATGTTATTATTATTGGTCACACTTTGTGTGGATACCCGAGGGTAAGGTTTTGGAGTAGGTGTAGGTTTTGAGGTTAGGTTTAGGGTTGGGCATAGATTTAATAGAATCTTCTACACTCAACTTCAAGTTCAGTTGCATTTAATAGATATTGAATTGAATATTACTAAAAGATATACTGAGCATCTACAAAGCATACAGTGGACCACCCAAATGAAGTGTTACTGAACCGTATACAAGAGTTTCTCCATCACAGAGAAGAATCATTTGACTATGCAAAGAACCATTTCAAATGGATCTTTGAGTTGTCATGGTTCTGCATATATCACTCCCTTTGCTAAAGAACATGTGAAGAACCCAATCACAGAAAACTGAATATCTGTGCTTTTTTTAATAAGCATTTGATGTAGTGTGTAAACACTGTTAAAGTTTCAAAACTTGCTGTTCACTCCTCAGTTTATATGTGAAAACTAAGCTGCCAAAACTTTTTTTAAATGTATTGTTTCTCTGATGTCATGAAAACCAATGTATTTGCATAAGTCTGCCTATTGAGCCTATAGCGCTTTAGCCCCACCCATTCATGCTGATGTTAAAAGGACTGGACTGCTTTTTTAATGAGATACAAATTACAGGACAGCCAGTCTTAAAGGCACAGTAATGAAAACAGCCTGTTTAATTCTAAGGGATAAAGAGAGGCTGGAAAACCACACAAACATCGTAAGTGGACCTCCATGGGAATAAAACAATATAAAATGTTAGGTTATAGGTCCTTTAAACGTGCAGCATCTAGCCATAGAATGTTTTCGACGGTGAAAAATGAATAATTCACTTATACAACATACATAATGACTGTTTTCAATCTAAGTTAGATAAATTAGATTAGAGAGTTTTCCACACTACTGCACCTAAATAAAAAAGTCAATGGACCCATCAAAGACAGGAATACCAACTAGAGTGTGTCTGTGTTTGTGTGTCTGTGTTCGTGTGTGGCCTTTAATAAATGCCCTCAGCTCCCTTGAATACCTCTTTACATGCTCCACTGGGCTGTGTTCATGCTTATGGCTCTTCTGCTCCTGTACAGTGCGAGTCATTATGTAACCTGAGATACTAACACGTAATCCCACTCAATCTCAGTTTTTAACAGGCAGCTCTTTCTCATGTAATCCTCGATTGTTTGCTGGTCAGTCATGGTCCAAAGATTTGCCGTGATCGGACGTTCCGGTCTCCACTCTCCACTCCTGTGGATTACAGTGAGCAATAAACAGCAAGCGTGGCCAAAGTGCATGTTTACCGTACAAACTAACCGCTTTCTCAGCCCTTAACTACAAATACAGGCCTACAGTGCAGTTCAGCCAAGGGTAAATAGACTCTTTTCTGCCATTTAGCCTTCGTGATCATGAGAAATGTCTTAATCTATTCTTCTCTGAGTAGGGATTATCTTCCAGTCTTATAGTAAAGAGTCTCCCTGATGTTGATTTTTAGCCCTCTCATGGGTGAGCCAAGTGGTGAACGTCTATGCCTGCAGGGTGCTTTGGTGCTTAACAAATTATGCTTACATTTTAAAGGGGTAAAAGGTCGGTATCCTTCATTATTCTTGTATTTTATCGCTCTCTTCCTGAGGTCCCCTTATGAGGTTTTATGTACCAAAAACACTATTTTTTTCATGACCATTTTCCATCCTGTCTTATAACTAAACAGAATTTGTAGCTGTGCCTGTGTGACGAATATATGTAAATGAGCTCTGTTTTCATAGGCTGCAGTGCACTGTGCCTTATTCAAAAAGCAATCCAGACTGAAACAATCCTTATACCTGCAATGTTAATAGGCAGAGCTTAACTGCTGTAGGCTGAAAAGGTGGATATATGCAAATATGTTTGTTTTTGTGACATCACAAAAATGGAGAATTAAAAACAGGCTGTTTTAGCAGTTTTGTTTCCATATATTGACTTTACAGACTGTGAACAGTGCATTTTGAAACTTTAACAATGTGTACATAGTGCATCAAAACGTATTAAAAAGTGAAGAAAATTCATTTTTCCATGATATGGGCTCTTTAAAGGTTCAGGGTTAGAGGGTTAGGCTGTGTTTATTGCTTATCAGATAGAAGGGTTTATAGTAACATTGCTGTAATGGGGGCAGCATTAGGTAGTGGTTAAAATGACTAATGCACTGATTTCCTTTGTTTCCATATTTCTACAAAACTTGGACTTGTTTAGCCTAGGAGCTATTTTTAGACCAGCACTCTCTCTCTCTCTCTCTCTCTCTCTCTCTCTCTCTTTCCTCATCATCTCTTTCCCTCTCTCTGTCTTTCTCATAGAGGCCCACAGACTTGAAGTAGGAACAGGGAAAGAATAGATCTGGTCAGAAAATAATAGAATTGTTTATTGTCATTGTAAAATGTAGAGTTGTTTTTGAGTTTATTTTGTACACAGAAACATTGTAGAAGTGTTTGAGATTTGGCGGTGTTGTGCAGATGATCACTAAAGTTTGTCAACATGATTCTTATATTGACTCTCTCTCTCTCTCTCTCTCTCTCTCTCTCTCTCTCTCTCTCTCTCTCTCTCTCTCTCTCTTTCTCCCTCTCTCTCCCAGACACACAATAACTTGATAAGTTGATGATAGATGAGTTGGTGATTAAGGAGATGTAATTAGATAGGGTGGTCTTTCTCCCACACAAACAGACACTCTAATTTAGTCACTATAAAAGGAGGTCGGGCAGGTGAGGGGTGTGTATGTGTATGTATATATATATATATATATATATATATATATATATTTATATATATATTTATAAAATGTGTGTGTGTGTGTGTCTGTGTGTGTGGTCTGAGATGCATGTGTTGATCCGGTTTTTGGAGGATTTCTATGAGGGGAATATTCAGAAAAAAGGGAGTGTATGGGTGTGAACAAAAATGCTTGTTGACAAGAGAAAGGCTACTTATGAACTGTGCGTAGTGAGAGAGAGAGAAAAACAGAGAGAGAGAGAGAGCGAGAGAGAGAGTGATAAAATGAGACAGAGAGAGACACAAGATGACAAAGTGAGTGAAAATGAGATAGAAAGAAAGAGAGAGACAAAGACAGAAAGAGAGTTAAAGAGAGAGAGAAAGAGAGACAAAGAGAGAGTTACAGGACTGTACAAAAGTCTTAAGCACCTTAGAATTTGTTTAAAACTATTTATCTGGACAGCAAGTGTGTTTTTTTGCCAGCATATAACATTAGAATAATGTTACAAATAAAAACAGAGATGCAATAAAATGTAGCATGACGTTTTTTGTTGTTTTTTTAACACAGGCTAGATTCCTCTCATTGCACCTCAATCATTGTGTGGATTTGTTCAATTCCATCAGCAGCACCTGATTTACTGATAAACTAGGTTTTGCATGGTAACTGTAAATACTGAACTTCCTCAAGGAGGGCTTTGGAAATTGGCAAGCTCACACACTCACACACATCAAATCACAATGTACTGTTTATTTATGTATTTGTTTTGATTTAAATGTTTGTGTTTTCTGAAAAAACAAATGTTTTTGGCCCAGATAAATAGCTTTATATATAAATTTCTCTCTAAAGAGTTCTGCATAGTACTGGAAATTGAGAGGCTGAGAGAGTGAGAGAGAGAGAGTGAGAGAGAGAGAGAGAGTGTGAGAGAGAGAGAGAGAGAGAGAGAGAGAGAGAAATCCACAGCTGATAAAGCAGATTATGATCATGTGAACATAGGTCAAAACTGTTAAATGCTTCTAATCCCCCTCACTGTTTGTGCTCTTTCTATATGAATGATTTTATCAAATTGCTAAAGGTCAGAGTTGAAAACATATTTTGGACTTTTAATTGACTTGGACTTTAAAACCTTTTTAATTTGAGTGAACCTATACCTTAATTATGCCTGTTTTATTAAAACAAAATTATTAAAAATTCCATTTTGTCACTAAGAAAACAATCGTAACAGTACTGACACTCCGAATGTTTCATTAGTGACATTTTTAGCTAATTTTGAGCAGGACTCAAAAACGCTAGCCAGTACATGACTAGCAAACAAAGCTTTGAACAGTTGAACACACATAAAATCATAATATTTTTCATTAGAATGCAAAAAAGTTAAATTGCAGAAAATATGTGTTTCAGTAGGGACAATTCTTTATGTTACCTAATGATTTTTCAGACTTTGGGATTTACTTCAAAACAATGGACTCTAACTGCTCACCATGTGGCCATGATGGACAGGGATGCAGTCTCACTACCTGCTCTTAAATGCAGGGGTGTGGCTAAAATAAGGCTCTACTTAAGCCGCTTTTCCACTGCATGGTACCGGCTCGACTGGACTTGACTCGACTCTACTCACTTTTTTGGTTTTCCACTTGGCAATTCTGGTACCAGGTACTATTTTTGGTACCACCTCTGTCGAGGTTTCAAGCAAGCTGATAGGTCAGAGTAACAATGCTCTAGACGGCTACCGATAGGTTGGAGAGAATAGCTAAACACATATGCTAATGTTAGCTACCAGGTTAGCGTAGTCTCTTGCATTGCCTCTTTTAAACAACCAGAATCATCTTGTTGTCTGAACTCTGATGTAGTTTTTCCCAAAGTCTCCTGATTTTTTCAGCAGTATTTTGTCTTACTGACATCAGCCTCTTCTAAACAAAATTTGTCTTCTTCACATCAAGGCAGTTACATTTGGCATTGCTATGAGGACCAGCCACATTGAAGGGATACTATATGAGCAGTGGAAAACAAAGTAGCTGGTACCAAAAGCGAGTCGAGTCGTGTCGAGCCGAGTCGAGCTGGTCCATGCAGTGGGAAAGCGGCTTTACAGACCACACAACTGTGTGACATGAAAACGTGGGACAGCATTGACTTTTGAATATTTTTTTTTAATTAAACTCATGAAAATCTAAATCTTTTAACTTCACTTTAAAAACATTTTTAAAAACACTGATAAAAAGCAACAAAATGTTTATTTAAGTACTATTTTCACAGTGGTTAGGGTTTGGGACAGTACATACAATGACTTTGAATATATTTATCTTAATGCTATCTCAATTAATGCCTTGAGTTTAAATAAATCATAACATAACCATTGTGACTGTCTCAGGTGTGAATACTTTTTAATTTTTTTTTTTTACAGTGGACTGCTGTATGAATGAATTCAGTAGTTGGTGTGGTCTGGACACTAGGGTGCACTCATCATGAATTTTAATTTCATTTGCAGTCAAATTAACTGACAGTCTATTTTTTGGTTGATTAGCCTTTGTTTTTAATGAAGCTGAAGTTCACATTGGGTGGGCTAAATGAAAATATTAAACACACTAGCACATTTCCAATGAGCCTCCCACCCCCCCACCCCCTGAGTGACTGCTTTGGGACCAAATTACGTTATATCTACAAATGGGCAGTCTAATCATAGTTTCAGACAGAAAATGTTGGACAAGCTTTTGTCATTCTCTAAAAAAGTAATTATAGCTACAGTTCATAACCAAAAGGTCTATTTTACTATTCCAACCTGTGTTTTTTTTTACAGTTCAGCCCCTGTTTAGAAGTGTCTTTTGAGTTGAACTGTTGTTTCTGTCCAGGCTAATCAACAGTATGATAAAGAGATGGCTGATAGATATTAGGTTGAAAAACGCTGCAGTATTCCTGCAGTCATGGTTTAAATGGCTGGTCCGTTCCCGGATGATAAACACTCAGTGTCCTGAAGCGCCCGGCTTTATAGCACTTATCATTCATCATGACTGGATTGCCTAATTGCCTAATAATGTTTCCTCGTTGACCGTCTGGCCTTTGTTTACGTTCAGTATTTTCTCAGACAAGGAGATTTTTCAACGCAGCACAATGAGTTCATATTGTTTATTTTGTGTCTATGGTAACACAAACAATTTGACATCTGATGCTTTGTTATGGAAAGTGTTGTTTATTCATAGAAGAGTTTTTAAAGAGGTCATGGTACATATCGTAGAGTTTTAACAGTGGAGCATATGCAATGAGTGTTTAAGGGGGTCATGTATGATAAGCAGCATCTTATCTTTACTCCTTTGTTTTGCGGATAAAACAATAGCTACATTGTGTGTGTATGTGTGTCAGTATAACACCAGCTTTTGTCCTGCATTCTGTCCATCACAGCTTAAAGGGGAACTCCAAAGAATTTTTTAACATTTCTGCATAATTGAGTGGTTACGATGTCAAACAAAGTCAGTCAGAGTGGTTCGAAATGCACCGTGCTTGAGAAAGTTTCCAAGTCAGGATTGTTCACAGTGGTGATAGGAACCAGATGTCTGAGGTTTCTAACGTCTCTAAAACTACACCACAGAAAGCTTTTACATTAAATAGTTAGGAATACTCTGCCAGATGCGTTTGACATTATTTCATGATAGTTGTGACATAAGAAGTAAAACTGCAAGACAAAAACTTTTAATCCATTCATGGTGGTGTAGGGTGTTGTACAGTAACATAATATGGAGCATAAGGATACTTATTTATTCAGATCTGTCACTATTTTATCATCATCATTACATGTAACACTCTGAGGACACGTGGTATTTTTGGATAGTAACCAGTTCCTATCACCACTACTGTAAAGAAATCAGTAGAAATCAGTCAGTCAGTTCTTCTACAATGAACCATTTCACATCAAACCACCCTGAATGACTTTGTTTACCTCTCAAAATTTCCCTGTCATATTTAATTGAGAACTACTCCAGCCCCCACATAAACAAATAAAACATACATCTCTGACCAAATATGTGCTGCAGACAGATTCACTTGTAGATTCACTTATATTGCAACCCAGATTGTGTGTGTGTGTGTGTGTGTGTGTGTGTGTGTGTGTGTGTGTGTCTTCCTCACAGTGATATCAGCTGAAACAGGTCTGCTGGTGCCCAGCAACACAATCTGCACTGTCAGCACACACACACACACACACACACAAACACACACACACACAAAAAGAGAGAGGATGTGGCAGAGAGAGGCGAAGAGAAAGAGGCAGAGCGAGAGAGAAAGAGAAGATGAGGTAGATATGGACAGAGAGAAAGAGAGAGGCAAAGGTAAAAGGAAAGGGGGAGAAATAGAGAGAGAGAGAGGGAGTGAGTGTGACAGATAGATAGGGATAGACAGAGACAGAGATACAAGGAGAGAAGAGGGAGAGAGAGATGTCGAGAAAGAGACAGAGGGAAAGGGAAAGGGAATGGAGAGAGAGAGAGAGAGAGTGATTCATCTCTGTTTTCAGCACTCACTGCGCTTTTTCTATGTAGATGGGCTGAACTCTTGTCTAAGCATCAACAAGGCACATCGCTGCTGTTAATGCCTTCACACATTCTGGTCAGATATTTAGTTCTTAGTAAGTATATTATTAGTAAAATTCAAAAGCAATGCCCTCTTCACCCCCGGGCATGTCTATGTTGGGGTTAGTGAAATGGATCAGCATGTGGAACTGGAGCTTACTCCCTTGTGTGCATGTGTTTTTTTGCCAGTGTTAATCTTCAATAAACTATTATATTTTCTTAAATTGCAAAAGATTAAATGTAAGGATGTTAGTATCTTAGCCATAAAACCACATAACTGCCCTGGCTCAGTGTTAATGGTGGTATCACAGAGCTATCACAGTACAGAGGGCATCCCACTTAAGAGATTTTATACAGTTCCTTTTCCCGTATGCTAATATCACTGCTGCTCACACATGCAGACTTATGGACATGCATTAACTCTCTTGTGAATAGGTGTGTGTGCATGAGCATATTTTTATCTTCTGGAGCACAAAATGAGCATTGTATTAATGTGTGTGTATGTGTGTGTAGTCCAGCTGCCTCCTATCCATTTTCCCTCAGTTAAGCCTTCAGAAAGGATCAATATCTTCTTCTCAATAATGACAACCAAAGAATCTCTCTTTGCTGTTGTCAGGAGAAAACCTTGTACCTCCATTTTTGACGTTTTTCAGTTTTTGACATAGTTTGAAAATGCCTGCTGCCCTTTACATTGTATATAAATTTAATAATGAATGGACTAAAAGAAATGACCCAAAATGAAGTCTAGTTCCATTCACTTACATTAAAAGTAAAGGTTTTTTCCTTCTCCTGTCAAGTTACCATTTTGGATATACAAGGATTTCTTCCGACAACAGTGATATATATATACGTACACACACACGCATATCTAAAGGCTCAGATTAAGGAGCATTACAAGCAGAAACTGTTTAGATTTCCTTTTTTTTTTTGAAAACTTCAGCTGCCCTTTTTTATACTCTTCTTCTATTTTTTGTAGATCATCTTTCCTCAGATCCTCAGTCAGCCACCTATACGAGCCCATGGCTGGTTAGTTTAAGCACAACACCTTGAGCAGTTTGTGGGGTCACATAATTTATTATGCTCTGAAACTGTCCACATCTAACTTGGATTGAGGCTTAATAAGTCAAGTAAGCTCTGAGAAAAAAATAAACCTAGTGGATCAACGGAAAGGTTCTCTAAACCTTTACACAAAGTTTATGTTTTAGTTTTTTCCAATATCAAATTCAGCAAATAGACTGCACATTAAGATGTGGAGAAAAGAGTCATATTTAGGTTTGTTTCTTGTTCCTATTAACTTCTTTCCACTTAGAAAATCAACAAACACAGAATTAGAGCGGGTGCCTGAAGTTTTGCATGCATGTATAGACATATGAGGGGTTTTTCATAGCTTCTTTAGTCAATGCAGCAGACCATAACAACTCAAAAACCATTTGAATGTTTAAGTGCTTCTTTGCCTGGTTAAATGGTTCTTGACTATTAAGGAGAACCTATTGTACATAGTTCTTTAAAAATCCTTTAAAACTGGTTCTGTACAGCATCAAAAATGGTTCCACTCTTATTAGAAGTCAGAGAACGTTTTTTGGAACTACACAGAGCCCATTGCGCTAAGAGTGTCGCAATAAGTAGTTTACATTAAATCCAGACCATTTCATGTTGCTCCTCAGGTAAAGAAGAATCAGCAGGCCGTGGTGGGCTTCCTAGAGGCAAACCGGATCAGTTTTGAGGAAGTGGACATCACCATGCAGGAGGAGCAGAGACTGTGGATGTACCAGAACATTCCGCCAGAGAAGCGGCCAGAGAAGGGCAACCCACTGCCCCCTCAGATCTTTAATGGAGCAGAATACTGCGGGGTGAGTGGATTTCACACAGGAGATCATGCACTCATTGATACTCATCAATAAATCTTATCAGAGACCTAACAATACACTACATGTCACTTTTTAAAATTTTCATTCTTTTACACAATTTGGCAGCTGCGCTTTATATTGTGTGAACAGTTCATAATGAATGGACCAATAGAAATGATCCAGAGTTACTTGGAGCAAATCTTGTAATGTTAATGTGCATTAAACTCAATATCAGTTTGCAAAGGGTCAAGCATCCTAAGGATCTTAAGTTCTGATTAAGTGAATGTGTGAACATATGTGAAACTGAGAATTGGACTCCACCAATTCATTAACAGTTGTTGTTTGGAAAATGTGTGATTATTAGAGATTTGTTAATATATTGTTTCTGTCCAGTGAAGAACAAGGATCTTCAAAACGATAACTTTACAGGGAGGGAGCAGAAAATTTCTTCACTCCTAATGTAATTTAATGTAAAGAGTTTTTATTCTAAGCAGTTTTGAAGCATTTCTATTGGTCCATTCATCATTCAATTTTTACACAATGTAAAGGACAGCTGAAAATGCTCAAATGATACAAAAAAATAAAAATCGCAGAAAATGGAAATACCTTTTTTTGACAGCAACGATATATAGCTAAACTTCCTTTATCAATTAGTAATTAAGAAATATGCATATGTGACAGTTTTATTAGTGAGAGAATTGAAAGATCAGAGTAGCTAATGAATCAGTCATAGAACAGATCTGACGGGACACTTATTGAAGATCAATATCAGAAGTGTTTTTGAACGTATCAATAACCTGTTAATGAGGATAGTTTACTAGACATTAGAACTTCATCAAACAATGAATTTCCTTTCTAATTGTAAGCCAGTGCTGACAGATCTTGGTCTTTCAGGAGTATGTTTTGATTAGAGGTACTGCAGAGATCTACTCTATGGGACTTATTGAATTTCCACTCTGTTTTTGAGCCAGTGACATGCTAGTGTGGTTTTTGTGATCCTTACCAATCACATGATCAGACATGGTATTTCCTTCCTCTGGTTGTGGTGTAAATTTTCCAACCTCTGTTTTGACCAACCGGTCAGTGTTTGTTCAGTGTTGTGAAGTTTCCATTAGCTCTTGCAAACAGTTACACCCTCCCCACCCCCCACACTTATAAACATGCATTTGTTTTCATATGGATCTTTCTACTCAATTGAAAAAAAACACATTTTGGACTTTTAACTGACTTGAACTTTAGACTAAAATCCTTTAGCTCAGAGTGACCCTATACCTTAATTATATTTTATTTTATTAAAAGAAATGATTCACTGTTCCATTTTGTCACTAACAATGTAATTATAATGTCTCCAAAACTCTGCCGAGTGTTTCAGTAGTGACTGTTTCAGCAGCGACAATTTGAGAAGAACTCAAAAACACTAGCCAGTACATGACTAGCAAACACAGCACTGAACAGTTGAACACACACAAAATCATGATATTTTTCCCAAACCCAAACAAAGGTCACTAAATTGCAGAAAATATGTGTTTTGGTAGTGACAATTCTTAATTCACTTAAGAATTAAAATTCAATTCAAACTGATTTTCAGTTTTTAGGACACATTTTCTTCAAAACAATGGGATCTAACTGTTCTTCATGTGGCAATATGTAACACCTATATATGATTGTATGAGTATTTATATGTAATAACATGTCCCATATGTACTGCATATTGGTTGGCCATCAGACAAAAACTTTGTATCTCCAAAAAAGTAACCTTTCAGGAGAACTTTTCTTGACTTATAATAGAAGAAATATTTAATATATAATATAATATATATTTTATTTTTATATATATAAAAATACTTTATTCCAAGCAATTTATATTGGTCCCTTCATCATAAAACTTTTGTGCAGTGTAAATAACAGTTAGTACTTTCAGATTATACCAAAAATGAAAAACAACAAAAATTGAGATACAAGATTTTGTTCCAACAACTACAATCTGCCAGAATGTTAAAACCACCTCCTTGTTTCTACGCTCATTGTCCATTTTATCAGCTCCACTTACTATATAGGTGCACTTTGTAGTTGAGACTGTACAGACTGTAGTCCATCTGTTTCTCTGCATACCTTGTTAGCCTCCTTTCACCCACCATACATCAATGGTCAGGACCCCCACAGAGCAGATATTAGTCAAATCTCTTGAAAAGTCGGAGACCACATCGACTGATCAGTTCCATTTAAACCTGGAAATAAACAACAGAAAAGTTAATGGCCTACACTACAGGGCTTGGAGAAGAATTTTAAAAGACTAAAGTCTGACTCACATCAGTAGTCACAGAGTTTTTAGTCACAGACTATGATTTTGCAAAGACTGGTGATTTAGCAGGGTCATTATTGCATGAGACAAGACAAAAAATTATGATAACATTAAAATTATGATTTTATGTCTAGACAAGAAAAAGACTGACTTCACACAGCTGTCCTGCCCACCTCAAACCAAACGATCAAGATAACAGGAGCATGTCACAACTCTACCAAGCTCTAATGATATTATTGCACTATTGGAAATTTGTCTGCGACAGTGAAATTGCATAAAAAAATCGTTTTATGTAAGGCTGGCATTAGCATAAGCTTAATCTCAAATTGTACCCTAATATTAACCACAGTATTGATAAACAAACCGTTTTCCTCTTTCAATTAAAAAAATGAGACTTGAAGCTTGTTTTGTTGATTCTGTAGGCCCTGTTTTCTGTTTTTTCCTGGTTTTCCTTCAAAATCAGGACATTTCCTGATTGTCCTGAAAATGTACATGTGTTGTGTTTCTGTGAGTCTTCAGCTGGATTAATGATTAGAATGAGAGTGTAGTCAGTAGGTGAGTTTGGTCTTTGTACCAGCAATAAGCATTACATTGTCCTCTGACCTGCGATTTAAAACCTTCTCCTCACATGGATCAGTGTGTGTTTATAACATTGTCAGTGTTTGTGATCTAATGGCAGCGTTAGCTGGATTTTGCATCGCAAACCCCATAATCTCAGTGTAATCCATATCCTAGAGCTCCGCTTCTCAGAGTATTTGGCTGTTTAAAACTTCTTACTCTGTTTCCCTCAGGGATGGGCAATATCACTGATTCTTTGATCAAAAACCAGTACCAATACTCTTAAATGTCTTGCTATGCACAAAAAACAGGTACAGTTATGATTTCTACCGTGAGATTTGGTAAAATTTACATTTTTAAAAATTATTACCCTGTTACTGACCCCAACATTTCAAAGGATGCTTTACTTTCTTTCTGTATGAGCACTAGTGGGAGAGAACGAAAGGGAAAGTAGTATTGGCATCGTTCGTAGTAGAGGTCTGCACTGGACCCGCAGGACCTGCCCCAATATCTTGTGGCGCGGGACTAGTTTTAAGTATTGTGCATGGGGGCAGGCGGTAAACCAGCCCACTATAGGCAGGAGTGGGCAAAAGCATGCAGGAAGAGAAATCCCACAAATTAGTGAAGAGCCTAAATAAAGTACAACAATCACTAAATCATTAATAAAAGCAATATAAAATGAAAAACAGTAAAACAATTAAAATAAATTATGTCATTCTATAGAATTGCGAAGCAACCGATCACGTGAACAACATGAAAATTCTTGTAGCTTACAGAGACGGCAGAGCCTTCAGCCCGACAGCCACAGCTGCCGAGCCCAGGAAAACACCAAAAATAACTGTTCTGTGGTTTAATTCCTGCTTTGTGTTTACTGGAAATAAATAATGTGTTTCAGCAGAGAATAGTGTATTTGTGAGTAGACTGTGTCACATATTAGATGTCAGTTCACTTTGATGGGAATGCGGGGGGCGGGAGCAGGCCAAAATGCTTCGGTTGCGTGCGGGAGCGGGACAAATGATACCGATTTTTTGTGGGAGTGGGCAGGAGTGGATGAAATCTTGTGTGAGCGGGACTGAAAAAGGGCGCAGACCTCTAGTTTGTAGCAGTCATTTTTTCTTCCTCAATATCAAAACCAATTTGCATGCATAATTATTTTAATTATAGCTAAAGTGGAAGATTTGGTATCAACATTTTTATGTATGAGTCAGTTCTCAAAAGGAAACATCTGGATCAGCTGTATCCAGGTCCCTACTTTCCTTATGGTGTGCCTCACTGTTTGGACACACACACACACATGCACACACACATACACACGCACACATACATTTTCTAAATCGCTTATCCTTTTGGGTTGCGGGGGGGAGCTGGAGCCTATCCCAGCAGTCATTGGGAGGAAGGCAGGAAACGCCCTGGACAGGTCGCCAGTCCCTCTCAGGGCAGGCAGGCTTTTTGACCAATGACACAAAAAGTATAAACATATCAGAACGCTAAACCATCACAACTTTTGTTTAATGTTAAATTGTGTTCTTTCAGGATTATGAAGACTTCTTCCAATCTAAAGAAACCAACACAGTGTTTTCGTTTCTTCGCCTCAACTCTCAACCCTCAGTGAAGGTACAGAAAACAAACTACACATACATTTACTCACTGTATTCACACAATATTCTGTTTTTTAATCATTATCTTGACACTGGTCTTCATAACACAAATATTGCAGAAGTTTGAAATATGCAAATGAGCACTTTAACCAATCGCAGTAGACCTCTGAAGTTGTGTCATGATTTAATAGCCACTGTCATGCCCGTATTAGGAACTCAGGGTCTCAGCAATTTTGCTCTATAGGCAAAATGAATGATTTCTGCTATCACACCAACTTACCAAAATACCCCACACAGGCAAGTAAGATTTGTTAAATGTAGTAGGTCAGTTGCTTGGCCAGAAGTGCTATAATAGTGCTGAAGTATAGCAGAAGACTTTCATGAGATGTCGTTTCAAGTATTTCTGTCAGTATTCTCTACAAAAACGTAGACAGATCTTTAACCATGTCATGTTTCTCTCATGATTCATGTGCTGGATGTTTATTCATGTTTCAGGGATTTATTGTCTTAAACAAACTCCGCTAGTTCAGCAGGAGAACCCAATGCTAAACAATTTAAAAATAAATGGAAAGTGACTCAGTGTCCTCTCTGTGCATGAGCGACGGATTTGAAGCTCCAAGGCTAATAATACTTTGTGCTGTCATAGCGAATGTAGCTGTAAAGGCAATTATCAGCAGAATTTAATTTCCCAGAATGCATGCCCATAGCCTGGCTCTGTGCTCGGGAATAATCTGATTATCTGTCCCTGGAGAAATGTAAAGCCACACAGCACGCCAGCGTCATTTAACTATTCAGTGTGACAGTGTAGATCCAGTATGTCATTTGAACATATATTTGCCTCTGGACATTTCAAACACACATAGCTTATGAAGCTATGACAGCAAACTACAGAGTAAGTAGTAGATTGAATAGAGATGGCTTAAATTTACCCAGTTTCCACTTACCCTATATGTAGTCGATCATCCAAGACATGCTTGGAGACCAGATTTTGCTTCTTTTGTTTAAAACTGGAACTAGAAGGCTAATGTTGCTAACAAAGTCACCCAAATAGCCCAGCTTGTTTCTGTAAAAATACATCACCAAAACTTCTCTTAATCTGCTCAAATCCTATATAGGTCTTCATTAAGGTGGTGCAAGCTAGAGCCTGACCGATAAATTGGTGCGATGATATCATCGGACGATATCAGCTTGCTGCAGAAAAATCAATGCTATTTATTGATGTTTATAACAGCCAATAAATGGCATTTAAAAAAGAAAGAGAATGATGAAGACAGGTCTTTCAGCCATGTTATGAGTGTTTTCGTTACGTAGTTTGTCCATCAGGGGGCGCTCTGAAACGGCAACTCTCAAGTTTTTGAGAAAGGCAAACATCCCAATTAGCCTACATTTAATAACATGGCCATTGAGTGATGTAGGCTAAGCTGTTGATAAAGTTCGTAGATTTATTTATGAAAATGTTTGTCGGTTCTAGTGAGTAAACAGACAACTGTCCTATCTTTTCTCCCTAGCTTGTCAAAATTTTTGACAACATCACATACAGCAGTTTATAATGCTGTTCATTGCTGAAGCAGGTTACCCGCAAAGCTAGCTACTGCTGTGTTTATCAGTGGAATAGAAATAATGTTAATGAGCGGTTAAACTATAGCATTTAACTTATTTTGACGATGAACGATGAGGGTGAAGTCAGCTTTTTATTTGCCAGAATTTTCCCATTCCACCTTAAATCGTGCAGCAGTTACATTCCGGGGCCTCGTGCTGTTTACATTGTCTGAGCAAGGTTGTCACAATGTTGTCACAACTTAAGTATTATGTAACGTTGGTTACGTCTGGTATTATGACCACAGTTTGCAACTTAGCAAAATTCCACACGGTTCCATGCACAACATAATGGAACTCATGAAGATTCTAGGAAGTTGTGACAATGTTGCCACTATGTTGTCACAGTGTTGTCAGATAATGTTGTCACAACTTTCTGAGGAATTACATATAAACGTTGTGACAATGTCATGGGCACCAAAGAATAGGCTGTCACAACGTAGTCACAATGTCTGCTGGATCGGTCTGTGAGGAATGAAGGAGATCCTTTTGCCTTTGAAGACACTCAGCCCGTTTGTGCTTCATCTCATGTGGATTTTCATCTCCAAAATCAGCTTGGACTGAGTTGCTGCGATCTGAGCTGTGAAGGAGAGTTTTAGCTCCTGAAATGAAATGGTGAAACTCCATGTTCTCGTCCATTCTCTTAGATGCTCCGCCTGTCTTTTTAGGCAGCAAGAGCTATTTGGTGACATTTCCCCAAAAAATCGTGTTGTGTCTCGTGTGTACAGTTTTTATGAGAAAAAATCATGCTTGAATATTAAGCATTTTAGTGTCATTTTTTTGCATCATATTTGTTGTGTAATGGCCTTAACATGCCATGTTCAGGTGCTTCAGATGATTAATCTGGTTTTTCATTAAATTCTTTAAACGATTGTAGAACAGATGTTTATTTGTGCTCGTAACACAGTGTGAAATCCCAAAGCTGCAAGTTTCTTTTTAAACTGCATTGCATCATGTTATCTTGGTGAGGACTCTTACATCTACACATAACAAGTGTTGGGGAAAATCTTAGTTCATGTTATGTATTTCTGAAGAAGAAGAAAAAAAAGAATATCAGCCAATATATCGGATATCTCTGATTTTTAAATCCTCAAATATCAAAATCGGTATCTGTCTTAAAAATCCTTTATCGGTCAGGCTTTAGTGCAGATGGGTTTAGAGCTCAGTATGGCTTAATATGAATTATAAAATAAACAAAATTTCACTGCTACACATGGCCATCTCAGACACCAGGTCTGGTGTTTATAAAGCAGAGCTCCTACATCTGAGATGGTTTCTGAATACAAATATCTTGACCTGGATAAGTGGGTTGAAAGACAATTCGGTGATGTTTTTTACTGAAACAATTATTGTTATTTGGGTGACTATTGAGTTCTAGTGTTTGTGCATAATATTAGCCTCAATGCTCAAATTCTAAACTGAGGAAGCACTCCAAACATATCGCGGCTGAACAGCTACATCTGGGGAAAGCTGAAAATTGTGCGCTAAACCATTCATAATGGGGTTACATCCTGGAAAAATGCATTTTCCTTGTTTTTTAGATAAAAAGGTTTGAATGCAAACACTGTTAGTTTCAAAATCCCTCTGCAGTCCATTTAGTCAAAATATTTCAGCTAAACTGCAAAAGCAGCCTGTTTTGAATTCATCGTGGCTGTGATGTCACAAACCCCTACCCATTTATATTGAAGTAATAAAGAGTGTTGTTACTGGAACACTGTGTTATTACTGGAGTGGACGCTGTGGGAAAATGATTAAAAGTCGCGCTGTTCCTGGCTGTTCGGAAGAAAACGGATTATTGTATCTTTCAAAAGGACCTATAAATCCGAAAAAAGAGTGGTTGAAGTTCATTTACATATTGTAGTTCATAACATCACTCTAAAAAAGACATAGTAACAAAAAAACGTGTTTAAGAGAGGATGAAAAATGGTTGTGTTAAAATGAATTAGGACAATACAAATGTGGGGTATGGGCCTTTAAATGCACTGTATCATACTCTTTAATTCTGTAACTCTGGCTTCTACAGGATTCTGAATCCTAGGCTATAAACATTCCCTTGACTGAAGCACTGTGGCGCTGTTTCGTGATGTATCTTTCTTCCTGGGAGCGTGAAGCCCTTACTGCCAGCCATGCTTATGCCAAACACCAAAACCTGCTGCCCACCAGCCCCCCCACACACTCAGAGGATTAAAGAGACCTTTCCTTGACAGTTATTTCTGATTCTCTTATTGTTGTTGCTTTTGTTTTTTAATGTTTGTATTGTTGCATGACCTGCTTGATCACATCGACGTAACTTGTGTTAAATGTATGTGTCACTATCTGGCTCTAATCAGTGTATGATAAATAATGTAAAATGTTTGTAATCATCTATATTCAGTATAAGAGTTTGAATACGTGTTCTGAGGCCATGCTTTGTTGTCTTCTCTATGTATGAATGATTTTGTTGGGGCAAGTGCCAGCATTACTTGAGACAAAGAACTGCCCTATTCATGCTCTGCCCACACATAGCAACTGTTTATAAGGTGGACAAGCTTTACAAAACATTGGTAAAAGTCCCTTTTCAGTGGTTCCCAAAGGGTGCAACCATTTAGGTTTTGGCCACATTGTCAGGAGATTGTAATTTCTGGTATTGCCATAGCCATCTGAGGCTGGGAGTTAGGTGATGTAACAAAATTGTCAGTTAGTGTTCTCCTTCAAGCGTGTTGAGCTGTCCAGTAATGGCAGTATGAAAAAGATGTCTATGTAAAAGTAAAGTTTCTAATGTGTTAAATTCAACAAGCAAAAACATACTGTGCACTTATTTAAGTTTGTTTGTTTTAGAGGAACACTTACATAAACAAAACCTAATTTGACCAGAGAAGTTTAGACTCTTCCATATGACTGTAGCATAGCACTTTAAACTGGAACCCTCAACGGGCCTTGTTTACCAACTGTTCTTAAGAAGAAATTCTTCTTAAAATTCTTCTTCTTCTTAAAATTCTTCTTCTTAAAACCCACTTACACAGTTTTCACAAAGATTCTCACATTAACCAAAGTTTTCTTATTCAGGATTAGTTCTTAGGTAAGAAAAGAATCTTTGCACACTCAAGAGCACAAAGGTGTAAATGATTCTGTGGTGTAAGAACACGTCATGAATCTGACGTAGGCTTTTTTCTTGGGACCTTTCTCAAGAACACATTTAAGAGGAAACTTAGAAAGATATTTGTGAATGAGGCCCAATGTTGTGTGTTCAATCTAAGCAAAATGTGCTACAGTTTCGTATTATGTTGAATAGGATATTTGGGATTTTTAGCAGCATTCTGAAAAGCTTGTCCAACCAGTTGCTAAAAAAGTGTCCCTGTGTGTTTTTGTGTGTATGTGTGTGTGTGCGAGTGTGAGTTAGTGAGAGATAAATGAAACTCCTCTGTGGAATAAAGAAAGGTATTTCACTGAGGCAAACAGGGAAATAGCTTTGGCTCCTGCTGCAGTCCTGTCCTTTAAAAACTTTGATGTGTAATGGGGTTCAGGCCAGAGGCCCGGAGCATGATCCTGTACAGGAAATACAGAATCAGATCAAAATCTGCATGTTCCGACGTTGCCTCTGTGTTTCCTCTGCCTACACCTCTGCTACAAAAAATCTTTAGTGTTTGATATCTATATCTATATGTGTGTGTATGTGTGTTTATTTGTTTATATATATTAGACAAATCTGAAATGTTGGGAAGCTTTGCTATTGACCCTCTGCCTTTTTTCAGCTGCAAGTTTCTCTTCAGTCTTCTGAATAATAGTTATATGATAGTAGTTAAATGTAGAATTGTATTTGTGAAGTATCTTTATATCATTCTTTCTTTGAACTCTTCTGTCTTTCTGACCCTTCTTGAACCTGGCATCAACATGTGCGTTACTGAATTCAGATTAAACATATTACACTGAGATCAGACTTGAATGAACATCTCCAGAGGTGTGCAGCATCACACTGAAGCCTGGTTCAGCCATGAGACTAAGCAAAACTGAAAACAAACCCCCCTGCTCGAACAAAGGGCCTTAGTATGATCTTAATGAGGGTATGCTGGTATGATGCGAAATGAAAGATTCAACCACTATGCAATCAGGATGTATGAAATTTAATAGCACACTATCAAAAAAGAAACAATCAACAAGCAATGTGTTCTTTTTTAAAAAAGAACAGCATGTGTACATTTTGTTTTTACTCATCTTATTTTACAAAGACACTGTTCAGATTTTTAATCTTTTTTTCTTTACAACAGTCAGTGGTTCTTCTATAACATCACTCCAAAGAACCCTTTTTGGGAGCTATATTTCTCAGAGTCTGTGTCAGAGATTTGCCATGTTCTTGTGGCCTGACACCTTAAAATGTTTGAAAACATTTAAAATGTCTTTAAAATGATGATAATCCAAAAAGTGTGTTGTTAATTGTAGGTATACTCCAGCATTTTTCAACCTAATCTCTATCTGCCTTATCTATAGCATACAGTCTGTTACCATGGACAGTAATTTCCACACACTTTGCTGTGACCTAGAAAAAGAACAGAAAACAAGTTGACTTGAAGTACACTTATGATAGAAGCCTGAAGCATCTGCCCATTGGCTTCAACAGTGCCAACTCTATCTAATAAGCAACATAAGCAGTTGCTTAGGATACTGTGGCCATAAGGGGACCCCCTAACAACTTTTGGGTTGTTATTGTATCCTTATGTTGCCTAAGATGCCTGAGTGAGGGGAAAAAAGCAACCAGTTAATCAACCGCTATGCCATTGGTTTTGGCTTGTAGAAAACAATAAGTAGCGCATCTGAAATCTGTCTAATGTTTCAACTTAACAAACACAAATGCGGTTAACTCCTCAACTGTGTCTGTTAATCCAGTGAATAATTTGCCAATAAAGTTGACAAAAAAGGAAAAAGAAATTAAAAAAGGTATGATTGTTGCTACTACCACTATGGTTATATCAAATTAAGCTTAAGGTTAGTAAATAAGAAACACTGCAACAAACACTGAAACATTACAGTGCTGATGTGGCAGATAGAGACTAGGTTGAAAAATGCTGGACCGATCCTTTAATGTGTTGTTTTTGAGAGTGCACATGTAAATGCAAACTTCTTCCAAACACTGTATGTGCATCCAGGTCACATGTTAATGCTGGTTGTCGAAGGGGTCAGCCTCTCTCTATTTTCACTGCCTCGGTTAGACTCTCTCAGGTGTATGCACTAGCATGTTTAATGTAGCACACTGTGATGCCTAAAGACAATGAAAGCCGTGTTTATGTACAGGAGTATATATCCTACTGTGGTGAATCTAAGCTAAACTGCTTGATGTTTCTGTGCAAGATACGTCATGTTTACTCTGCACATCCTCCACACATATCTATCTTCCCTTGTCTTTGTCTATTCCACAACCCTTCCAACCCCCCTTTTCTCTTTCATTAAATGAGTTCTAGATTAAAGAGAAATTACACCAATTTTTACAATTTCTCCGTAGTTGTGTGTACATGAAGACATAAACAAAGCAATTCAGAATGGTTTATGAACAGTGTGAGATGCTCCATTCTAGAGACACTATTGTTTTAGTGGTGACGATAGGAACCAGCAGTCTGAAGAATTTAATGGCTCTAAAAGCTCCCTCACAGAAAGCTTTTACACGAAATGGTTATAAATACGTTGCCTGATGTCTAAATGAACGTTTTAATTTTACAAAAGCTTTGCGTCAAAATTTTGGCCTAAAACATATTTTAAATATGTTAATAGTGGAGAGTTACATGCAGGAGTTGTAAGGCAAAATATTCCTCAAAGAAAACTTTTCTTTCCAGTTTTACCATCATCAACATTACATATGTAATCTTATAGCTCACATGTAGGCTTAGTTATTTTGGATAGTAAATAAAATGGCTATATTTGTGTTGGAGACATTGCGACCCCTGGTTTCTTTAACCACCATTATAAAGAAATCAGAACCTGTACCTTTCTCTAAAATGAGCCATTTCACATCAAACCACTCCGCGTGACTTTGTTTACATCTCAACCACTGAATTATACAGAAATTCTGAAAAATATGTAGAATTCCCCTTTAATGTTTGTACATGAAGGACATGCAAACTCTGCTCTGTCTTCCTTCTTTTCACTTTTTCCCTCTCACGTGTGCACACACAAAAGCCAACTGAATCATTCCTCTTTCTAAGTAGATCATGTATGCTCAAGTTTACAATTGTCTATTTTTCTCACTAAATCTATATGACTAATAAAGGTGAATGTTTTATAATAAACTGTATGCACACTTATTTTGAATGCTTGGTGAAGACATATATGTATCCTTGGAGGCTTTACCACATTGGACTATGAATGTTAGGTGCTTAACTGAATACAGCCACTTAATTCATTTAAAGACGTCTTGCAAGAATAGACTACACTGAAAAAAGTGATGCATTGAATTGATTTCAATTTGCACATCATTTCCACATCATGAAATATATAACATCAAGAAACGTCTTTCAATTTGCTTATTTTTGGTGATATGTATATATAATCTAGACTTTTCAATCAAGGAAATCTTATGTTGTATCACTTTTCAATGTGCTTCACATGTGAGCAGGACGTACGGTGAAAGCCCTGATGTTTTCTGTACATAACAATCCCATTATAATTACTTATTTTCTTGCTATTAGTTGTTATCACTCAATCCAGGCATGGTGCTTGTACTGCATGATCACAAACTCATAAAGACATGTAATGACAGAGTATAGGGTGGAGTTCCTAGTGAATTAGTTGATTTCTGTTTATCAGCTCATATTTTTCTTTCAGTTAGTTTCAAACAAAGAACACATTCACATGTTATACATTGCCGCTGTCGGAACAAAACCTCATATCTCCATTTTTTGTCATTTTTCAGGTTTTGACATAATTTGAAAATGTCTGTTTTTCTTTACATTGTGTGTACAGAAAACAGCCCAAAATGGCTTTGAAAAAAGTTTGGTTCCATTGACTTACATTAAAAGTAAAGTATGTTTTTTCCTTCTCCTGTAATGTTACCATTTTGGAAATACAAGGTTTTGTTCCAACAACAGCGATATGAGTTAAATATATGTCTGAATGCACTTTACATATTTTAGGTGTCCTAACCATGAGTGTGTTTAGTGTCTCTGCTTAGTAGTCAGTTGTAACAGAGCAACTTCAGTTGCTGCTAAGTCAGTAGCTTTTCTCTTGGCTTGGGAGTATGAACTTTGAAAACTCTTTTTGAAAGAGATTATTGTTATTTTTATTATTTTGTCATTATAATTATGCCAATGATGTGAAAAATAATCAATTAAACAATGTAATAGTTCAACTTCTTAAAAGCTCAAGTTTCTGCAGCTGTATACTCTTAAAAGGGTTCTTAAGCAAGATATAGAACTATGAACACTCAAAGAACCCTTTGCATGCTTAAATGGTTCTGTGCATGGTGAAATGGTTCTTTAGATTGATGGAGAATGGGTTGTGTATGGTTCTATGTAGAACCTTTTTGAAACGGTTTCAAGATAGCACCAATAAAGCATTCTGCTATTGTTAAGATGTCAAGCTTGTAACAATAGAATTAGTTTTTTCTATCTGAAGAGCCATTTCATGATGCATGCAAAGGGTTCTTTGAGTGTTCATGGCTCCATATAGAATATATATATATATTTTTTTACTAAAGAACCCTTGAAGAACTGTCTTTTTAAGTGTGTATACACTCTCAGCAAAAGGGGTTCCATATAATACCAAAAAGAGTTCTTTGGCTTCTAACAATAGAAGAACCCTTTTTTGATGCTATAGAGAACCCTTTCAAAAAGGGTTCTACATAGAACCATCAACAACACATTCGCCATCAGTCTAAAGAAACTTTTCATGATGCAAACAACCCTTTAATCTTGCAAAGGGTTTTTTCAAGTGTTCATGGTTCTAAATAGAACCATTTTCATTACTAAGAAACCCTTGAAGAACCTTTTTTTAAGAGTGTGGTTTAGGTATGTATACTTATACTCTTAATACTTACATACTTAATGTTAAACGTTAAAAGTTTGAGTGTATTCAACTCCATGTATAATTTCAAACAACTTCAAATTAAGTTTTAAAACTTAAACTACAGTTTAAAGAGTAAAGAGAATTTGTCAGAGTTTACAGTGTAGACGTGTCTGGATTATACAGTCTGGAGAATTAGTCATGTTTAGGCAGATAGATCTACATAACAGAAGCACTCATGTCCTGCGTGCTTCTGAATGTGGGTCACTCAACGTCAGCCTGAAGAGGAAGGAGAGCCAGAGAGCGTGAGAAAATCTCCAGCACCATAACCCCCAACACCCAACAGGTGTACTCATATTGACCAGCAGGGGGCAGTACGTCTAGAGGATGGCCTATAGGATCCACTTTTGAGATGTTTCTTTGTGTGCTTATTTTTATACAGTCAATGATAATATAATATACTTGACAATATAGAAAATAAGCAACTCCACAGGGTGTAGAACAGAAGTTAATACATTTATACATTCAAGAAAGAACCAATTTGGACCCCACAACACAGTCCTCTGCTGCCATCTAGTGGACATGTATGGATTACTCGGCCCTCTCCTCTCTGAACCCACAAGTTTTTTATTTTATTTATTTATTTTTGATAAAGTTGATAAAACTGAGATTAAGATTAGATCATTCATTCTGATTCTCCTTTAAACATCTCCTCCACAACATCATGAAACCTGCTTTTGTCACAAGCAACTCACCAGGCCAATCAGTACTGCAGGCCTGGTCATAACTGTAATGAAGTAATATACAGGGTATCCCCAAAAAATTCACATTATTTGAGATGTGAATATCTGAGTAACTACATGTCCTAGGCAAAATAGGCTTCATGTTGAACAATACAAGATTTATTTGTCAAAATCTGAACAAGAAATTTAGGGGGATGTAGATTTTGTAACCGATTTCACAAAGCTTCACAAATGTAATATTGTAATAAATGTAATAGAACACCGATACTGGTGGTCATCCAGATCCCTTTGCCCTGCACAGACAGCTTTGCTTTTTTAATTTTTTGTGCCATGTCCAAATCTGCTTTCCAGTTGGTGCATTTTTATTACATTTTCTCAAAAATGCACGCTGCACACTCTTGTTTGACTGTGTTTGAGCATATTCTAACACACAAAATGCCTTTTCATTTCTAGTGAATGCCATTCTTCAACCTGAAAAAAAATAAAAAATAAAAATTAAACTTGGTTAGTTTTTACACATTTTGTTAAAATTTGAGATAATTTGAGGAAGAATTGGCTATGTTATTAGACTACGAAATTATGACAATTTTTTTTGGGATACCCTGTATTTTATTCATGTGGAAGTCATGTTTGGATCAGATAAATTTCAGAGCAGGTGGCTGTATAGCCTAAATGAAAGAAAACTGTACATTCTTACAAAAGATCCCAAAGAACTCTTTACATGATTAAAGGGTTCTTTGCATTTTGAGTTCTTGAGGACCGTTTTGAAAAGGCTTCTATATAGCACCAAAATGGGTTCTTCTATTGTTACAAGGTCAAGCTTGATCATTTCAAAAAGGTTACAATGTCAAGATCCCATTCCAGGTTCATATAGAACCATACATATAACATGTTCTCCATCAATCTGAAGAACCCTTTCATGATGCAAAGAACACTTTAATCACGCAAAGTGTTCTTGAGTGTTCATAGTTCTATATACAACCATTTTCTTTACTAAAAAAGCCTTGAAGAACCATCTTTTTTAAGTGTGTACAGGAATTGATGAGTGTCTTGTTTTCAATACAGCTAAGTTTCTTCTGACAGATCAGACACAGATGTATGTCTGGAGTGAGATTTTCTGCTTTTTTCTTCATGGGCATGTGGTACACTTGATGATTTTTTTGAATGATTTTGGAATATTTTGCCAAGTGCACAACTAATATGAGTGGTCATCATTGTTTTAAAAACTGAAATGAGTTTCCTTTAAGCATCTAAGGAAACAACATAATTTTTCAAACTATTTTACAATGTAAAAGCATAATTGAAGCATGTAATGTAGTACGTAGTGTACATCACTCCCCAGTCCATACAGTCCATTAGTCCATTTATAGAAACTAAGCTGCAAAAAACAGCAGTTTTTAACTCTTTGCTTTTGTGATGTCACAAAAACCTGTGGCTAGCCTACTGTGGTTTAACTCCGCCCATTCACACTGAAGTTATAAGGAGTGTTTTAGCTTAGACTTCTTTTAGAATTAGGCAGAATACAGGCAGGGCAGCCAATCAGAATAGAGCTCTTTTACATATATGAGGGATAAAAAGAGGGATAACGAGAAGTGGGAAAATGGTCATGTAAAAGTGAATTATGACAGTCTTTGGTACATAAAATCAAATAAATGTTGTAAGTGAGGAAAAATGGTTAATCACATTAAATGTTTGTTCTTAAATCAGACAGATATCCACTACAGCAAATCAATTTCATATATAAATTTATTATTCATGTGGCATTTTGAGCTTTTATGTCTATTGCACAAAGATACACTGATGAAGGAATCCTCTTTTGGCCTTATAGTTTGAAGAATGTCTCTGGTTTGCCGTCTTCTATTGCATTGAAGAACGCCTGATAGTCCTGCAGATCCACAAAGAGAGGGGAGAAAGCGTCAGAAAGGCGAAACACCAGGCCAGCATACATCAATACAAGCATACCTGCGAGACTTCCTCACTACTTGTTATTAACATCTTCTTTAGTGCAAGGTGAAGCTGATTTGGTGTTTGAGCTGCGTAGTTTGCATGTGCTGATTTCACTGTTGGGTAAGTTTGACAAGTATGAATTGTTTTAGGCGTCATAAACAAATGAGCCTAAAGATCAGAGCTGTGCTCAAAGAAAGAGAGGATCTAATGAATCAGCTCCTCCACACTGAATAATGTAATACACTACACTTATTATATCAAATATGTACATAATATATAATATGTATAATATGTATAATAATGTGCCATAACTTTTGCACAGGCCACATTTTATGTTTTATTTTTTGCATTAAAAGAGCATTTTTTGCATAAAAATTTATTTATTTTCACTTAGAAAATCAAGAAAACATTTTGTTTGACAGGTTTGAGCAAACTTTTGCATTTGACTATACGTTTTTTTGTTTTTGTGTTTTTTTTTTGGAAAAATTAATAATAAAGTAAAATGACTTTGCTTTTAATGTGTGCATTATGAGACATATACTGATATGTTGTTTTTGTTTTTTTTCTACCAGTTTTTCCTACCAGATTACCAGTAACTTCCAAACTATTGGACTATTTATGAGACTCTATGTCGAGACTTGCAAGTGAAAAGGTGGTGAGAGTGTGTTTCATATTTCTGTTGGCATGTTGCTGGCAACAACTGGAGAAAAATAGATTCTGAGTGTATAGTCTCATGCTGCATTTTAGGTTCCAATGAACCTTTGTCTTCAAATCTGGATCTTAACTCTGATTTCTGATCCTGGATTTTGTGTTAACTAGCAGTTAAATGAGGTGTTGATGCAACTGATTGGCTACCTATAAATAATTACAAATTCCAGGGCTGTCAACTAGATTTGAGGTTTGTTATAAAGTCCTCTGGTTTAGATGAAAGGCTACTGGGTCAAACACTGGCAGTAAATGTTTTCATTCATTAAAATTAGTTCCAAACTCTAGACTTTGAGACTGCTTTGTTATCTTCTGAAAACAGGCCTCACTTCTCCAGGCTGTGGATAATGTCCTCTCAGCTGTGGTGTAGTTGGAGCACAGAAAAGAAAAACAGGATTGGAAAAGAATCGGGTTTAATATAGCAGATACACAAACCATTTAAACACACTAAGATTGGCCTTGATCTGCTTACACATCCCTAATGTACATATTTGAATCCAGTACATTCAATGCTGTTTCAGTCTGCAGTGTAGTTTGTGAGATCACTGGGTTCTTTGTTTCAAATTAACCGAGTGCATTCCATTGTGAGTGATGAAGCAGATCAGAGTCAGAGAAAATATAGGTTTGAACAGAGGGGAGGGAAACTGGCTGAGGCCTTTAATGGTGAGACCAAAATGCATTCCAGGAAATGCCTGATTAATCTTGGTTCTAGTCACTAGCACTTTGTCTCTGTGTGTGTGTGTGCACTTTATTCAAATTCCAGCACTGAGTGAGAGGTTACTTTCCTTTGTTTTTTAATGGAATCAATTTTGCTTTCTGTTATGTTTGCTTAAAGGGACGTACTTTTATGTAATAGCTGTCAAACACTCTGAAATATGCACACGCCCTTTCTAAAATAAGTTTTACCGCCCTTAGCAGAGTTTTCTGTGTTCTACAGGTTCTACAGGCTGCTGGTAATATCCACAAAGCATGTCTATTAGTACTGACAATACTCATAGAAAACACATCACGACAGTGAAAACTAAATGATCAACACCAGAGCAACACCAATAAGAGCAACTAGGCAAGATACTACATTTGCCTCCCTCCCTAGCATGATTCAGTTGTGAGCAGTATTTGACTGAAACAAATGAGCGTCTACCATTAAAAGTTAAAGCACGGTTCAGAAAGAAATCTAATTTGCTTAAAGGGCCTATTTCCCACACAACTGACTATTCCTTGCTTTCTTAAAAAAAAGAGTTTGATGTAGTATGTAAACACTTACAAAATGTACCAATCTCTGTGCAGTCCACAGATCCATATATGAAAACTAAGCTGCAAATCTAGTCCATTTTTTTAATTGTTTTTGTGATATCACGAAAATCAACACATTTACATATATGAGCGTATTCAGCCTACAGCCATTCAGCTCTGCCTATACACGCTGAAGTCATATGGAGTGTTTCAGCCTGGACTTCTTTTTTGAATGAGGTCCAATGCAGGACAACCAACCAGAACAGAGATCATTTACATATATCAGTCTTAAAGGCACAGTAACAACAGCAGCCGACTTCATTGCAAAGGATAAAGGGAGGTTGGAAAATGGTCACGAAAAAAAGACAAATATTATCACAAATATAAAAAATATAAAATGTGAGAAAAAAGTATATTATGGGCCCTTCAATCTGTCCCCTGACCCCTAAGACATTTTTGGTATCTGAAATTTAAGTTATGACTGGGGCTATCAGGTTAACCACCTAAAAAGGTAATATTAGGCTATTTTTTATATATATATTTTAACTCCCTGTCCAAAAACGAGTCCCAACCCGGCCCTGTCTGATCCAGAAATGTAATATATTTTATTCATGTGGAAATGATGTGCACCTTTGAATAAAGTATGTTTTTTAAAGTGTACTCTGTGGTGTATGATGAACACACTCAGTGAATGCCACAAAAGCACAATATACTTGCTTGCTTTAGTGTGAACATTAGTGTAAGACACTCACCCCGCAGTATTTATCTCCATTAAAGACCTGAGGGGGCATAGCTAAGGGGTTCCCCACTTTCTTCCTCATCTCGTCCTTCAAGTCCGAGCTCTGGGTGATGTCCAGCGTGCGATATATGATTTTCTTCCCATCCAGAAAATGGAAAATTTCATTCTGCTGCCGCTTCACCTGAGATATGATTCAGAGAGGAGAGATATTAATTAACCTGACCTCACCACAGACCTACTGACTAGCAGGAAAGATCTAGACTTAGCAAGTTTTAACACTTTGCTAACAAACCGTGTCTAATCTGAACCGTGTCTAATCTGGTTCTTATCACCAGCACTGTGAACAATTCTCACATCTTGCTACATTTAAGGGTAAGTTAGGAAAATCAGGGAAATTTAATCTGTACTTTGCAAGTTTTTTTATATAGGTCTTTCTCCATTTGGAGTGAGAAACCATGTCACAAAGGTTACAGGGCTCAAAAAGATGCTTAAAATATTAGGCACAGCTCCAGAAGTCTGTATGTACATTTACACATTTGACCTAAGATTAAATCATACTTTTCCCTTATGATTTCTCTGATTTTTCTTTTTTTTGTCCTGTTTCATAGTCACTCTGCATATGTAAAACAGCTCATTACATAACCAGTTTTCCATATTTCAGAAACCATTTTAATATAAAATAATATTTTTAAGAGGTTTAAGTTAGGAATTTGTATAAAACAGATTGATGTTTACTGTTTATATCATTAAAATATGTATTTTATTTTAAAAAATCATTTGTCACAGAGATTTTGGTCACTGGTGTTTTCAGGACGCTTATGTTACATTTTAACATAGTATCTTCAGCTCTGTTGAACTGCATCTTTGGGTCAAGGCTTATCAGAAAGGAAGCATCTCAGATTATTTAGTTTTGGGATGAAAGAAATTGATTTTTAAAAAGGTATCCACCTGAATTCCCACTCCAAATGGAGAATGACCCATATAGCACATTTCTTACATAAACGTAATTCAAAGTGATTGTTCACAGAACATTAAAAGGGAATTCCACTGAGTTTCTGCATAATTCAAATGCTGAGATTGAAACAAAGTGAACAAAGTCGATCAGAGCGCTTTGATGTGATTTTCATTACAGTGGTGGTAATAGGAACCGGGGGGTGCAATCTGTACAATGCCATTTTATTTACCATCCAAATTGACCAAATATGTTACAAATTGGAAAAAAAAAGTTTTCTTTGGTCACTATTTTGCCTTACAACACCCTGCATGAACATCTTTCCCATTAATAGATTTCTTAAAAATAGATTTTAGACCAAAATATTATAGAAAAACTATCATGAAAGAATATTTAAGGCATCAGGCAGAGTACTTGTAACCAATTTTTTATGTAGTAGCAATATGTGAGGTAGCTTTGAGCTGCATTACATTTTTCAGACGTCTGGTTCGTATCACCAGCACTGCGAATAATTCCCATGTTTTGTTACATTTAGGTCCATTTCTCTAGAATGCATTTTACATCAAACCACTCTTTTTGTTTACATCTTAATAATCTAATTACGCAGAAATGTTTTTTTTTATTCCACTTTCCTTTAAATTCCTTTCCGGTGTTAGAATCAGCTGATTTGTCTTTTGACTAAACCTGCTTCACAGGACTGACAGCAAATGCAAAGCTGTGATTCAAGAATCAAGGCAGTGAATCAAGAACATTAATATATGGTGCATTAAAGCAAATCATTGTTGACTGAGAACAGAGTGAGCATATCCATATTTTATGCAAGTAAAGAGGCAAAACTAGGCCTATGCTAGGCTACATGTGACAGTCTATAGGGAGTGAATGGAGTAAAACAGATTGATACTGTACCTCTCTAGAGCCACCGGCACTGCTGAAGTAGACTACAATAGACATTGTGCAGTGAGAAGAATGGTGTGGAGTGACCCAGCGCGTGTGACTGTAGCTGTAGACTGAAGCTGAGCTAGTAAAACTGTACTTGTGACCACAGCACTACTCCAGGACCAGGTAGGCGAGTTTTGACATGGCTCACCTGTCTGCCACACCTCATGTGTGTACACAGACACAGATCCATAGACACATATGCCCACACCCCTCCCGTAAGTTTATCTGTTAACAAGCCTGAGCTTGACTGCCACACTGGTGTAAAAACTCTGAGGCAAACATAAGCTGTTTTTATTGCTTGTCCCAGAAAATGTATAATGTGCTGCTCACAATGACCCTCAGACCTATTTAAAGTAGCTTGTAGCTAGCAGTCAGAGCTTTTAAGCTCATATGTGTCTGCTAAGTAAACTAAATCCATTCTTTAGGCCTGTAAATATCTGCAGATTAAGCACATAAAATGCAGCACTAATATAAGCCACCTACTTACTTATAGGCTCAAGCACTGTCTGCATTAAAACAATGCTCAAATTGACACAAGAAGCTTTTTCTTTTCCCTAAAAACTCTAAAAAACAGATAATCTTAGAATCATAACCCTCATGCTAAGATAACACACTTAAGCTACAGACTGAAAAAAGATGGTTCTCTAAGGGTTATTTAGTAAAGGGAATGGTTCTATTTAGAACCATGAGTTCTCTATAGAACCACATGTTCTATATATAACCATTTCATGCTTAAATTCTTTTTTGCATGGTGAACTGATTCTTCAGATTGTTGGAGAATGTGTTGTGCAATCTTAAAAAAAGGTTCTTCAAGTGTTCTTCAGTAAAAAAGTTCTATGAAGAATCATAAACACTCAAAGAACCCTTTACATGATTAAAGGGTTCTTTGCATCGTGAAAGGGTTCTTCAGAATGTGTGCTAGATGGTTCTATATAGAATGTTTTGAAAAGGGTTCTATATAGCATCCAAAAGCGTTCTTCTATTGTTACAGTGTCAAGCTTTCTATATGAAACCATCTACAGCACATTCTCCATCAACCTGAAGAACGATTTCATGATGCAAAGAACCCTTTAATCATGCAAAGGGTTCTTTGAGTGTTCATGGTTCTATTTAGAACCACTTTCTTTACTAAAGAACCCTTGAAGAGCCATCTTTTTAAAGAGTGTAAATAGTTCTATATAGAACTTTTGAGAAAATTGTTCTACATAGCACCAAAAAAGATTCCTCTATTTTAACAAGCTTGACATTATAACAATAGCAGAACCATAAACATTCTCCACCAATCGGAAGAACCATTTCACCATGCAAAGAATCCTTTAAGCACAAAATTGTTCTATGAAGAACTTAAGGTTCTAAATAAAACCATTGCCTTTACTAAAGCATCTTTAAAGAATCTTCTTTGCTAAGTATCTACATGTAAGAAGTCTCTTGGTTTCTGTGCAAGGCTGACTACTCACTCGCTTATTAACAGGACAGCTTCAAGAGGGTAAGGATACTCATTAAATTACCAAGAGCAGGAAGATCATGGGCTGCATGCCTTGCTTGTGTAGGAGGACCCATCCTTTTAAAAAAATGTGTTTAGGGTGAGTTCAGGTTCAGCTGCTTTGTTGTGTTTGTCAGCCAATGACAACAAATGGTGCAATTAAGTTGCTGTATGTGTGCTGAACGAGAATAAATGGTATTTTGTTAGAAGTCACTGTAGCCCTTGTGTTCTGAGTTTAAAAAGTCACATCAACATTGTGGCTGCATTTTAAAATCAAATGCACCAAAAAAGGTCATGAAACCTATAATGGCATAAATTGCTCCCCATAAATATTAAGGCTGTAGTTTTGTCAAGCATTATTAAATGGCTGTTCTTTGCTTATAAAATGTGTGTTTTATATCAATTTTTGATGATGGGCTCTCTATAGTACCTTTTTAAAAAGAGAATTCCACCAATTTTTAGAATTGCATTATTAAATAGTTATTCAGAGTGGTTTGAATAGACACTTAGTTGCAGTGGTGGTACTATGAGCCAGACATCTGAAGCGTTTAATGCCTCTAAAAGATTTTGTTTAAAAGACTTTGGTGTAAAATATATATCTCATTTCATGGTGGAGAGGTACATATGTAGATACGCGCATATGCATGGTGTTGTAAGGCAAACTGATCCCCAAAGATAACTATTTTTTTCACATTTACCACTACCACACATATAAAAAACCCAAAGTAGGTTCACTGGTGTTTTTGAATTCTAAAATGGCTATATTTCTGTTGTAGACCCCTGTAGATCCCTGGTTCCGATCACGACCACTAAAGAAATCAGAATCAGTGAGCTTCTCTACAACGGACCATTTCACATATCAAACCACTCTGAATGTCTCTGTTTACATCTCAACTATTAAAATATGTAGTCATTTTAAAAAAAAGGTGGAATTCTCTTTTTTTCTATCTATCTATCTATCTATCTATCTATCTATCTATCTATCTATCTATCTATCTGTATGTCTGTCTTCATAACTGAATTCAGAAGCAGAAGTTGGCTATCTATTCTCCAGCTTCTGGTTTGAATTTTCCGTTCCACCTTAAATGGTGCAGCAGTTCCATGAGGACGCTTCAGAACGTGACCGCTGTATTTCGGCGCCAGAACGTAACAACTACACAGGTTAAGGTGGAACGAGAAAAGTTGAACAAGAAACTGGCGAACACGAAGTTGAGTTCAGCTCGAAGACTTTGATGCGAGCGAGGGCGCCGCCTAGTGGTGAATACAAACCTTACACTTCTGACGTTGCTGTAAAACACACTGCTGTTTTTTTTTCATATTCACGGAAGAAAGTCAAACAGACATGTACATGGTGGGAACAAGAAGACTCAGGTGGTGTAAAATGGGAATAAAAGTGTTTGGCAAAAAAATAAATTGAGGCTACATTTTCAGGCATTGTTACGGACACCGTCGGGTCCTCTTAGGCATAAAGCAACGTTGTCGCCGGTGTGACGTCCTCTTTACCCACAGTCAGAGGGAGGATCGGGTGAGTTTTTGAGTCTGTCGCTGAATCCGACCCCAATATTCACCATCCTTCATTAAAACTGTCCCGAAGCCCCTCAGAACGTACAAATACTAATATATCTTTCTGTCTGTGCTCCCATTTCAGAATTTTAAGTCCACCATCCATCGCTAATCTTCAATGGCCGAGGAAGGGTAAGCGTGACTTCAACATAGTCCAGAGAGCCGCGGGTCGGTTCTGTTTGGGTTCATATCCACCTCAGTTTCACACTTAGGAGTGTAGAATCCTCTCTTTAATGTTCAGTGCAGACACAACGAAGGTTTTGCCTTTAAAACGGGGTGAAAAACATTTAAAGTGAAAACTAGCCTAGCTGTAGAAGACTAGCCGCTCAAAGGTGTTTCTCCAAGGGGTCTTCAGTAAAGGCGACGGTTCTTTATAGAACTGAGTTCTGTCTAGAACAGCTTCATACTTGAATGGTTCTTTGCATGGTTATTTTTTTTTAGCATCGATGGCGAACGTGTTACAAGTTATAAAGTACCGAAAATGGTTCTGCAGCTGTTAAAAGCTTGACATCCTAACAGTTTCACAATATTAAGAACTGTTGAAGCATGAAATGATTCCAGTAGGACCCTTCCAGTATTACTTTCATACATATAACGTCTGTTTACCAACATTAAGTGCATTGCTGAATTGTTTTAGCATTTTTTCACAGTTGTGAGCTCATTCTCTATATATTTTGAAATGGTTAAAAAAAGAATCTTGGTTTTGGGCTGGCTTTCAGATGAGCTCTTCAATTTGATGCATTTCCACTCAACATAATGTATTTGATTATGTAGGCACTTAATTTGTATTGTAATGTCAAGTGGTTAATATGCAAGAGTGACTGCTGTAAGCCCTAAAAGCTTAGTACTGAAAGGTGTTGGACTGTGTATGTCGCTATAGAAGCTGAATTACAGTGAGAAAATTGCATGTAAATCAAGAAGTACTTCATGCACAATACCACCCCAGTTATACTTGTGGACACTCGAGATGACAGTATTAGAACTGTGTTGCTTGCATGCACAACAGTATTGTGGTGATGAAGGATTTTTGACAGGTGAAGTGCTTTTCTGCCTTAAGGACTTTTGAGATGTTTCCCGGTTTTGTAGAAAGTGAAAGGGCACATTTTTATGCTTACCAGGATAGTAATCTAGGTATTTGTTTTTGGGTTAAGGCCATGACCTGATGAGAGCAGCCATATAAAGGTATACTTTTTACATATAGGGACCATTAAGCTTTTCTTGAGTGAGTTAGTTCTGTATTCATCCAGATCCATATTAAGCCTAAGTGTGGACTAAATAGTTTTTTTTTTTTTTAAATCGTAAAACCTTGACCCAAACATCGGCTGCAATGATGATATCTAATCTTTAGTCGGAATCCCCTTCACTCCATCTATGAGTGATACACGCAGTCTGATAAGCCGATGTTAACCTTTGCTGGATTTGCACTGCAAGTGAAATGTCTTGTTCACACTACTGTTTTGTTTGTTTTTGGGACTTGTTGCTGTAGCATTGCTGCCGGAGGAGTGATGGATGTGAACACCGCCCTGCCTGAAGTGCTGAAGACCGCACTCATCCACGACGGGCTTGCCCGCGGTATCCGTGAGGCTGCCAAGGCTCTGGACAAGTAAGATGCTTCATTTTTGGTTGTGCTGTGTGTGAATTTGCACATTAGGGCTGCATGATATAAACAAAATAATTGGCATCAGTTATATTGCTGTATACTGTTATTGCAATAAGCTTGTTTATTAAAATAGCATTGGTGACAATGACCTGGTTCAAGATTGTCCTGCATTATTTTGACTTGCTGGATTTGAAATACTTTGATCAATACGCTCAAACTCACCATGCAATGTAATTGGTCAGGATGCTTGTAGTACACAATGAAAATTGATTGGTTAGTCGGCTCATTTAGGGTTATCATTGATCAGTATTGCACAGATTGCAGTAGCATTTAACAATTTTTTGCAGCCCTAGTGCAAACTTTGTATCTATGATGATAATTTGGCTCCCTCTACTGAAGTCTCTGAGGATATCTGCCATTCGTTACCCAATTGCTTTCTGAGATACTAGCCATGGACAGTGATATTTGTGCTGTGAACTGGCTGGAGGTTTTAAGTTTTCATTGTTTCTTTCTGCCAGGCGCCAGGCTCATCTGTGCGTCCTTGCTGCTAACTGTGATGAGCCCATGTATGTCAAGCTGGTGGAGGCCCTTTGTGCTGAGCATCAGATCAACCTCATCAAGGTAAAGAAAATTGTGTTCTCCTTTTTTTGAAGTTGCTGCACAGTTAAGTGCATTGTGAGAGGCACCTGCTGGCTTTTGTGTCTGTGATGACAACTTGGCTCCCTCTACTGAATCCAGTGAGGATATTGCCTTTGTTACCCAATTATTGCTGAGACACAGTGCCTCGTAGTTAGTTACATGTTAAGATTGTTTAGAATTTAAGGGTTATCATGATTTGGGTTCTGCTTTTAATGTACTTGCTATCAGTTTGTCTCCTGATATAGCTTGAATTACATGCAGAGCAGTCTTAATGTTGGTGAAGCACGCATATTAACGGAAAACTAAATGTGACCTCCAACAGATCTTGACCATGTTAAGTGTAAATGGAATGGTTGTTATTCATATGTAATTACTCAACTGGAAATGCATCTGCCAAGTGCTGTCTAGCAAGTGAGAGAATAAGCAATGACGGATACAGGATTCATGAGGCTGGAGTTGGCCTCAAAACACTTGGAGCCAGTGAAAGAATCCAGGCCATGCTAAACAGGCCGCAACTATTCATTTTCAGTTGTATTCTGATTGGCCGTCCTCGCGTCCATGTGCACCAGTTTTCATCTGCGATGAGTTTTGCGAAGAGTTGCAAATGCTGGGTGCTGTGAAGGTCTTTTGGCGCAGTACATGGTAGCCATATGGAGAAATGGCTGGAGTTTGCATAAAAAAAATGAGAAGACATGATGGGGGTGTTATGGGGTACTTGGGCGCAACACTCGGGTAAATCAAACCTTATTAGCCGAAGGGAAACTTGTCAGACTGAAGGGTTCTTATGAATATTCATTGTGGACAGCAATTCTAAATGGTGCTCATGGTTCCCTTGCTGTCTACAGGTGGATGATAACAAGAAGCTTGGTGAGTGGGTTGGCCTGTGCAAGATTGACAGAGAGGGAAAACCCCGCAAGGTGGTGGGCTGCAGCTGTGTGGTCGTAAAGGTAAGATCTATAAACGATTGCAATTAATATCATTGAGAAACAGATATTGACACTTCAGGACATTTTATTATACTTATTAGTGTACAACATTGTTTTAGCCAGGACGAGTCCAGGCACTGGCATCCTATGTCACGTGGCTGTTTGTTTTCATCCTGGCAAGAAAAAGAGCCTGAATCACGAGCCTCATTATCTAAACATGATCTTTGAGGTTCCTTGAAGGGCAACAAGTGAACTGGTGGCTTTCAGTAATAAAAGGCAGAGTGATTTGTAGTAGATCATGAAGTTGTCAGCCTAATGGCAAGCAAAGATTGTAAAGGATGCTGCTGAATTCATGCTGTGGGGAATACTACGGCTGAATTGTACTGTGGGTTTAAATATGGACTGGTATGCAGTTGTGTGTTGCTGAAATATGAAGTTCTTGTTTGTTTTATGTTTGTGTGTTATTTGTGTTTTTTTTTTTATAAACTGTTGGGTGGCTTGGAAGCCCTATAGAGCTCTTCAGAATCCAACAGTTTTAATTTAGTTTCCAGTCCTAGTAATCACTGATAGTTAACTGAATGGTTAATATAATTGATGGCTCCTGGTGTCATACCTACCAATGATTATAAAAAGCAGGAACTGGATTTGAGGTCTAGGTTTGGAGACCTCCGCCCTAAAATACAATTTACGTCCTGTCAGCTTTGAAAAGTAATTACAGATGATTGAGATGTGTTCTAATGTTTGTAATTGGTGCGTCTTCTAAACAAATGTCTTTTGTAAATGCAGTAGACTTGTTTCTAGTTTTCATTTTCATAAATCTTGAACAACTCAGTGTATTGAGCTTAGAGTTTGCCTTGATGGACATGTGTTTTGATGATTTTTAACTTGGAAGCATTGACAGTAAATGCTTGTATTGGAGTTGGGGGGGTTTGCTTGTTGTATGTCCTCCTTAAAGCCTGTGCTAAGTCTTATCTTCCTTTTTGCAGGACTACGGCAAAGAATCTCAGGCCAAGGATGTCATTGAGGAGTACTTCAAATCTAAGAAATAAGGCGCTGAATAAACTGTTTTGAAAAGAATTTAATCTGTTGGCTTTCATTACAAACTGACCTTTGGTCTATGTCCAGGTTTGGTTTAGACCAGGGGTGTCCAGTCTTAATTTCCAAAGGGCCCTTGAGTTTGCCGGTTTTCATTCAAAACAAGCTGGAGCACATCTGACTTCACTTGTTTAATTAGCTGCTCAGTCTTTAACAGTTGATTGTGTGCTCCTGCTTTGTTGGAATGGAAGAACTTCAGGCATCCTGGCCTTTTGTGGACAAGATTGAACACCTGTTGTACAGACACTTCCAAATGTGTGAATTATTTGGCTCACTTGAGCTGGCTTACAAGCCTGAGAACAATGTGGTGGTGTTCAGCACTCGATCAGCTAGTATGAAAGTCTTTCAAATAAATTCAATACAACTGGTCAGTCAGTTCTTTTGAAGAGTTTTGTAATAGATCAAGCAGTTGATAATGAATAATGTGTAGCAGCATGTTGCTTTCCACATGAGGTGTTGTCCAGCTCTTTTGTTGGATTTCAGCTTTTTGTGAAATATGTTGAGCATTGAGTTTATGGTTGCTCTCTCCCAGTGTTGATCAATTCTGCTCCTGGAGAGGGATTCAAATTGTAACTACTACAGCACTTGTGTACTGGTTGTGCCTGATGTTGTCTAGGGCTGAAATTAAATTGAAATTGTAATTTGTAAAGTGCAATTTTAACTATAATCTACAGTATTGAATGTTTTAAGTGGGGAAAAATTTTACCTAATGCAGAGCATGTGAACTGGCATTCTGGCACACTATATTCAGCGATGAAGTGTCAAGCCTAAAAAAATGAATGGTCTTTGCAGGTTATCTAGGCTTTGAAGAAAATAACTGCTTTTAAATTGCCTTTTGACATCGGTCAGAAAAATCTCAGCTATTTTCCATAAATCATTCAGCCCTAGCAAAGTGTCAGGCCCTGCCTTATAGTACAGTACATGGTATATGATTGTAGTTATGGCATACTGTATACTGTGCTGCATACAGATATGAGGAGCAGTGTGCTGTAGACTGTGTTAATTCAAAGAGCCTTTTTTGTTTGCTCCAACCACTAATGCACCTGGGTTTTTTTCAAAGCAGACTTATCTGTTGGCTTTAACTTTGGCCAAAAAAACAAGTCTGTCCAAAACGAGAAGAACATTACTGTTGGACAGTACTCCAGTTTTCCAGCTTTCTGAGAAACTGCTTTGTGAAATACCCCCAGATCCAACTAATTAGCTCAAGCCCAGTCCTAAGCCTCAGTTAAGCCACAGGTGAACTCTGTAGGAAAGCACTTCAGCAGCTACTGCCCTATACATTTCCCCTTTCTCCACACCTGATGCAACTCATGATCTAATTAATCAGCCCTTTTTGAGTTGAAGTGTGTTAGATCTGGAAAATCACTTTGTGCACGGCAGTGGGCCTTTAATTTGCCAGGGTCAAGCTGATACTTGGTCAAGGTGAGGTTTCTCAAAAGCATCTATGCACAATGATGTTTCTTAAGGGGAATTCCACTGATCTTTCAAAATTTCTGCATAACTTAAGTGTTTTGGAGATCTCAACAAAAGTCACTTAAAATGTTTTGATGTTAAATGGTTCAAATGTAGAGAAACTCACTGACTGATGTTTCTTAGCAAGGGCTAAGAAACCAACCAGGGGGCACAATGTGTACAAAGCGATTGCGGTCAGTTTATATACTATCCAAGACCTCCAGTGAACCAGCACATATTCTTAGAAAGTAAACTCGGTGCGCTGAGCTGAAGTAAATAAATTTGAAGCAAATAAAGCATTAAATGTATTCATTGAGACATCAAAAGGCTTATGAAAGTAAAAAGTTTGGAGGGCATTGCTGAATAAAGTTGCTGTATTTGCTGGCTTTGTAACTAATTCTATATTTGTGGCATGTATTCTAGAAGAAGGTCTTTTTTCTGCTTATATTTGCTTGATGCCACACATCCACAATACTGTAGAGTATTATTTTGACAGAACAACCATTATTAGCTACTATTTAAACATAGCTAGGAAGCAAGATGGCTAATCAGCCAATTTAGCCACTATGGACTGGTACTTTAATAGCTGCATTCACTGAACAAGAAAACAAATAAATTGTTAATCATAATTATATGACAATTGTCAGCTAAAATTTCATGATCATGACAGACAGAATTGTTGCAGAACTATTCTAAAACAATGTCTTGGACAACAGGCAGCATCTGATAAGAACCATAAATCTAAACAGTTTAATGCTTATAAGCGCTACCACAGAAAGTTATTCAATGAAATGGCTTCAGTTCAGTTGCTTGATGTCTGACACATTGTTTTACAATAGTTTTGAGAAGGTTTCGGCCTAAAATGCCTTGGCAGAGAAATAAATGCAGGACATGTTTGGTATAATAGATTCTATAGAACCCAAATTCCAGATTTACCACTATTTTAGCACTATCAGCATTAAATCTGAAAACGTGCATTCGCTGGTTGTTTTGAATAGTAGATAAAATAGCAGTACCAGGATTAGAATGAACACTCCCTCTACCAGTTAAGAGGATCGTAACACTTAGATGATTGTAACTGGGCCCTGTTACAGTGATCACGTATTAAGACTGAAAGAGAAACTACTGGAAACGTCTACTTGTCTCACGAACAACTCTTTAAAGAGCTTCGTTTCTGTATGGAGAGCTTGGCTGCTCTATGATCATTTGAAGAAAATGGGGTCCAAATTGGAAGAGCATGGCATCAGCTTTCCATGGTAATCAGGACTCTTTGTTTAGCTCAAACTTTCTCCCATTGATGTTTGTACATAATCAAAAATCATTTTCAGAGAACACATTAATGGATTTAAGTCTTTCATTTTGTCTTGTCCTTCATCTACATACATTTTCAAAATAAACAAAAAAACACACAAACCACAGTTCATAAGGCACAACAAATCATTATACACATACTTCTTAGCCAAAAACTTACAAAAAGACCAAATGAAAAAAAAATGCATTTGCAAACACACAGCGTATTTAATCTTAAAACTAGTTACCGTAAAATAATTTACATGATTTATCAATCTATGCTAGGCTGTATTTTTTGGGGGAGATGGTACAGATCTTTTGGTTTACAAGCGAGAAGAACTGGAGAGGACACTGCAGGGTGAAGATCCTCTGAATACAGAGGGCCTATGTGACCTTAGGTTGAAGCGTTTTTTCCTTACTGTTTGTGTTAAGAGAAATGGACACCCCGCTGAAATGCAGCGCGCGTATGATGTAAGACGTTTGTGAGCTCTTGACGAGCCTGTTTTGACTAGTAAAACCCCAGCTGCCCCTTTCCCAGACAGTCCGAGTCTTTTTAAGACAGTGCAGAGTTATCTCAGAAGCCAGAGAAATCATTAAAAAGACACAAAACAACATAAAAGGAGATTACAGTGTACTGTTGTTCTTAAATAGTTGTACAAAAAGAGGCCTATGATACAGTATTACAGGTACTCGAATTCCAGTGCTTGGTGAAGGGCGAGCAGGTCTGAGTGGCTCGATATTCGCCAGAATGGCATGTTGTGCTGTGGACAGAGAGAGGGTCCAGTCAAATTGTGCAGAAAGACCACACAGTTTCATTAGCATGCTACACTGATATTAAATTCCACACCTTACCATGCAGTTCTGCCAACATTTAGCAATACAGTGCTAATACTGGTGAGAATTATTCCCACAGACTGTTAGACTGTTCCTGAATGTTAAACCTTATTTATGAAGCGCACTACCGTAACTAGAAAGCCAACACCCAGTTACAGACAGGAAAGACCGAGAACAGACCACAGTGCCTTACAATCAAATTTCAATAAAGGGTTTATAAAAAGGCTTGTGAGCTATTAGGTGTTCGTTTAGTTAGAAACATTGACAAAGCATTAAATACTGACATATTCATTTCTAACTTGATGTTTTGTGTGTGTTTGTAAGCGGGAAATAGCGTCACACTTTCTATAAACCCTTTATAGACACCAGCATGTAAACATTTCTCACGCAATTGGAAAAAATAGCATATTATTAGCGAAATGTCATATTTCATACATTTTCATACATGGACAAGAAATGAAACTTCAGCACACAATGTGAAATTCTCTGGTGCTTTCTAGAACAGAGGTATTCAACCAGGTTGAAATGCTGCATAGCAGAAATATCCACAAAAGTATGTATGCAACCTTTACTGTTACACTGGAGGCTAATATCCACAAGGGGCGCACTGATGACATGATATGTACTGTGGTTTTTGCACGCTGATTAAGTATACTGTATGCCAAATATTATTTTTTGTTCAAAGTACATTTGCCAAAACAAGCCATTTTTAGAAGGCAAGTGTAAATATTTCTGTATAAGTTTGAATGATTTTGGTTGCATAACAGAATTGTTTTTCTTTCTTCCTGTGTTGGTTGGCTCTTTTAGGAGTGATTTTAATGGAACAATGGAAACCATTTCAATTTATGTCAGTATGTCTGATATCACAATTATTTCTTATAGCATAAAATCAAACTGTTAACATGGATTTTTTCTCAACCCTCTGTAACGTCAAAACTAAATATTAAAGCCTGTTTTACACTAGAAGAGAAATGATGGGCATGGCAAGCCTACACTGCTCTGCAACCATAGCTATTTTTCACTATCCTTTGTTTTTTACAGTAACTGACACTACTTATAACCTGCTTATATTTTCATACAAATTAAATAAACTTTTTGTATACATAATTTGAATATAGCTATTTGGTATTAACTGTTTGAAAGGGCTTTTGATTGGTTGATTCCTCACTTTCTCCAAGTTTGCACTAGTGCAGTACTGCTGCTACAACTCAAAGCAGAGCTGTGTACTGTTCTGAGTATGGACTTAGATTGGATTTATAGAATCTTGTACCACGTCAAGCTTGTAACCACTAGCATGTTGTACACAGCAAGCGTATATTTTTTTGCACATTCTTTGTGATGCATACAGCTGGTGTGAAAGGCTACACTGAGTAAAGTAGGAGTTTTGTGAGCAGCTTGATGTGCTGTGGTGCGTTACCTTGTCTGGTGAAAAAAAAAAAAGGCTTAACACAGTGGCGAACCGTGACAAGGTTTGTAGTAGGTTAGGGCTAAGCTAATGGTGGTGCACATTGCAATTATTTTGGCTTTTCTATATTAAACACAGACTTTTGAAGCTTGTGAAAGATGTTACATATGTTTTCTTTTAAGCTTAACCAAAAGGAGAGCTAGTCGGCATCAATTGCATCTACCTAGAAACCATGGGAGAAAAATCTCAATCTTCCAATGGATGGTTCAAGATTTTAACACTTTATTTTCCAAGCATGATGATATATCAAATAAAAATGAACTGTGAATTACATACATTAATATTTTAATTTCCAATAATTAATTCTCTGAAGTCCTACCAGGCCTTAAGGGTTCCCCTTTGAATATCACCATTGTGTATTGTGTCACTCCTAAAATTTACAGTCGTATTATAATGTAAATATGCAGCACTTGGTTGATTAGTTCTGTTTTGAAACCTCAGAAAGCTCTAGGGTGACTGCTGGGGTACAGAGACGTGAGAAAAAAATGCAAAACTGGTCTCAGATAAGCAAACAAATGCACCATCATCAACCATCACCAGCATTTAAACAGAAAACAGAGAAACAACACAACTGAAGGAAATGAGCCATCAGTCAATCTGAGCTAAAAGCCTAGTAAAAGCACTGCTAGAGCACACACAGACAGGAAGTCCACTTTGGGGAAGGGGAGGGGTCACACACTGCTTCTGGGTCACCCGAGGGTCGTTACCTTGGCAGCGGCCTGCTCCTCTTCCACACCGTCCCCAATAACAACATACACTACCTTCCTGCCAAACCTTTGCATTACGCGCTCAAAGCAACTCTCTTTGCCTGCAATATAAACAGGGTTACATGTCAGAGGAGGAAAGTCAGAGGTCGTGTGAGGTTACCTGGCTGGCCGCGTGTTCCTCATCGCGCCCATCGCCAATCACTACATATGTAATGTTAGTGCCAAACCTGGACACTATACGCTCAAAACAGCTCTCTTTACCTGCAAAAACACGGCAGCGGCTTAAGGTCGTACGCATACATACCACTGATTAGGGATGAGACAGTATGGAAATTTCCAGCCATGGTACACGATATGTCCAAAAGTATCCAGACACTCCTTCTAAGTGAATGTGGTGAATGTGGTTGCTTTAAAGTGCACCCTTTGCTGATACAGATGCACAGTTGCATAACCTCCATAGAAAAGCATTGCCAATAGAATGGGACACTCTAGAGGTCCCTATGCCCAATGACAAGCGTCAGCTAGAGGGGTATAAAGCCCTTCAGCACTGGACTGGGGAGCAGTGAAACAGTGTTCTCTGGAGTGATGGAGCTCCATCTAATACCTTTGGGATGAGCTGGAGTGATCCAGAACTGATCATAAATCATCAGTACCTGACCTCACTAATGCTCTTGTGGCTGAATGCAATCACAGCAATGTTCCAACATCTAGTGTAAAGCCTTCCCAGAAGAGTAGACAGCAAAGAAGGGACAACCATCCTATTAATACTCTTGTTTTTTGGAAGAGCAGGTGTCTGTAAACTTTTGGACATATAGTGTGTCAGTAATGAGTTTTTGATGTTAAAGTATTGTTTAAAAAGCACAAATACAAATTAAAATCATTTCATTGCAGGAATTCATTTGCTTTTCACTGAATCTCATATTTCTTTCTAACATAAAAAAAAATCTACTTCTGCTTCCACAGTATGATTTTGTGTCACCATGTTTTTTTAAGGGTGAATTTTTATCAAGGGGCAGATTTTTTGGCATTTCTGCATAACTAAACGGTTAAGATGTAATCAAAGTAATTCAGTGTGCTGTGATATGAAATGCTCCATTCTAGAGACACCATGTCAGAATTGTTCACAGTGATGGTGATAGGAATCAGAGTTTAATGCATCTAACAGCTACCTTACAGACAGCTCTTACATGAAATGAATTTAAATACGCTGCCTGATGGCATTCTTTTACGATAGTTTTGAAATACCTACAACATTGTTTTTTTAATTCATTCACATGGTACATGCAGGGTGTTGTAAGGCAGAATAGTCCACAAAGAAAATATATTTTTCCAGATTTACAACTATTTTACCATCATCATTATGTATAAAAACATATAAAAACTCAAGACTTGTGAGTTGGAGAGCAAATAAAATGGCTTATTTGCATTGAAGGTTTCACAATCCCTGGTTCCTCTCACCATCACTGTAAAGAAATCTGGAGTTGGTAAGTTTCTCATAAATGCCCCATTTCACAGCAAACATTCTGAATAATTATTAACATCTCAACGATTGAATTATGCAGAAATTTAAAAAAATGGGTGGAATTCTCCTTTAAAAACAGTCTGAATTAATTTTAAAAACTACATGATTATCATTGAGATTTATATTACAGTTTATCAAAACCTGTAAACTGTCCCATCCCTACCACTGACAGAAAGGAGATTAATCCAGTGATGAGAGCAAGTGCAGGAATGAGGGAGAGAAAAAAGAAGGCGAGAATAACAGAGAGTGCAACTAGAGGGAAGATGAGAGAGAAAAGCATTTTCCATAAACACTGAAGAGTGATACGGATTCATACTGACACACACACTCACACTCCCAGACCTCCCAAATGCCCTGTTTTTACAGTTCCCATGACAACCTTAATGAGCATGGAGGGGTAGGTGTGTGTGAGGAACTGGACTTTGGGTCAGAGAGGGACGCAGAGAGAGAAAACAGAGATGTGATCCTGCAGTTATTATTCATTTGAACATCTGTACTTTCAGTCTGCTTTGGTAGAAGCCATTTTGTAGACTCAATATACAGGTTTAAAATTCTCCAAGTCAGAAGAGGGAACATTTTTTCAAGCGGAATTTTTTGCCCTCACTGACTGAAATTCACGGGCATTTTATTCAAAGTTGGAGGCACTTTGCAATTTTTTATTCAAAATGCTAAAGTTATTTTAAGGGTGTTCTGCATAATAATCAAAATAACATGTTATTTCAGAATGCTAAATAGATATTTGTTAATAATAAAGTTATTTTGAAGGTGTTTTTGCAAAATACTCAAAATATTGTTCTTTTAGTATGCTAACTAGCTGTGTGTTACATTAATAATCTTTTGAGGGCATTTGTGCTATAAATTAATAAAATTAATAAATAATATAAATTAATAAATAAAATGTCATGTTATTCAGAATATTAACTAACTATTTGTTACAACAATTATGTTATTTTGAGGGTATTTTGATAATTATTCAAAACAGCATGTTAATCAGAATACTTAATAGCAGTTTACAGTTATAATACCAGTGTTAAGTTGCTACTTTGCTCCTGGTTATCTGACACTGCCTGAAATAATGAATAAAAATAATTCAGCGAAGGCCTGCTATCAAATTGACTAGTTTCAGCGGGGCTGAAGTGGCCCAGGATTCTCCATAAGAGAGATAAAACTGAACTCTGGGGGTCTTTGTTATTTTCTTAAATAATTTTAAGATTTTCTGACTAAATTAATACTGTTAAATTAATACTCCACTAGGGGACCCCCTAACGGTTCGAACCCTACTTGGCCTGAGAATTGATAGCAGGTAGATGCTTCTTAACGGCCCTGTTCGGCACGAGGACGGCTCATGTTTTCCCTTTTAGTTATACGGCTGATTGATGGTCTGTTCATGGCTGCAATGCTGTCCACAAGCTGACCTCTAGGGGAGAGACGAAGCTGTCATGGTGAAGAGTTAGGGTATAAAACGCTGCTTCCGAGAGAGCGATGGCCAAGCAGCTGCTTATGAAAGAGCTAAGTGAAAGAACCAGCCGCTCAGGGCATGCTGGGAAAATGGCACATGGCTTTGATCAACCAATCAGAATTAAGTCCACATGGCCGCAAAGAGAGAGTGAGTCATGGCGAGGTCACCCTGATCTGTTTTGATTTATGATTTGATGCTGGAGCGCGATCCAAAGCCTGTTCCACACACACACACACACACACACACACACACACACACACACACACACACACACACACTTACATTCCCCCACAAACGGCCTCACATTGAACTTAATATTAACATTCAGCAGTGGCTCAAAAGCAGTGAGCAAGCCTGAGAGGTGCATCGTGAAACAAAAGGCTGTACTTCACTGACAATTTGTGAGTACATTTGTGCAAAGTGTGTGTGTGTGTGCCACATAATGGATTTATAGGGCATGGAAAACTGAGTATTCTTTGGATGTTATCATCAAATTTGATGTTTGATGTTATGTAACCACTGATATAGGCCTTATATGGAAACTAAGCTGTAAGAGCAGCCTATTTTGTATTCATTGTGACTGTGATGTCAGAACCACGACCACATTTACGTTTGATCCTGCACCAGTTTAGTTTCAATTAACATTAAAGTGGCTTTTTGCAGACAGACATTCACTTGTCAGTGCCTGCCACTGATTTATTGACACTGCTGATGGAAACAATTTTTTGCAATGTTTCAGTTATTCGCTTGAATTTATTTAGATGGAAACCTGACTAATAACAGCCTGTTTAATTCTAAGGGATAATGAGAAGTTGGTAATGGTCATCTAAAAACACGTTGCTGTTTTTGGTACATTAAAGCCCAATCCCATTTCACCCCTCGCCCCTAAGACTTAGCCTTAGCCCAAGTGTTAGAGCTACATGGTCCTCCAAACTGAGTTTTTTTTAGAGGCACACTCCAAACAGAATGTTATGAGAAAAAAACAGCAAGATGGCTGCGCAAGTGAGCAAAGAAACCCACAAATGTGAGAATTTTCTCCTTCAAAAAAAAACAACAGCCATTGTATTTTCTTAGTTTAATGTTGTTTCAATGTATTATGGTCCTTTTCTTCATAATAAGAATAAAAAAATTGCTAGTAGTATGCTAATGTCTTGGTAGCTAGCTAGCTAAATTTAGAATTTAAAATTAAACAAGAAGCTGGTGAATTGCTAACTTTTAACCCTAATATTACCAAAGAATTATTGGTGGGCGATAATAAATACCTGTCATATGCCCCCCTCTTTGACAGCATATGATGCCCTAAATGTAACTAAAGCCCAGCAGTGAGTTTGCTGAACTTTACCCTCCTCTGCCATCACTGCAGACTGGCAGGGTCACTTACAGAGCAGCGCTAGTGGCCTGTTAATGAAGTAATGTTCTTCTTTATTTGAGGGTTGTTACATTTCGTAGGGGAAGATTTCAACCACTACCCATTGTAACTCAGTTCCAAGATGACACTCAAAAACAAGTGGATGGGGTAAAAATAAGAAATGGGATTAGGCCTAAATCACACGTTTTAAGTGCTGCATGAAAGCTGCTGTATGAAATTGTAATCTTGTTTCTTAATGACTCACCAATTTTGGTTGCGCTGTAGATATTCTCAATAGGAAAGGCAGAGCCCAGACTGTACAACAGCACTTTAGCAAGAGCTGGTATTAACTGCGTCGTAGTCACCAAGACATTAACGCAGTTACTCCTAATAGAAGACAGAAAACCAAAATCTTTACACAGTGTCATTCTGTGAGTGAACATGCAATGAGAGATGGATGACATACTAGCAAGCAAACCTGGAGCTGATGATTGACAGAGACTTGAGTGCAGTAGTGAGCCATGAGTCTGTGAGAGCCTCAACCTCCGCCCTGAGCTGAAGCCATGCCTCTCTCTTAGCTGGCCCCAGCAGCCCTGTGACACAGGCCAAAGAGGGACACATTGCATCATGGTCAACAAGAAGTCCTCAACAAAAACTAATGCACTCGGGCTTTAAAGCCTCTACATTTTTGCACTGTCTGGAGCTACAAGGCTACTAAGCTAACAAATAAGGGAAGCTGTAGCCATCAAATTAGCATCACTGTCACAGGTGTAAAGTAACAAATTACATTTACTTTAGTTGCCGTACTTGAGTATATTTTGCCCTGTAATGGTGGATTTTTGAGTAGAATTAAATAATAGTATTTTTAATTTTACTTGAGTTCATTTACAATAAAGTCCTATTACTTTGCTATTTTAAGAACTATTACAGAGTAAAAACAAAAGCAATCAAATTAAAAGAAAGCTCAGTTCAGTTTAACAGATTCAGTTCTGAAAGCTAATCAAAGCAAAGCGGTGCCCAGCTAAAAACGCTGGAGTTTAGCCCTGACATTTTCAGAGAGCAGAGAAACAGAGAGAATAAGGTTACCAGCACACATGAAAAACATCTCTATCATCTTCATTCATTTTCAAATGAATTAACGAAAACAGCATTATTATTAGCTATAAAACATGCCTCCCAAAACCTGCCGAAATTTCTGATTTTCACAACTCCCACCCTGAGGTAACATACAGGCAGTTAGCTGATGGGCTAACTAATCTTAGCTAAACAGGTGCTCTGTTCTTTATTATTTCTTTCTTATTTTGTTGTTTTACAGTAACAAGTATGAAATATATTTATTAAACTTAAAGCTGTAGCACATTATTTAATTTAAAAGCATTTTTGTCTCTTTTATTGTGCGCCAGTTAGCTAGCTAATGTAGCTAAAAGGGCTGTAGGGCTGTCACCAAAAAACATCTACTATTAAGTGAGTAATGTGCTCATTATCATTTAATCTGATTATTTTGAAGAGCAAACTAAAAATATAGACTGAATTATACCATAACAAACTAAACATAGGCTTTCAGGGATTCCAGATTGTTGGATAAAATATTTTGGATATACAAAAAAGTAACTCAAGTATTCGAGTAGTTTTCACTTCTTTACTCGACCATGAACAATTTCTTTTATAAATACTTGTACTGAAGTAAATGATCACCACCGTAACAGTACTCGTATTTAAGTAGGAATTTTCAGTTCTCTTTCCACCTTTGCTAATTGGTGAGTTATAAGCTTATTTCATAGCCACATAAGTCTTGTAACTCTAATGCAAAACTAATGAAGCAAGGACCAAATGTCTTGGCTTGATCGATCACTTTTGGTGTAACTGGAAGGAACGTCTGGCCGAAAATCATGTTCAACAGAAAAACCAGAGCACCACAACATTCTGGGTAGCCTACATAAACAACACAGATCAGCTTCCTCAAGTTCCAGTCCTAGAGCGCCACAGGTCTGCAGTCTTCTGGAATCAGCTATGTTAGAGCTGAGAAACTCCAGGATTGGGGGTCAATTCCCCCTGGCACAGTCCAAGCTCTCTGCAGCTCAACTGCTGTTTGGCCTAGTTTTTGGTTTGTAAATGAGGTGTCTTTCCCAGCAGTAGCGCATGGAGGAAGTTCAGCAATAGAAGCTTACCCCCCACATTGTTTTTATACGTGCAATACAACTCCTTCACTCTTCTGTAGCGGAAGGCCAGCTTCCTCATCCAGTCCACTCCGCCCCTGACGCCCGTCGCCAGGCAGAGGCTGGCACTAGTCGCAGCTGCATGGAAGCCATCAGTGGCAAAACTGTAAGTACTGTTGATAATAACAATAACAATCATGTTTTATGCATCCCCAGCGATGAGAGAGTGAGCAATCATAATCTAAAACTGTGCATTGTGAAGGATCAGTGGTAAAATCTGCAGCAAGAACAGCAAGGAGCTTTGAATGGCATTGAAAATACAAGTTAAAGGCGATTTATGACTGATTTTTCAAAAAATTTGATGCTTTGCTGAACTATTCCTTGAAAGGGGAATTCCACAAATTAATAATCTCTGCATAATTAAATAGGAGTGCTTTGAAGATTTTATTTACAGTGGTGGTGATAGGAACCAGGGGTCATGATGACTACAGCACAATTGTAGCCATTTTATTTACTGCCCAGAATCAACAGTGAACCTACATATGTCTTCTGAGATTTTGGTCACACTTTATTTGGATGGTCCCTTATAGATGATCTACAGCTCCTTAAATTATTAACAAACTTTCTGGTAATACTCAGTTGATTATCGATGAAATTATGGTTTGGGTTAGGTTTATGAGGAGGTGTAGGTTTTGCCTTGTAGGTTTTGCCCAAAGCATTTACAGTGGACCATCCACATGAAGTGTTACCAAAATTTTATATGTAATATTGATAATTACCTCCCAAAAAACATTTTTAATTTTTTTTTATCATTACACTCGTTTATCTCCACCATGAATATATAAAAAACTAGGACCAGGTCTCAGACCTACTGTAAAACAATCAATAATTGTTATAGGCATCTGTAATACTGTACAGTACAGGCATCAGTACTTCTTCTATTGCTCTTGAACTTTTTTATCTGTCTATAAAGCACTTTGAGTTGCTACCAGTATGAAAGATGCTCTATAAATAAATTATCATTATCATTATTATTATTATTATTATTATTGGATGTACCTCACTGCCATAAGTGAATTTAAGTAGATACATTACAGGCCAAAAACTTATCTCAAAACTATTGTACAACAATGTCTCAGACATCAGGCAGCATATTCATATCAATTCATGCAATAACTTTCTGTGAGGGAGTTTTCAGAAGAATTAAACATTTAGGACATCAGGTTCCTATCACCACACTGTGGACAATTCTGATTCAGTCAAATTTCTCTAGAATGGAGTGATTCACATCAAACCACTCTGATAGGCATTGCTTACAACTTAACAAACTAATAATGTAGAAATAAAAGAGATTAGATGGAATTCCCCTTTAAAGGAGTGGTTCACCAAAAGGTCAAATTTTCCCCCTTACACCAAACACTGTCCATTAAACAACACGTGTTTAGTGTCTTTATTTTCACATTGGAGCTACAAGGCTAATGTAGCTAACAAGAAATAGAATTATTATATTAGCCCTGTAGCGGCTCTGCAAAGGTAAATAAGTAAAATTCAGGTGTCTTAACTGATCAACAATGTTTGGCAAAGTAGGGTACATTTGATCTCTTGGTGAACTATTTACAGCAGACAGCAACAAATAAACAAGGCTACAGTTAAGAAATGCATGCTGCAGTCTATCACTGTCTGGATTTTGGTGTAGGCTATGTGTGCCTGTGCCTGACTCACCTAAGGTCCTGTCCATTATCATCTGATGACACATCATCAATGTGTACTTGATCACACTCCTGTAAGGGACGCACACACACACAAACTTATGTTACCAGGGGTTGAGGTTTTGTTTTCCATCTGAATCCACCAGGGGGCAACAAAACCTCAAAAACGCACACATATATGTTTGTATATGTGTTTTTCAGTCTCAGCACTTCAGAGCTCACACTAACACTCATTCAAATCATGGAATCTGTGGCCCAAAACAGATCACACAAACACTGATTTATGAATAAATAGAACGGAATAGGGAAGGAGAGTAAAGAGGAGATGGGAAGGAGAGAGAGAGGTTACCTCTAAGTCATTAAAGAAGAGATGTGTGTCTGCGAGATTAAAGATCATCTCCTCCATTCTCAAACCCAGTGTAACAGCCATTGGAGCATCCTAAAGAGACATCATCAACATCATCATCACCATCATCTTCATCACTTGGCTGTGAATAATGTAGTGGTGATCATCAACATCATTAGGGTCGAGCAATATGGCCAGAACATAATATCATAAAAGCATTTTTAGGGTACATCATTTTTATGGTGATATTTCATTTTCTGAGGTTTGTGAACAAGTTGGTACAAACAGAATGCATCAGAAAAAACAGCAGTGACTTTGTCTTTATTTAGCACACAAATGAAAGAGAAAGAGAAAGAAAGGTAAGGTATCTAGATAGCTAAGTAACTGCTATGCTGATTTCTGTTGTTTAAATAATCTGTTTTCTCCATTGTAATGATGATTTGAAGACAGTTCCAAGGATAAATTAAGATATTTGGGTAATGTCGGTAATGTAGCGGTAACGTTAGTTATCTGATTTCCTTCTGCATTCCGCAGCTAGTGAAAAAATCAAAACAGCCTGCCCCAAAACTCCACTGCAAAGCAGTCGTAGTTTTTCAAAAGTTCCTCCCACCTTCCAGATACATCATCAGAAGGGGGTTTTATTAGTCTATAAAGTGGAAAATCTCACTCTAGAAACTACCACAGCACCAGGATGTGAGCAAGCATGTTTACATGTGTTGTGATGCGATGGTGACATTTTCCATTTTGGCTGGGAATTCCTTTAAAAACACGCATGAAGAATTAAGATTCGCATTTTTTTTTCAACATTTTGCTTCTTTGCTGAACCACTTTCAATTAATGAGCAATTATGTCGTGTTCCAGATTTTTATTTTTTGGACATAAATTTTCCACTTTCTCTTTTTTTGTGGTACCATGTAGTTGTTCAATGTTCTAGAAATAGTGACAATTCTTTCAGAAAAGCATACATACATACACACACATATATATATCATATATAAATATATATATATATATATATATATATATATGTATATATATATATATGGTAACCATATACACCATACCATATATTTACTTTCTCAGTAGCTAGGATGATGGGAAACTACTTAAAAGTCCTAGAAGTGTTTACACTTCATAATCCTTGTCTCAAACAGGTCGGTCCTTTTTAAACACACACACACACACACACACACACACACACACACACACACACACACACACACACACATTTCATGTGCACAGCTTCCAGCTTCTTCCCCGTCCCTAGACTGCTATGTCTGCCAGTTTAAGCAGATGATGACAGACATCCAGCACTTGTTTCAGCCCATCAGCAGACTCACGCACACATACAGTACTGTGTAAAAGTAAAAGACCTCCCTTCATTTATTCAATTTCCAGTCAAAATGTCCAGTTCAAAAAAGTATTAAAAGACTTACAGAAAATGGGATCGTCATACAAGACCTGGTAGATCACCAAACCTGTCCCTATCAGATAACCTGCACTTAAAGCTTTCATCTTTGAGAGAGAGGAGAAAATCAAGCTGCTGCAGATTTGAAAACATCCAGAAGTTTCTGTCCATCCTTCCACTGTGAGAAGACAACTCAGTGCCATGAGTCTGAAAGGATGTGTAGCTGTCAAGAAGCTCTTACTGAGAGAAAGAAATAGACAAAAAATGTTTTGAAAATCAAGGACAGAAACTGCTGGTGTTCTCAAACAATGGAGTAACCACCCCAGAGTCCAGAACTCAACATCACTGAATGTGTTTGGATTGTGAGAAGCTTGTGCAACCAGCTTCTAAAGACTGAGCTTTGAAGGTATGAAAAAATATTGCTGCTGATTTCTTTGAAAAACTGAAATCAAGACTTCTGAAAAGGTTGATATTATGTCTAATTTTCTGTTAAACATGTTTTCCTTTTTTTTACTGATGCTGAAAAATGAATAACTTGTCCTTAACAGCCATTTTGACTGGAAATTAAATTAATAAGGGTCTCTGACTTTTGCACATTACTGTCCATTTAAAAAAAATGGGAGAGTAGATCAACAAAGTAGAGAGGGTGGGGAAAGGAGCAGAGGGGGGAGAAAGGGAGAAAAGTGAGGAGGGGGGGTAGGAGAGAGAAAGATTCTCAGCTGTAAAAATCATCACATGTGAGTTGGCTGCCTGCACACTGATTGGCTGAAGTGTGGAGCCAGAATAGAAAATACTGTGTGTATGTTCACACACATGGCCTTTCTGTCACACTCACTGTCACACACACATATACGCACACACTCTAATGCCTACTAATGTTTAAAGGCTGGACTGATGAATCCACATTACAGTGAAAAAAGTTTTAAAAATATTCATATTTTACCTGAAATACTCATGTTAAACAGCTGCAAAATAAAGTTAAATAAGTGTGTAACCTTGTCATATTCTATGTGAATGCATGAGTGTTGATGTGTCCAAACATGCCTATATGCGTTCATGCATGTGTGCGCGAGTGAAATCGGTTTGGCTCTGCCTCTGATGGAGTGCCTAAGATCGGGGGGTCTTGCTCGTCACAGCGCTGTCAGAAATAGCTCGTCAGCTGGGAATAGATGCAGCTGTCTCCATATCTCTCGCAGAACCAACGACAAGAAACAGGCGAAGGTGTGAAAAAAGGACTGACGCTTCGCACATCTACTGAGGCTGGTCGTCAAAGAACCGAGTCTAATCACGACCTGCTGCTCCACTAATGTTATCCATGCAGAGAGAGCCGGGGGACTCACACAGACACCTCTGAGAACCGGAATGAAAGCATAGATTCAGAAAAGATAATCAAAACACTTGCAATGGGTAAAATGTAAAATGTTCTGATTTCAAAAACACTGTGTAGGCACTGCATACACCACCAGTCCAAAGTCTGTTTTCAGTAATATAAACCCATTTGGCTGCAGATACATGTATATGATGATTCTGTAATGACGCTACTACTCTTTATACTCTTTTCAATGATTTTTTTCTTAAATCTGTAGAAAATGTGTGCAGAATGACGAACACAGCTACAAATGATTCTATAATAACTGAAAAAGCTGTAAAACATTGAGAAAGGCTTACAGTTTAAAATACGAATGCCTCATGTTTGACAAGTAGTACAGATAACTTTTTTTATTAAGATAACTTATTTATTATACAGATATTATAATTTTAATTCTAAGGGATAAGGAAAGGTTGTACACAAATCGTGTAAAAAAGGAATTATGATTGTTTTTGTGAACAAACGTTAAAAATAGATGTCCAGGGAAAAATTAAATGCTCAAAAAATATAAGATATGGGTCCTTTAGACTTTAATATTGAAAGCAACATCTTAAAATCTTCTTCTGGTGTCTAGCTTGAAGTGTTTAGAAGTAAACTGTTTAAGTTAATTAAATTAACTGTTTATGTTTAATGGGTTAATATGCTGATGTCTATTATTATTATTATTTCCTGTTTTAATGGTCTTCACCAACATCAAAAAAATTAACTAAAAAACTCTAAAAAAAGAGAAAAACTGTGCAGGCACTTTATATTTGTCTATATTTTATACTGATGTTAAAAAAAAAAAAGTTAAAACAAAGAAGAGTCCAGAGAGACAGAGGGAGAGAGAGAGAGATAGAGAGCAACTGAGAGAGAGAGAGTACCTTGCCATATTTCTGCGCGTAAGACCCTGTCAGAAGTGAGTGGAACACAATGATGGTCTCATCCAGATCCCACACAAAGACTCTCTGTAAGGGCAACAAACACAATTATAAGATTGACCTACAGTAGCCATACAGACAGATCACAACGACATCATCCAAAGGACTATTTAACACGAATGTGGGTACATGTATATATCACCCATATATTCAATATAGTGTAGAGACAGGGCTTCATACATCCATGAAATATCAATGTTATATTATGATTAATACCAAATTTATAAAAGAAATGAACATTTTTTAACACCTTTATTAACATCATCCATTAACATCAATTGCTTTTCTATTCAAAGACGAGCTATATGCAGTTACAAACAGATATACAGCAATTTATACATATATGTACTCATATATATATATTCGTAACTATATATGTATATACACATTTATGTTTGTGTGAGTGTGTTTGTATACCTCCAGGTCACTGTCAGGAGGTGGTGAGGGGTTGTTCTTCCTCCCTCGCCCCCTGGTTTTAGCCCCACCCCCTCGGCACGTCCTGTCTTCCAGTTCTTTGATGGGTGTGGAAGGACTCTGCCCTGCCTCAAACTCACCTAAACAGAGGTGAACACACAACTTTCAATCACTGGATTTGCGACGTGCCAGCGACACAGGTGAAAGCAGATGCTGATGCTATTATTGAAGCGAAAGCCTAGATATGTAACGATTCACCAAATTCATTATGTGAATTTGGTGGTCTCTCGAATCAATACATTTTTTTGGCACAGTAAAAATAAGGAGTGGTTAAAAAGGTGTCTTATGTCAATATGTTAATATGTCCAAGTTTTCAAGTTTACTATGTTAATGTATCCAAGTTTCAGTATTTGAATCTTAGCTGTGCTTTACAGTATCCTGATCTAACGCTCTATGTCTTGATTGGAAACCGTATGTAGCTCTGAAGTAGGAACTTGTGTAGGGATACTAATGTATATTTGTGTTTCCCAGAGCAGCAAAAAGAAGAACGTTTTTGCTGCTGTATCTGTAACTACGTGTTCGTGTGACAGGCACTTGTGGAAAAGTAGCCAAAGAAAATGAATTAAATAAAAACTCTGAAAGCAGGCCTGAACTAAGGCTCTCACGCCTTAACCAAGTCACTACTGCTATCGGTAACTAATAGTGCTTTCTTTTGTCTTAAATATAAGTGATAAACTTCCGTGTTAGCTGGTTTTATGGCTGGTACATTCTTTGATATCATGTGAGCACAGTAAACCAAGCTGGCAGTGATCTAGTCTAGCAAATATATCATCACTATTGTTGGAAAAAAACATTGTATCTGCAAAATAGTAACTTTACAAGCAAAGGAAAAATGTTTTTTTAGACATTTTTTCTTAATAATTTTGGACCTTTTCTGTTGGTCCATTTATCATGAAATTTTAACACAATGCAAAGGGTGACCAGAGTTTTCAAATTACACATAAAAATAAAAAGGGCGAACTTCAATTCATATGCAGATGTTCTACTGCAGTTCCAGTTCTTAAGCAATTTTTTTAAACTGATACTTTAGTACTTTTACTCAAGTTGCCCTTTGCAAAGTCACTAATAATACTTGCGTATGGGTTTAGGCTACTTTACTCACCTTGGATTGTTCATATGACAGCTTTACCAGCTGCTGATAACCACCCAGGCGCAAACCAAAGGGTAGTTACAATGTTCTGCTGTTCCAAATTTGAGTGGATGAAGACCATCCAAACACACCATAACACAACCAGCAGCCTCCCTGCCACTGATTTGGAGCTTCTCTATTGGCCAGCACTCACCTGGGTGCAGCTCAGGAGCTTGTCCTGTTATGACAGGGGCAGGGTCTTGCAGCTGATAGCTGGAGGTGGAGCCTGTGCTGTCCAATGTGCTGTTGGATGTCATATAGGAGCCGTAGGAGGAAGCGGAGTAATATTGAGCATACTGATTCTGCCCAAATGCTGTGTATGAGGGATATTCCTATGATTCAAGAAGAACGCACAAACAAAAAATACAGTCAGCACCCAATAAGTCAGCACTCAATATTATACATAATTTATTAATAGGGGTTCCTTAAAAGCTGGAGTGTAAAATGCTTACATAATTGATCTTCATAATACTTAAAGGGGAATCAAAACTTTTTAGAAGGCAACAGTAATATGTAAACAAAGTCATTCAGAGTGGTTTGGTGTGAAATTAATGGAGTCAGAAATGTTCACAGTGGTGGTGAATGGAACCAAGTTACAGGCCAAAGAACCCTTTTTTGATGCTATATAGAACTCTTTTTACTAAGAGTGTAGTTTTGGATTTTGGGCTAGAATGTATTTTTGTAAAACTATTGATGGAGGTACATGAAAGATGTTGTCAGGCACAATTGTTTCCAAAAAAAAAAGTTATTTTTTCAGATTTACTACTATTTTACTATCATCAACATACATATAAAAACTCAGAAGACAAGTGTAGGTTCACCGGTGGTTTTGGATAGTAAATAAAATGGCTATATTAGTGTTGCAGACATTTGACCCCTGGTTTCTATCACCACCACTGTAAAGAAATCTGAGTCAAGTTTTAATGACTTTACATCTCAATGACTAAATTGAACATACATGAACAAAAAAATGGTGGTAATCCATTTTAAGTGTTAATTTGGAAGATCTGCACTTTAATTAAGTATCTTTATTTGAGCTTTAATTTATATGTTAAACATTCACTTTTTACATATTTTCGCTGTCCAAAAAAACAAGTATATCCAAAATAGTAACTTTACAGGAGAGAGCAAAAACACCTTTCAATGCAAGTGAAGGTAAAGAGATTTTATTCCAAGTGATTTTAGAGCATTTCTATTGGTCCATTCATCATGAAATTTTCACACAGTGTAAAGGACAGCTGGTGTGTTGAAATAATGTAGAAAAATAAAAATTGACAAAAAAGATACATGATTTTCTTTGGACAGTGATGATATGTATACTTCAGCATGTTTAACTTTAAACTTTTAATTAACATTTTGACTCAGTGCCCATACTTTTACTAAAGTACAATTTCTCTGTACTTTTTTCATGCTTTGTAAAAGAAAAGTGTCGCCAAAATACAACTGAAGTTAATTTCTGGTCAAACTGTTTTTGCAACATTTCAGACAACGAGCACAAGGCAGACAACTTTTCCCAGAGAGACGCAGTACAAAAGAGAGAGAGATGAAAAGTAGATAAAGGAACTACGAGCTTGGTTGGATCCTTGGCTGGAGCACAGAGAGAGTGCTTGATGGGAGGATTTTATGAATCCCTCGGTTCTTCTCTATCTGTGAGTGTTCTTTAACCCCCCCAACACACACATACAGATGGGTTTTTTTCAGAGGAGATGCCTCTAAAACTGTCACTAACTCAGCCTCTGAGCACATGAACGGTGCAGTAAAAAAGCTCTCAGGAAACTGCTCTCAGTTTTTTTCAGTTTCATTTTTCCCCCATCCATCTATTCATCCATCCGTAGGACGCTCGCTCCTTCAGTTCAGTCACAGTCATAACTCCCTGTTATTTATACAGGCAGCTTCATCAGGGTAGGATGAATCCAGTTTGGCCTTTTCTCTGGTTAAATGTCCAATGATTAATGTTTGAGAGAGATTACGTGTATTTTTTAGATGATACTGATGTGCAGAGTCCAGCCTATTTTAATGAGCTTGATGTGCCTCGGCTTGATTTTGAGATCATCACTCTGTAAGTCTTTGCTTTCAGATCAAAACCATGTATTTATATTTTTGTTTCTTTTTTTATTTAAAAACATCAGCTGCTTTTGACATTGCATGAACATTTGATGATGAACAGGCCAAAAGAAATGGTCCAAAATGAATCTTGTTACCTTAACATGAATTTAAATGGCCCAAATCAGGGAAAACCAAATTTGAGTTGCAAAACTTATACAGTCCTTACTGACCATACATGGAAACTGAGCGGCAAAAACAGCCTGTTATGAATTCACTGATTTTGTGACGTCATAAAAAACAACACATTTGCATTTATCCACCTTGTCAGCCTATAGCTGTTTAGCCCCGCCTACCTACACTGAAGTTATAAGGAGTGTTTCAGTCTGGGCTGCTTTCTGAGCAAGGCACAACAGAGGGCAGCCAAGCCAATCAAAACAGAGATCATTTACATATAACAGCCTTAAAAGCAAGACCGCAAGACAGCCTGTTTAATTCTAAGGGATAAGGAGAGTTTGGGAAATGGCCATGTAAAAATTAATTATGACTTTTGGTACATAATCATCATAAGTGGATCTCAGGGGAAAAATAAAATGCAAGGAAAAATGTAGAATATGTGTCCTTTTAAGCTCTAAATTTGTTTAATTTCTCCTGAAATGTCACCATTCTGGAGATAGAAGGTTTTACTCCACCAGTGCTGAGATGTTTGTGTGTCTGTGTGTGTGTAGCCGTACCTGCTGTGTGCTGAAGTTGGCTGGATTGGAGACTGAGTTGTTGGAGGTGTAGAGGCCAGGAGAGGTTGTAAACCCTGATGCTGGTGAGAGAAATAAAGCAGACTGTAATATAGCTGTTCTCAGAGAGAAGAAAAAACATCTGAAAAAAAGGCTGGAGCAGTCAGATCAGATTGGTGGATCTTAATACTCTCACATCTAACTGCAAGTAAAGTGGTAAGATATAGCCTGTAATTACCTACAGGGCCAAATTAAGACCCTGTGGTGCCCCTTGGCATAAACTGTTTAACTACAGGCTGATTTATACTTCTGCAAAGAAATATACACTCCAGTGCAAAAGTCTAGTCAAATTGTATGTTTTGTTGAGATTCTGAGTTAACACATCCTCTACAAAGAACACACTTCTACGCATTTCTATGCACAGTTACTGTTTATTTGCTGAATTAAATGTGGCTTGTGCAAAAATTATGGCACATTTTATAGCTCATGTTTTATTGTTTTAAATGTTAAACACAGCAGATAAATACAAACTGTGCACTAAAATTAGTAGAAACATGTCATATTAAAGTGAGTTCCCTGTAGAGCCAGTGCAGAGCTAGCAAAACTAGTGCAAAACCAAATGGAGCAGTTTGGGGATTGCTTGGTGTAACGCTACAAACATTTAAACAAACTGCCTTTAAAATATTACAAAACATTATTCGTTTTCTTTACATTCTGGTTTGGATACTGACTCCTAGTGCCCTTGTTCACATGCAAGGACACCCATGCAAGGACACCCATGCAAACTTCTCTGCATGATGCCTACACATGTTCACACACTCAGAATTATGTTCTGGCCTTAAAGGTGCAGTGTGTAAGATTTAGTGGCATCCAGTGGAGAGAACTCCTTTTCCAAGCACGTAGTAGAACAGGTTTTCTGCTGTCATCTGTCCCGATTTCATTTTGCTTCTTCATGTTTTCGCTTCTTTAATGACAGGGATTTACCCTCCCTTGCTTCTACTTGTGCTAAATAATAATAATGATCCTCCATTTGTCGAAAAATAATGATCCTCCATTTGTCGTTGTGTTCTCAAACTTCTCACAACACAAAATGGATAGACAGCACCAGCAGCAACCACTGATTCTTCTTCTTTCTACATCTTCCAACCTGTGCTATAGTGCCACCAAATTCAAGCTGCCACTTCATCGTAAAAATGCAAAATTTACAAAATATCCTCTAACTTCAAATATAGATGGTCATCTGAGACATTCTTGGTGTTTAAAGTTTGCTTTTTTAGTTTTGTACTGGAGCTGAGGCTACTGTACCTAACAAGTAAGGAACATTTAAGTGACACAGACTTCATGTATAACTTGTACTACTTCCATTACTAAAGAAACAAATTTTCAATGACAAACATGGCTTGGCTGATTGACTACATTTAGGAGAAGGGAAAACTTTTTTTATCTGAGGTTTTGTCAAACCCTTGCTTTAACTTGTCTGCATGGCAAATATGCAGCTTTTTTATGTTAATATATGTTATTTGAAACATGTGCATGTTTTTTGGTTCTTGGCCAGTTAGTGCCCATGGATTCCAGCCATGATTACCTGGCATCTGATAGGGCGAGTAGGCTGTCTGTCCAGGCTGAGGGGTGGTGAAACCAGGACTGTAGCTGAGCCCTGACTGGAGGGTGGACTGTGTCTGGGACAGACCCCCTTCTGTCTTTATCCCTGGTAGCATCACTCCCAGATCTGCTGAAAATATACATCAGAGGAAGACATCTAAAACATGCTGTAACATATGACATATTGACACATAATGATACATTCACAACAGCAGGAAAAGATTTTTCCCAAAGGAACCTTAAGTTAAGGCTATGTTCACATTAAAGGGTTAACTGCCACTGATCTGATTTTTGCCCGAATATGACACAGATCTAATTTCTTCAGATCTTCAAATCAGAGTGACATATCTGTGGTCCTACATTAGATACATATCTCATACGTGGCCATTTGACTGTAATGAGAATGGTCAGAGAATGTAATTCAGTGTGTATGTACATAATACTGTTGGCATCATCCAGTGCAGGTAGTATCACTGATATCAGCACCACTGTGCGCACTAATGACAGATATACAAACACAAATGCAAACAAAAAATCAGATTTGAGTGAAAAATCGGGCACCAGCTATCGGTATCAAAGCAGTTTATGCATATATTAAACACAGATACCCAGTAAGTGCTATGCTGTATTGAAGAAAATGAGATGGTACCATAAGTGGAGAGGCCATAGGGTTGTGTGGTTTGAGAGTAGGGCGTATACACCGTGGACTGCTGCATACTGCTGAACTGGGATTGGCCGTTGTATGGAGACATGGGCGGAGCCACAGGCGTGGACAAGATGTGTGGGTAAGGCCTGTCAATCAAATAGATTATAATGAGACATTCAGGAGCGTTAGTTTGAATGGACAGATTTATGTGGAAATGTGTTTGCTAGTGTAGAGAGGACGTGTGTGAAGATGAGAACAGGTCAGGGGCACGAGAGTGGTAGAGCATATATTTAACACACAGTGATATCTGGCAAAATTGCAGTCGCATGCAAAAGTCTGGATACCCCCAAGTCGAATTACATGTTTCTATGATAAAATTTCTATAAGAAAATAAGTTAATCCTCTACAGTAAACCAATTTAATAAGGCATTTTTCTGGAAATTTGTAGAGCACAATTTCTCTTTATTTGCTGAGTTTATATTGGAAAAAATAAAATATGACATATTAATGTGGCATAACTTTTGCACAAGCCAGTTCGTGTTTTATATTTATATTTTTTTCAGTGTGTTAAATGCAGAAAATAAACAGTAATTGTGAATTAAAATGTGCAGAAGTTTATTCTCTGTAGAGGATGTTTTATTTTCACTATTTCACTATTTTCACAACATGTATTTTGACCAGAGGTGCTCAAAGGCTGCTGATGCTCACCCTGTTCTGCTGTTGTTAACAAATATTATGTAAATGAGTTGAGCAACGACTAATCAGATTGTTCGTATGTGGTGCAGGTGTGTCACACCCACAGTCAAGCTAAACAGTTCATTTCAAAACTTGAATGCACATTAAGTCGAAGAGATATAATGATTAAAAAAATAACTAATGTATTCAAAATGTGCAACAGTATTATATTTGTAGACTTTTTTAAAATTAAAAAACAAAATTAGGACACTTCTGGGCTCGGAACTAGCCTACAACTCTGCTTACACTTTTACTCTGGACACCTAAAGTGGCTTGTGCTGCAGCAACACGTTCAAAAAGCAGGCAGCATTTGGAAATGGAAGCAATTCAGTTTGCTGTAATGAAAATGCATTGATGACATTAACAGTGAATAGCTAATAATATAATAAATAAAAGTAATAAAATAAATACAAGTGAAAATGAATTCCATTTCATTCCAAAATGCTGTACATCTGTTTGTAAAGAATAACAGCTGATGTGTAACTTTGCTGATAAAGGCTATTACAGGTGGTATTAATCATAATACAGTGTTCATACAGTACACACATAAAATAAATACAGAATAAATACACATAATGCATAAGTACTGTTTATTTTGCCGAATTAAACCTATTTGGAAAAAAATATAACCTAAAACTTAGTTTATGCAGAAGTTTTGTATTTTATATTTTATGTTTTTTCCCACATGCTAAACTGCCCCTAGGTGTGAGTGTGTGTGTGTGTGAATGTATATGTCTGTCTGTCTGCCCTGTGATGGACTGGTGACCTGTCCAGGGTGTTCCACCCAATGACTGCTGGCCCAGAAGGATAAGCGGCTTAGAAGATGTGTATTTGTGTGTGTGTGTGTGTGTTTGTGTGTGTGTGTTTTCCCAACATGTTAAACTAAAATAAGTAAAATTAGTAAATTAAGTAGACATTTTGCACTAAAATGTGGATGCATTTTAAGGCTTAATTTCACAACGAAAATCAATAAAACATATAACAAAACATTGTGAGCCATGTGCGTGTTGGTGTCTTACTTTGACGGATAGAGAGGAGGAGAATACTGGTGTGCAGGTCGAGGACTGAAGCCGCTGCTGGTTATAACTGCACATAAAAATAATATTACGAGTCGTATCAGTTTAGATCAATAAATCAGGTTTGACTGCACTGAGATGATGCAGGAAAAGAAACATGTGTCATTTATCATCTCCATCACTGATATATTCTTTACTGGACCTCAAAACTGTAAAAGAAGACGTGCATCCTGGACGTCTTCCCCTAACAGAGCATCTGCCAAACATACACACACACACACACACACAGACTTGTGACTGACAGTTTACAGATTTTCTCTGCTGTGCAGCAGCTGGACCTCATTCAGTGAGAGAAGAGCCAAAAAAAAAAACAGGAACTGCCCTCTTACAATCAAACGTCCATTCACATCAAAGACAAGCTCCTGCCAGCTCTCCTCTCCTTTCTCCTCCTCTCTTCTTCCCTCCTCTGCTCTCTTCTTGCCTCTTTTCTCCTCCTCTACTCTCTTTTCCCCTCTTTTCTCCTTCTCTCTTCTTTCTTCCTCTGCTCTCTTCTCCTGTCATTTCTCCTCCTCTCTTCTTCCCTTCTGTACTCTCCTCTCCCCTCTTCTCTCCTCTTCTTTCTTCCCTTCTCTACTCTCTTCTGTCTTTTCTCCTCCTTTTTTCTTCCATCCTCTACCCTCTTCTCTCCTCTTTTCTCCTCCTCTCTTCTTCTCTCCTCTACTCTCTTCTCTCCCCTTTTCGCCTTCTCTCTTCTTCCCTCCTCTCCTCCTCCCCTCTTTTCCTCTCCTTGACTATATTCTCCTCATCTCCTTTCTCCTCTTTTCTTCTCTCTTCTTTCAGTCTCATCTGTCCTCATTTCTTTTCTTCTCCTCTTGTTGCTCCTCCTTTTTTCTCTACTCTTTCTCTCACACATCAACTCTTTCTTCTTTCTCCACTCCTCTTTCTCCACTTCATTTACTCTTTGACTTCTTTCTCTTCCTCTTACTTCTACTCTTGACCTCTCCTCTTTTTCTCCTCTACTGTTTTTATCTTCACTTTTCTTGTCTCCTTTTGCCTCCCTCTCTTCTTTCCTTTTCTCCTCTTTTCTCTTCCTACTTGACTTTTTTCTCCTCTTTTTCTTTCTTCCTCTCTTCTCTTCACCACTCCTCTCCTTTTTCTCTTCTCCATGTTTCCCACCTCCCCTCTTCTGTCCTCCTCTCCTCTACTCTCCTCTCCTATTCTCTTTGTTCTCTCCTCTTCAAACACACCCATTCAATAAAGACATTTCATAGCTACTTCATGAAAACTGTTCTTTCCCGCTGAGTGATGGATGGATTCATAAACTTGTCTAATAGACGCACACATGAAAGCATGCAAACTTGTCTCTCTCTGTTTCTCACACACATGCACACGTTTCCTCTCTCTCGCTCTATTGAGACATCAGGCCTTTCTGTCAGCTGCAGGCTGGGCCTCAGCTCTCTCTGCAGGGGGGCTGAATGGTTGGAGAATTTCTGAATCTGTGTGTGTGTGTGTATGCAAGTGTGTATGTGTGTGTGTGTGTGTAATGTGGCTAAATAAAGAGTCAGTGCTGTCCTGATGACGTTCACCCAAGGACAGTACAAAGATTGAGGGCTCAGAGCTTTCAGCGGGTTCTCCAGCAGAGTTACACAACGTATTCTCTGTGTGTGTACGTGATATCGTACCTGACCCTGTGTAAGTGTCCAGCCCTGTGTCTCCTGCTGTGCTGACGGCTTCACTGCTGTTCAGAGGCTCAGTCTTTACTGAGAGATGCACAGAAAGAGAGAGAGAGAGAGAGAGAGAGAGAGAGAGAGACAGACAGAGACAGAGAGAGAGAGATTTTGAGGTTACAAGCTCTTTTTTTAACCACTATGTAGAAAAATGCAGTTTTAAGTTTAAAAATGAAAAACTTAAAAATGAAACCTTCTAAAATAAAGACAGACAGACAGACAGATAGATAGATAGATAGATAGATAGATAGATAGATAGATAGATAGATAGGAGACAGAGAAAAAAGAAAGAACAAGACAAGAACATGAAAATGACAGTGAAAGAGGAAGAGAGATGGATAGATGGAGAGAGAGTGAAAGACAGAGGGCGAGAGTGAGATAAAAACACTGACTGAAAAGGACAAAAAGAGATGGAGAGAGAGAGGAGAGAGAAAGAAGAAAGTGGGAAAGAAAGAAGAAGGAAAAGAGAGAGAGAGAAAGAAAAGATGAATTAAATAAAAAGGAGCAAGAGATATACAGAGGAAAAGAGAGAGGAAGGAAAAAGGGAGAAAGTGAAAGAAAATTGGTTGGGGAGAAGAGAAAGAAAAGGGAGAAAGAGCAGAGAGAGAGATATGAGAAGATGGCAAAGAGCAGAGAAAGAAAGAAAAGGAGAAAGAGAAAAAGAACACACACAGCGAGAGAGGAGGAGAGAGAGAGAGAGAGAGAGAAAGGAATGGAAAAAAGCATGTGAGAGAGACAGATAGGAAAAGGGAAGAAAGAAAGAGAAAGAAAGAAAGAAAGAAAGAAAGAAAGAAACAAACAAACAAAGAAAGAAAGAGCGAAAGAGTGAGAGAGAAAGAGAGAGAGAAGGGAGAAAGGGAAAAAAGGGAGAAAGAGAAAAAGAACAGAGAGAGAGAAAAAGAAAGAGTGAGAGAGATAAAGAGAGAGGGGAAAGGAATAAGTGTGTGAGAGAGAGATAGGAAAAGGGAAAAGGGGAGAAAAAGAAAAGCAGAGGAAGAACGAAAGAGAAAAGAAGAGAGAGATAATGAGAAGATGGAAAAGAGGAGAGAAAGAGAAAAAAAAGGAGAAAGACAGAAAAAGAACACAGAGAGAGAGAAACAGAGAGAGAGAGAGAGAGAGAGAGAGAATTCAAATCAAAGTATGAGCTGCATCAGGAGCCATTATATTCTAAAGGCAGAAAGAGCAACATGAATTAAATAAAAAAAATGATATCATAAAACAGCATCATATCTGTTCAGTCAGTAGTGTTTCTATAAGCTCCTCTCCTCCACAGCACAGCACACACTAAACACACACTCAAGGATCATGTATGATCATGTATGTTCACTCCACACACATGCAGTATACCATAGTCCTTCGTACTTGAGGCAGTGGGCGGAGTGCTGCAACCCAGCAGCCAATCAGCCGTGTTTAGAATTGTCATGTTCTCTCCTGAGGGAGGGGGCGGAGTCAGTGACATCATGGACTACAATATCCACAAAACTCACAAAGTTTCCAAGAACAAGTTCTAACAACTTTTTTAGTTAGCAATAACTTTTGGGACACTCTGGCCAAAATGAAGAACGTAAGCATCGCTGTATCTGTTCACTAACATTTCTACTCTTAAATGTTTCTACTGTTTCTACTGTTCCTAAAGCAAGAAGTCCTGATTTAAAGACTAGGAAAATCCCCTTCTGATGATGTATGCTATATAGACAAAAGTATTGGGACACACCTCCTAATTATTGAGTTCAGGTGTTTTCAGCCACACCCATAGCTAAAAGGTGGATTCAATTAAGCATATAGCCTTGTATGCTTGATAGACAAACACTGGCAGTAGAATGCGTTGTACTGATGAGCTCAGTGACTTTAAACTGTCATAGGATGCCACCTCTGCCACAAGTCAGTTTGTGAAATTTCAGCCCTGCTAGATCTGTCCCTGTCAACTGTAAGTGTTATTATTGTGAAATGAAAGCACCTACGGGACAACAACAGCTCAGCTACAAGTGGGGCTGCTGAGTGCTGAAGCGCACAGTGCCTATGCTCTGTTGAATCACTCACTAAAGAGTTTCAAATTGCCTCTGGAAGCAACATCAGCAAAAGAAATGTGCACGAAATAGGTTTCCACACAAGCCTAAGCACAATGCCAAAGGGAGGGGGGGTGGGGCTCTGGTGGAAGCTGTTATAGCTGCAAAAGGGGGCCAACTTCATATTAATGCCTGTGGATTTAGAATGGGATGTCATAAAAGCTCCTGTAGGTGTAATGTGTAGGTGTCCCAATACGTTTGTCCATTAAGTGTATCTTGAAGATGGAGGTAAGGTCTTAAAGACTTCAGGTGCTCCAGGGTGCATGCTTGAGGGTTGGAATATTTGTTTATTTATTTATTTATTGCTTGTTGGTTATTCTTCAGCTGAATTATTCCTTTGAAAAAGAAAAGTGATGACTGATTGAGGTTAATGCTACATCACTAATGATAGCTAGCACCTCAGATGTATTTATTAGCTTCTGGATCAGTACCTGTTGTGAGAGAACACTTAGTGATGAAAGCACGAATGCGATAAAAAATCTGTTAAACTGATCAGGCTGAGCGATATAAAGCCGCATGACAGGAAATTACATAACATGACAAAGAACATATAGTCACTGTACAAAAAAGTATCTCCTTTTTTCATTTTTATTTTTCTACATATTTTGAATAAAGCTGCTTTTTACATTGTGTGAAAATTTCATGACGAACAGACAACAGAAACCCTCCAAAGTAACTTGGAAGAAATTATCTTTAAATTTAATTTTAATATATATATATAGTTGGGATAGCTATGATTTTAAATGCTAATTTTTAACACATCTCTACTCTCTCACAACTCCTATTCTCATAAACATTGTGCACCATTTGAAAACAAGCTTCTCTTCACATTGTCTGAACGTTTCATCATGAATGAGAAGAAAACAGTCTAGAATTAAAGAGTCCAGAATTAAAATCAAATTACATTAATGCACACTGAAAGTTTTTGCTTCTTTTAAAACGTTATAAAGATGATTTATATACAATCTTCTGCAAAAGCTTGAACATCAGATTACCTGTTTTGCTGATTTTCTGGGCGAAAATAAATGAACACATCCTCTACAGAGAACACTCTTAAATATATTCCGCAAATTTTAGTGCACAATTTTCTACTAAAGTAGAAATTGTCCACTTAAGTAAGATGACCGAGCTTTCATAGGCTGTGGGGTTCTATTTGGAAACAATTAAATGTACCATTCAACAAATAAACAGTAATTGTGCATTAATTGGGGATTATTTCACTTAGAAAATCAACAAAACATGTCATTTGACTTGGGGTGCCCAAAATTTTGCAGATGACTGTATATATGGACACAACCATTTATTAAATCCCCCTGTTTTCTAAAAACCATTTATGTCCAAAAGCAGTGCTGGTACTTTAAGACCCAGCAGAGGGAAAAGTTGCAGGTCTCTCACCTATAGCCTGTGAGTGAGTGTGTGTATGTGTGTGTGTGTGTGTGTGTGTTGCTGCGAGACGCTGAGAAAGTACACTTAAGTAAGATGAATGAGCTTTCATAGACAGTGGGGTTCTAGCCTGCCTGTGTGTGCGGGTGGGTGGTTGTGTGGGTGTGCTGGACTGTGAGCTGATGAGGTAGACTGAGGAGAATGCTGAATATGTCACTGTATTGGCAGTGTGTCTATGTGTGCGTGTGTCTGTTAAAATCATTAGCTGGACTCTAATCTGAATGATTTACAGAGATCTGCTCTATGTTCCTCTCTGCGTTCCTCTATTGTTTCACTCGACCTGCATGTCAAAACCAGATGAGATCACTGTTGCCCACTCACACACACACACACACACACACAGGCTGGACTATCAGTGATGTGTTTTGAGTGTGCTGAAGTGAGTGTGTGTTTAATTAACATTTTCCTCCAGCAGGAGAGAGAGAGAGAGAGAGAGAGAGAGAGAGCTCAGCAAATGAACCTCAAAATACAGGAAATAGTTTTCAGAACACTGGAGTCTCAGTCAATCACAAAAACACACTGTAAACAGCTCAGTGCTCAGGCACATACATACATCTATACAGTGGTATGCAAAAGTGTGAGGGACTCTGGTCAAATGACATTTTATTATTATTATTATTAGTAGTAGTAGTATTAGTATTAGTATTAATAATAATAATAATAATAACTATTTATATAGCACCTTTCATACAAAAAATACAGCTCAAAGTGCTTCTCAATGAAATAAAAAAACATTAAAATCATACATGTAAAACAGTAAAATAAAAAATTTATTGAAAGAAGTGTTTGTTTAAAAAATTAGTAATGATAATAATAAATATATAAATTTAAATATGAACACCGAAACATTAAAATATAAAGAAAAGGTCAAACTTCATTTGGATGGTGACCTATAGATGATCTACAGATACTTATTATAATTATAATTATTAGCAAATTTTCTGGTGTTACCAAAAATTATTAAATAAACACAGAATGAGAATAAAAAATAAGAACAATAAAATGAATAAAATAAGATTTGAAATAAAAAACAGGAACATAACAGAATGCTAAGCTACATATACATACATTTCAGCTGCTTTTAAAAGCTGGGTTTGTTGATTTTCTAAGTAAAAATAAGTTACCACATCCTCATACCTGCATACAACACACGTTTATTTGCTGCGCTTCAAAGCTACACTATGTAATTTTTGGAGACCTCTCTGATGGAAACGTGTCTTTGCATGCAATGTGTGGAAGAATAATTTGAAACGTGGGTTTTGTTTTGGACCCCTTCCCTGAGCAGATGATGTTTGTGAGTGAGTTAAAAGAATGTTCTCTGTCAAAACTTGGTGAAGGATGTGTCTTCAGAGGCTGTAATTTAATTATGTATTAATGTTATTATATCTTCATCAGTATAATTTTCCATTTGAGACAAACACTGTGCTGGACCTTCTTTTTGACTTGTGTGGGACGTTAATAAATAAAGATATATGATGTGGTCTGAAAAAAAATCCTGCAAAATTTGACTTGATGCTTCTGACTTTTGAATGACTATTTCAGGCTTTACACAGTGACTCACTTACGCACACCAAATTTTAGCCTGTTTTGGTATCACTATTCTTTCATTCACTGAATAAATGGATCACATATCATCAAGACATGACCAATCCGCATTCAGTACTGTTTTTTAGTCACGGTCGTTATTGAGTTGTAAAAGTGCAGTTTTATAGACTTGCACAATCCTAAAAAGTTGGTGTATGAATGTTTCCATTAGATCTACTGTGTATTTGTGTTGATGTTGCTATACTCTGGTTCTCTAGTCAAGTGAGGTTGGTGTAGCATACTGGGTAATATCTACCCCTACAAGCAATGGAATTGAGTTTGGTTCCCTGAGCATGCACACCACCCTGTACTAAAAAGAGGCCTCCTAATGCTACATAAACTGCTCTGGATAAATGCATTAACATAACTTTCTCTCTATTATGTTTTATGCACTTTGCTACTACACTATTATACACAAGCCATTAATGTTTATTTATGTTTATGTGCTTTGCTGCTGCAAAACATCCTTTAACAGATCACTGGTATCAAATCAGTATGCTAAGTCTGTACACTAAGTTTAGACACTGGATCGGTATCGAGAGAGGAATAGTTGGATCAGTGCAGAATAAGAGTCTCTAAGGTTTTTGGGTTACAGTGAACAAAAAAAAGGACTGGATGATCTTCCTAATCCACCCCTCATCACATCTTAATCTACACAACAGCACAAACTGTAGCAGGAAAAAGTCCAGCTTGGGCCTACAGTCATAGAGGCAATTGACCAGAACCTTCAGTTTTGAGTTTTCTTTAACACTATTTCAGCCACTGCATAATTCCACATATGTTATTTCACAGTTTGTATAAGTAAAACCTGAGTTGGTGTGTCCAAACTTTTTACTGGTACTGTTAATCACTGAGACATATATAGGGACAGGAATGTCACCATCATGAAATTTTAACATTAATTGTCATGTAAATAACTACAGTATGATGCCTGCCCCAGTAAACACTTCATATTATGATACATAAAGCATGTCTAATAAATGATTAGGCTATACTGAAGGAATTAGACAAAAAGACATAAACTTTGTTTTTTTATGTCCGTGTGTGTCTTACCTCCTGTTCCATTGGTGGAGATGTTGTTGGTGAGGAGGCTCTTGTCCAGTTTGGAGCTGCTGTCGTTGCTGCTGGTGACTGTGTGCTGAGGGCTTGTTAAATCCTGCATCTCCAAAGATCTGCACACAAACAAGACAGTGTGGTAAAAAATAGCTTACAAAAACAAAAAAACATGACAAGTGGAGGAGAAACCCTGGAAACTGTGGTAAAGAATGGAAAAGAAAAGAAGGAGAAGAAAAAGACAAAGATGTCATTATCAAGGCAAAAAAGAGTGGAGATCTGATATGTCCTCTGTTTGCCAGGTACACATATACACTGTAAGAAAATATCACATAGGGGCAATTCTGTCACTCATTTTTGCTTTTTATTAATTAGCAGTACATTTACAGGACAGTTTTATAACTTTATACACAGAATATTCTATAAAAGTATTCTATGAATATAAAATGTTTTATCTGTAAAAATCATGTGTACGTCTTCATTCCAGTTGAAAACAGAATATGCTATATTATTACTTCGTGCCTTAAAATAAATGTTTAGCAAAAAAGCATCTTAGTGTCTTGTAGCTCTAATTGTTTTTAATCAAGACAAAACAGATTACTAGAGGTACAGTATCCCAATTAACTGTAATGTACATCAACAAAGTCCAGCCTGGTAGAGTGGAATTTTAAATTTGAAACTACATTATGTGGAGCTCTAAACAAACACTGTAGCATAATTGAAAAAAAAATGCCTTTCTACATACATTTACTACATTTTGACTACAGTTTAGACATGTTGTTGTCAATGAGTGGGTTTACATGCACTTAATAAACTGATAACTGCAGAAAATCAGATATTGTCAGTGATCCGATCAACGCGTTGCACTTGAGTAATCAGATAATGGGAAACTCCGGGTCTACATGAGTCAGGCAGTAATCAGATTTCTGCCTTGCAACCGGCCAATAAACTCACAGAAGAAGGCGTAACGTAAATGTAATGTAAAACTCAAACTTGCTCCAGCCTTTTTTTAAACCTCACGCCACTTTACCTGAAAATTTGAACACACATCATCTAGAAGATGAAGAATATTTAAATCCTTTATTTCGTGTTTGGTTTCAGCATTGCTCAAAAAGTGTTTTGCTGCCATCTTGAAGCAATGCTGCTTACTTATTTCCAGTACCGCAGCCTGTTTTTGCACATGTGCAGACTGAGAAATCCGAAAGAAATCCGGGTAAGAGTATGCATACCCTGAGAAATCTGATTACTGAGCTAAAATCCAGCTTTCTTTATCAGATTTCTTAATCAGATTTCTAGATCAGAGTATGGTGTTTACATGACCATTTGAATAATCAGATAACTGCAGAAATCCGATTATGATCGGATTATTGAGTGCATGTAAACGCACTCAATGATAACGACAACAGGGCAAAACATATATTAAGAATTATTTTAATTTCAACTTATTGATGATGAAAATCTGACAAAAAAATAACATTATAAACAAAAATCATAATTACTGTTTTTTATTTCTGGTTTATACATAACCCAAGCACATACACATGTGGTGTGACAGTACATAACAAAGCAGCACTTAGCATAGTGTAATAGGGTCACACTGCTGCTCTTCACACTGTAGACTGGGTTCGATTCCCCACTCAGGTGGGAACACTATACTACACTAATAGAAGTCCTGAGGCAGCAATCTAAATGCTATATTTGTCTACTTCTTTAGCATAATTAACCTGTGATTAAATCACTTTGGATAAGATCTAATCAGGAAAATGACTTGAAAGTTTCATGTCCCGAAAGGCTATTTATTTTTTTTGGTGACATCTTATTTTAAATGGTCCTTTTTAAATGAAACAAACACTCAACAGACTCTCAGTGACATGTCAAAAAACATGAGGGTTAGGATTAGGTTTTTTGTTGAGGTTAAGGTTAGGCTTGTAAGTAATGTATCAACAGAATATCTTTAAGATATTTACTTCAGTGTATTCAGATGCTTCACTACTGCTACTTCACCGACATGTTGTTGATGTGTTACTGATAATCTGATGAGAAGTTATTAATAGTCTACAAAGATTTATATAAATAATAATAGCATTCATCTGTATATATGTGCTTGACTGTCGCAGAGAATTCATCTGTAGTGTCCAGTGTTTCTGATGAGTAAGTAACATTTTTTCCTTATGAATGAAAAGTTTTCATAATCTAGTAATCTGGTGTCTTCTTGACTGACACCTTGCTCTGCAAACGATTATCAACAATAACATGATCAGCTAGATTTAACTCAATGATTCAAGTGGATTAGACCGTTTTCCTGCTGAGGATGATAAAGAAGGCAATATCAAGGACGTTGTTCAATAATTCTAATAATTCACGAAAGATTGCTTCGGTGGGCGGAGGTCAGTTAAGTCTCAGTCACAGAGGACAGTTTTCACTGAAGTGAAGAAAGAAGGAGAGAAAAGAGTGAGCAAAATGCTCTCCACTAATACAGAGAAATTATTATTACTGCTCTTTCTCTCTTCCAAGATATTCACTCATCTCATCACACCAGGAAATGAAACAACTCTCTCTCTGCGTCTCCCTCTCTCTCTATTTCCCTCTCTCTCTCTGTCTGGCTGCTTCTTTAATCATGCTATATCATTCAGAGTGACACAGCTGTTTTTTTCCTGTGTACGAAAATTCCATCTGTACGAAAATTCAATAAGTCACACAGAGATCGAGCCAGCTAGTGCACACACACACACACACACACACACACACACACACACACACACACACAGTCTCAGGTCCAGGTACCAAAAGGTCTTAGGACAAACATTCTTACAGCAGTACACCCACTCACATGTGCAATGACTTTAACATTTCTCTCTCTCTCTCTCTCTCTCTCTCTCTCTCTCTCTCTCTCTCTCTCTCTCTTTGTGCTAGCTGGCTCAATCTGTTTATCTCCTACTGTTCTGTCTCCCACTCTCACTATCTAATGTCATAACCAGCCATAAATAACCTCTAAATGGACATCACTGAATACACAGGTACATAGCAGTGTGTGTGTGTGTGTGTGTGTGTGTGTGTGTATGTGTGTGTATTACCTGTTGTCTGAGGGGTCCGGAGCGTGTGTATCAGAGAGAGCTTTCTTCACCTGCAAAGAGAGAAAATCTGATTTTTGTTGAAGAGTAAAATTCACAAATTTCAATCACAATCTCACTTTCCCCACATGTCTCTCTCTGTCTCTCTATGTGTGTCTCTAACTCTTTGTCTCTCTGTCTCAGTCTCTCACTCTCTCTATGTTGCTATGCCTCTCTCGCTCGCTATGTCTGTCTCTCTATGTCTCTTGGTTTCTCTCTCTCTTTCCCTTTCCCGCAATGTCTCTCACTCTTTATCTCTCTCTGTCTCTACTTCTTCTCCACTCTGTCACTATAACCCTAACTTTTCTCTCTTCATTTCTCTCACCCTCTTTCAGACCCTTCCCCCCCCCGCCTCTGTCTCTCACACACACACATGTCACAGTCAGCAGGTTCTTGTTTAAATTCCTCTTACTGACTTTTTGAAGGAACTAATTATACCAGACAAACTGCCACATGAGTTTTCATGGGATGGTAACTGCCTTACATAAAACACTGCTCTGATTAAAAAAGGCCCCTCATTCCTCTCATTTATGACCTTGTTAAATAAAAAGTATTTATAGTTTTATGAAGATGAATAACTGCATAGCTGTCATAACAAGTGATCCACTATTTAATAAAAACATTTGATCATTTATTGAAGATTTCCCACCCTCAGAACTTCTTTTGGCCTAAACATATTTTCAAACATCATGGTGCAGAGGTGCATGCTGAGTGTAAGGCAAAATTAGTCCCTAAAAAGTCCCTAAATGCAATTGGATTTTAATTTTTTCATATTTACCACCATTTTATCATCATTAACAATGCATATATGAATTCAGAAGATCAGTCTTTTTGCTTAGTAAAATAAAATTGTTGTATTTGCCTGTAGACTTTGTGACTCCTGGTTCCTATCACCACCACTGTAAAGAATTCACCAAGAGTCAGCAAGTTTCTCAACAAGAACCATTTCACACCAAACCACTCTGAATGACGTTCTCCTTTAAGGGGTTAAGATCAGGGGCCGGATTCACAACAGTGTCTTAAGATAGAAAATCTTTCTTACAAATTTCTTAACTTCATTCTTAAGAATAATTCCAAGAACTGGGCTATTTTTTGAAAATATTACGTTCTTTAATGTTATCTTAAGGTTAAGTCAGCCTCACACATGTCTTCTCTTGTAAGTGTTGACAAGACTTGATCTAAATCAATGATCAAACTCAGGTGCTGCCTCTGCTGCTCCTCATCCCTGTCTCTCTCTTTCTGCCACCACTCTACAATTATTGTATTTTCTAAGGAGGATTTTTCCTGTTGGCTGTTTCTTCCTGCATTACCTTTAGATCTTGTTTGCAATTTTTTTTAAATGCTCGGTTTGATGTTTTTTTCTCCATTTTGCACCTCTGACTGGATTAAACTAAATAACGGAAAAAAATGGTTAAAACCAATTCAAAATATAGCTCATGTTGTTTATGGTAAGCTGTAAAATGTAACATAAAATACATAACAGAACAACAGAGAAAATCCTTAGGAAAATTTTAAGGAACTAATTAAGATTATCTTAACAGAATATTTAGGAACTTCTTAAGTTTTTTTTGAGAATTGCATTTAAGATCATTGTTAGTAACTTCTTAGTGCTTATCTTAAGAACATTCGCAAGTTGTTGTGAATCCGGCGTCTGCTTCTCACTGATAGAGTCCTCACTGACACACACACACAGACACACACTCTACCAGCTAGTAATAACTCCATATCTCTGTCATGCTCAATCTGTTTCTGCTCTTTGATAATGAAAGTGTGCTAGAAGTTATTTTCCTACCCTTCAACCCCCCTTCAGCCCTTTCTTTCTTTTTTCTGTATTCATTTGTTAAAGTGTCAAGCTAATTTACACACTCTCTCATCTCTTCTGCACTCACATACCACTTTGCCATATTGTGTTATTTTTCCTCATTTACCCCTTAAATTACAGACTTACAGGGCTTTACAGTGATATACGCTCATGTAGACCAAAGGGTCAGATCAAAGCATGGCAAAATTTAGAATGTCTATGAACTTCTCATAATCAATTTAGACCATTTAGCCCTTCCAGATTACACAGCCTGCAGACACGTGGGGCCTTAACTGAAAACACATACACGCGTACATACATGAACGCACATGTGTATCAGATGTAGTGTGTGGTTTTGGGAGAGGTTCAGCACGTTCTGAGTTCGGAGTGATCACTGCACAACGTCTCTCACATACACACACACACACACACACACACACACACACTTACTCTCACTCCAGCACTTATATGACTTTAGTGTGGTCCAGAAATGTTTTACTTTGAAAAGAATTTGAACACCCCCAGTCAAATTACATATTTTGCTGATTTTTAAAGTGAAAAAGTTAACATACCTTCAGAGAACATGCTTAAAAACAAAACCATTTTCTGCAAATTTTAGGTTCTATTTATTTGCTTATTTATTTGAGTTAATCATATTGGACAAAAATAAATCGTAAGTATAAAATGTGCCATAACTTTTGCACAGGCCACTTTTTGTCATATTAAATGTATTAAATTCAGCAAATTAACAGCAATTATTAGTTAAGTGTGCATTTGTTTGCTCCCTATAGAAAATGTGTACTTAGTTTCCATTAACAAAACGTGTAATTTTACTCGGGCACCCAAACTTTTGCACACAGCTGTCTGTGTATGCATGTGTATGTGCGAATAAATACAGCCTACAGGCCAAAAGTTTGAAATCTGAGTCATTATATGGAAACGTCCATTTTTGTGTCCCTAGCCTTAACAGATATATTACACTTGAAAAACACCTTCTTCAGCCATCAATTTAGCAATATTGGTTTGTAAATCAATCCTATAGAATTCCAAGCACCACAGAAGTGCTTGTCCTCACAGTCATGTGTAAAGGGTCAGTGCCATTTTGAGGTAAAAAATATGTTTTTCTGCAATTTTAACTGCAATAATCTATACATGACTATGAAATATATGATTTAAATGACACAAAGAAAACAAATGCCAAATAAATATGATAAAATCTACAATAAAAGTTGTGGTCCCCAGGAGTTGTGTCACTGGCGTTACTGCTTAGCAACAAATCTCTTAATTTGAAATAAAAATCACACTGATGACATCACTTGACAAATGACAAAAATTGACATACGAGGTTTTCTTCCGACAGCAGCGATATTTTAGTGGATATTGCATGATTGACAACATGTGGTTTCATGCTCTGTAGCAGCCATTTTGTAAAATGCATTTTTCATTTAAAATGTCACTGGTGTTACTGTCTCTGGCGTTATCTTTCTTATGTGTAACACCAATGACGATCAGTAACACCAGTGACTCCTATGGATGGATAAAAAAGTGGACGTTTCTATAGAATGACAAAAGCATTTTGACTGCAGATAAATGTACATCCATTACTGGGAGCCCAAGAAGAGAAAATGCCTGATGGAATTGTGAGTCCCAGCTAGTGGGAAAAGTGAGTCAAAAACAAAACTTTTTTTTATATTGTTATATAGTTTAGATGGGACGCAGAACTAAAACATACTAAAAATGAATTAGTACAACACAAGAATAGAACTTTTGAGTGAACTAAGAAGTTTGAGTTGGGTGAACTGTTGTATCCTCAAGCTGAGTTAGCAGTGTAAACACTTATCATTTTAAGTTCAGCTGATTTTCCGTTATAGAGCACGTTTGGGCAATATGGCAAAAATATAGCATCATGATACTTCAAGACATTTTCACAATAAACAGTATCAGGATATTTAATTTGTCTGATAAGTTGGAACAGACAAAAAAGAACCAGTACTGGCACATTTCATAAATACTATCACAAACTATGACTACAGCTTATTCAATGACTTTATTCACACACTGCATTGAACTAAATCTAGTTAAACAGGCTTAATGATGCTCTCTTTGTAATGAAACAGCAGTTGGTCAGTGTTATTTAAGTTTTGTCAAAATTCACAATACAATCATATACAATAGTACGCACGTCTTCACAGAACACACTGCTGCACATTTTAATGCACAATTGCTGTTAATTTGCTGAATTTAACACACTGGGGGAAAATGTTAAATTAATAGCCTAATATCTCAGCAAATAAATAGAAATTGTGCACTAAAAGGTGGAATATTTAAATGTGTTCACTTTAGAAGATGTGGTAACTTGGTAACTTTATTTTCACCAAGAAAATTTTGGTGCAGCACGTTCTCCATCAATCTGAAGAACTCTTTAACAATGCACAGAACCCCTGAATCATGGAATGGGTTGATTCATATATATATATATGTGTGTGTGTGTGTACATTTTTTTCTTTTTTTTTCTTTACTAAAGAACACCTGAAGAACCATCTATTTATCTATTTTAAGAGTGTACTTAAAAAGAATATGGTGCAGGCCTCAGCACTGTTATTACAGTGAACCATGTAGACCAATCACAGTCAGGGTGGACACAGCACAGTACAAACTCAAATCACTGCATTGTTTTAGCCAAAAAGATGTTGTTTTGTTTTTCTGTTAAGTGCACTTTTGACATAATGGCAAAAAGATGACAGTTACAGGCAGGAAAAACCATTAGGAAGATGTGAATGGGAGATAACGAGGGGGTTGCTCGAACTGTCATTACTGGCTATGATGCTGGTATTTCAGCTTATCTACAATTTCTTTGTATGAGTGCAGCTCCATGGTTCTGTTCTTGGCTCGCACAAACAGTGACACAAAATTTGGCTTTGTCCAAAACATTTCTCTTTTTCTGTTCGTACTGAAACTGGTTCTGAATTTATCTGATTCAAATGTGTCAAATGTCAATTCACATGAATAACATATACAGTTCTGTTCAAAAGAGAAAATATGAACAGTGAACATTTATTTGTTAAAAAAAACAACATTAGAATAAATACCAAAAAAATAAACAATACATTATGAGTTGGTGTGTGAGTGTGTGAGCTTGACCATTTCCAAATCTCCATATGAGTCCAGTATTACAGTTACCATCCAGTACCTACTTTATCTAATCAGCCCTTC